CGACGTTCATTTCGGTCCCCTCTGAAACTGGGGCCGTTATTGATCGGTATCAGCTTTAAGGAGGGGATTACTAATGAAGCCATCTGAAAGCCTTTTGTGCTCGGTAAAGAGCTTGCACGCACGTGTGTGTGTGTGTGTGTGTGTGTGTGTGTGTGTGTGTGTGTGTGTGTGTGTGTGTGTGTGTGTGTGTGTGTGTGTGTGTGCATGTTTGTAAATGGATGTGTGTATGAGAGGCAGGCTGAAATAATGTGTTAGTAAATGTAGGTGCCACTATGCCATCCTGTTGAGCGTGACTCCTGATGCTTCCTATTGTAAGTGCTTTGCTGCCTCTGGTGGTGGTTTTGTTAATTACACCAGCCATCCCTTTTTACCCTGAAAACATCCAGATTTGTGTTGTTGTATAATCACAGTGTGTTATTGGGGTATAAATCTTATGATTATTGTATAGCTATGGAGCCTTGAGGAACCTAATATTTGTGGCACACTGTTGAATTGGTGTCTTTGAAGAAGCTAGTTGTTGCTATATTTATGTTTGTTCTATTACTGTTATAAAATTATCATTAATACATTACTGGGCTATTCCATTCACTTACTGTATAATTTTTGTAACCCTATTCCAAACCTTACACAAAGACCTTAAAGCTAAGCTATAGAAACTCAAGATTTAGATCTTAAATATTTTCCTACAACATTAAATATTCACGGATAAATAAGGTTTGATGAGATTTGATAGCTAGTGGCCTTGCAGCATAAGAAAAACTACCCACCAACTGTTATCACATTTTGATTAAAATATTTCTAAATTATAATTGGTGTACAGACCTAGATGATATTACCCTTTTCCAAACAAGCCCACTTTCAGAAAAACGCAAATGCAGAAATCTGTCCAAACTTTGGCAGAAATAATGAGAAACCTGGTGAGAAAATATTTTTAGGGGCTATAAAATTCACATTTTTAATGAGAATCCACACAGAAATCATTGTTTATCTTTCCGTTTGCCTATTAAGACCTCTTGGTCCACCCAAAGAGAGCTATAAGAGTACACATGCCCACTCACACACAAAATACAACAACATTTGCCTTGACTTCTCTCTATTTTTCCAGTTCTTTGGTAACCCTGGTGGCTCTGCCGGTATGAACCGGGCAGAAAGCCATTACCCTGCAGAGTGAAAACTTCAGGCCGGCACTTTAACACAGTCGGACACTATTGTCATACACCCATAGCATAGTGACTGTGGCTCTGTGCTCACTCAATTATTAAGTACCTCTAACTTCACATACAGCTTATTTTCCTCCCCTTTCTGAGTCACGCTGGTCTAATACCATGCTTGTCTGGCAGTCTTTGAAGCAGAATAGGTTTTTTTTTTTTTTTTGTCCCTGTTTGATGTGCGTGCAGGCGCCTGTGGACAAATGATTTGCTTCATTCTCTCCTGTCTTTGTTCCTTTGTGTTCATTTTCGCCTTTGTATGAAGTGATTGCCCCGTAACTATTTTTGCATATTCATAAAATTATAATTTTTTAATGCTCTTTGTGTTTTCTTTCTTCTAGAGGATGTTGAAACAATGCAATTATCAGGTGTTGGGTTGGGTTAATACTGTGCAATATACTGTATTATGTTTGAGGCATAATATTTTCTTAATCAGGTTGTATGATTAATTAGCCTCCTTATTCTTCACAAGTGAATAGAAATTGCATTTTCTTCATTTATTTGACAGGGGTGGTACATGGAGGCATTGCTACATTTAAATAAAATACAACCAATGCAATGTGTATAGGACCTCTAGCTGTAGCTCATTTACAGTCCTTGTCCCTCGTTAGGCTTTTCCATTTGTAAGACCCAGAATTTATGTCTCTAAGTGCAGAGTATTGAATTTTATTTTATCAACATTTACAAAGCTCTCAAAAAAGACTAATCTAAGATATTTTGCACTAATGATGCAGCACAGTTGCCTTGGCACCCAATTTTCTGAGCCTGGAGAAAAATGGTTCCTTTAAATACTCCTGGACTTGCAGCTGAAGGAATAATTTAGACTTTTGCTCAGCCAGTGCTTTTGAGATCTGATTTAAACTTTCATGAAAACTCACTCTGCAACCCGTATGTAGGAAACATAAGAGACTTAAAATCTATAACATAAATATACATACATTAACATATAGTTTTGTAATTTTCCTTGCAAACAGATTTTACACATTTGAATTATATGTGTTGTACATAGACAACACAGTCTATGTGGCATGCTGTAAGGATGTAGTACTGTATTGTATTCACTTGTGTAAAGCAACTCTTGACCTGTGGTGAATTGTTTTGCTATTGTATCCATCTCTGTGATAGAATATGGTGGAAAACTAAAATCTATGCATATATTTTGGTTAATGGAAACTTATTCTGTTCCTGAATCATGCTGATTGTAGGGTTTCGCCTGTCCTTTTGATCATGCAAAAGGAGTCTCTTTTATGTAATACATTACCCAGTCGATTAACTGCACAGCGACCGCTGTCAGATTAAATGTCTTCACAAACATGTCAATTAATGCATTCTCTGTTATCTGTATTGTCGTTAGAATGTGTGAAAAGTTACAAATGGGTGCCTTGTGGTTTGTCCAGTCACAATATATTCAGTAGAGCAGATGGCAATGCTATTCCCATAAATGAAAATAAAATAGAGTTATTAATGGGGTGGAAATGATTGACAGGTAGAAAAAAAAACCTCATCTGGCCCTCCTAGTTACAACTGTGGTTTGTGCCACTCACAGCACTAATCCTCAAACTCTCTTTCAAAGACTGCTCATGGCCCACTGACACCAAGCAGGCAAGCCAGATAATTACATCAAGATAGCTAAAAAAGAAAAGTAAAGTCATAGCTGCCAGAGTTGAGAGAGCTGAGATATAAAACACTTTAGAGAATGAAAAGAAGGCCTAAACAGACGAATGTTTCCCAAAAAACCCCACATTTGAATTAGTGCCAAAAGCCCCAGTAGAACCTTTTGTCTTTGAAAACAATGAAAGCTGAATTTTGTAGATTTCTTGCTGACCTGCAGGGTCACAGTTTCAGTTAGAAATGTTTTACTATTTCATTTGCTGCAGATTGTAAGAACATAGTGACAGATAATAGTGAATGAATAATAGAAAGCCCCAGGTGTAAATCTCCTGAGGTGAGTTTGCCCTTTTCACATTAGACACGATCCAACAGCTCCACTCTCAGAGCGTTTGTCAGCTCAGCTTATGCAGAGCAAATGTTGTGTGAATACATGTAACTGTTAATGGGAAAAATGACAATCCAAACTCATTTTTCTGTCATTTGGGCTTGTTAAAGCATGGTCTGTGGTTTGTTGTTTCCCTTAAAGAGTCATTATTTTGCATGACTAAATTCCTCTCAAAAACATTCATGTTCTGTTGTTAGTTAGAGCCACTCATTTGTGAAGTTTAGAGATGTATTTTCACCTGCATGGTCAGGATCAAAGATACTTACACATTTTATTTTAGGTAACTGGTGATAAATTAACCACTCAGGCAGACTCACACTGGTAGAAGTGGATGCTCCTATAGATACAACTGAACTTCCTGCTTTGACCACTTGATGTCAGTGTTGGCCAGGTGTCCTTTCAGGTATAAATTGTTCATTTCAATCAAATCACTTTCAGTTCAACTTTTGGAACATCCATGTTGTTATATTTGCCCTTATAAAAAAAGAAATCCATCAAGTCCCATTAGGTGATATTTTTCATCTTATCAAGTTACTAGATAATAACTTGTATTACTGACCTTTCTTTCATCTCTCTGTGCTTATTTCCTGTCTTCTCCTTCAATAATATCCAAAAGTATTTTTAAATGCTGGTCATACTATCAATTATTCTTAATAGATCATTATATATTTTCACACATATTTTTCACAAATACATCTGTGATATTATCGGTACTATAAAGGCAATCGTAAAAATCAGCTTATTGTTATGACTACATCATCCCATAATCATTACGTATCTGTCTAAATCCTTAAAGTGTGTAGGATGAAGTTACAGACTACAACCAACTAACCAACCACTCGCCATCCGAGTTACTTATGAATATTATAATCCATTTCTACCAATGGATCCTCCTGATTGTTACACACTGCACCTTTAATTCATACACTATGGGACGATTGTATCACAACAAGGAGATTTTACAGTACATGGGTGAAATAGTATCATTATATGTGTAAAAAATATAAAGGATCTATTAAGAATAATGGATACTGTGACCAAGTATTTAAAAGTATTTTTACATATGTGATGAAACATAGACCACTGATATACCAATAGAGCACAAAGACAAATTTAAAGCAAATATTAACTACATTTATAGTTAAATCTCTAAAGCATTAGGTCTGAAAATGAAATAGAAGTGACTGGTTCTGGATAGAAGCCTTTCCTCTTGCCAAGGCTGTCTCCTTGAAGAGTTCATTACCTCTCACTCTTTGCTTGTCATTATAAAGGATGCCAAACAAAAAGCCTTTTGTGGCTCTTGCACCTCAGTGGTCACCTTTCCTGTTAGCGCGAGCTGAAGGGTTCTCTTTGAGAGGATTTGTTTGCACTTCAGTAACCTCACAGTGGGAATATGCTCACTGGCCTTACCATAATAGCCTTTGTGAATGTGTGTGGTTTTGGCTGTGAACCCTCTTTGGCCTCAAACTGCTTCGCTCGCTAGCTCCACATTTCTTTGGTCAGGCAAAAAGCAAAGTCATGCGGACCACCTTGCTTCGGTTATACGGGGACACAAACTGCTCCAGACCACATCCTCTCTAACGAGGCCTTGACACACAGCTGCATTATTAATATTCAAACAGCAGAAAGTACAGATGGCAGTGTGCATTATAAGATAACTAGTCACACTGGAAACTAATTTTCTACTTTTACCGTCTGAATAATTGAACTAGACTATTTAAAGTAGCCATTAAGTGTCACTCAGTAGGCCCTTATTACTGCTGAATTTAATTACGTGTCTTGTCTCATCTGTCCAGATAACCAGGTGCTGCAGTTTGGGAAGCTAGTGAGCACCTCCAACACCTATGAACCTGTTGCCCCTGGAAACCCCAGGAAGTCTGTAACCGTGACAACAGACCAGCCTCTCCTCTGGAGCATGGGTATCCGTAAGGATGGGAAATGACACAGAAGAAAGTCATCTTCTCGATCAGTATTTGACTAATCAGAACATGTGACTTCTTTTCTACAGCTGAGCTATGGCAAATTTACTTGTTTTATATGTTTCGTACGTAAAAAAAATTAAAAACTGAACTTTAGGTTTAGTACCATAGTGGCCATCCTTGCTAAGGATATGTTTTTTTTTTTTACACTTTACACATTTAGGTTTTATGCAACAATACTCACTGTACATGATTACAGTCAAAATGAATATATGCATCTTATATCCAAGCCTTATTCTATAGAAACATCTAGTTCCCTTAATTAAAACACGTTTTAATAGTTTTAGGAAAGGATTTAGAAGCAGAATTAGAGACATTACCATATCAACAGTATATCTTCTTTTAAATGTGTGCCGGTATCTGCTTTGTATCACAGCCTACAGAATGTGCCTTTGACAACAGTGCTTCTGTTTCACTGTCCTCTTGTAGCTACCATATTAAGAATATCTCTACTATGGAAAAGTACTTTCCAAGTATTTGTGCCTTTTGATGAGTTTAATACTGTACTTGACTGAAAGTGAGAAAAGGTAAAAACCAAACTGTTTACATGCTGTAGTGACAGCAAGGATTTATGGGTAGACAGGATAAAAATCAGTCAGTGTTTGTTTCCATTTGTTTTATTTACACAGTGAAATATAAATGCACAGAATGTAAAAATGCCATCCCTCCAGTTCCCAATCACATCACCAGCCCAATAACACTTTGCACCAACGTCTCTTGTCCCGGGGTATTGAAGTTTGTTTTTGCTTGACCAGGATTTAACCGCCACTAGAAGAAAAACAAGAAAAACCAGTGTTAGTGATTGGAAAAATTGTACATGAAGACATTTTACTGTAATATTCAGTATGAATCTTAAGAACTACTCCCTAAAATACAGTGATTGTGTATCAGTACCACATGCTAGTGTTTTACCATTGTAACACCATTTTCTTTCAAAAACAGACAATCCAACTTCTGCACTTTCGGATACTGTATATTCTGACTATTATGACAACAGCCTGAATTAATGGTATTTGAATGTTTTATCCTATTGTGTAAAAAATAAAATCACAAATGCTACCAGTGTGACTGCTTTTCTCTCATCCTTTGTGCAATGATAAAACCTAACTATGCAATTCATTAACAAATTATAATAACGATCATTGTATTAATGCCTATTAAGTAATGTAATAAATGTAAATAACTTCTGGTCCATCCATTAGTTAATGCTAATGTATCATTTATGTAATAAAACAAGCTGTCTTATGATATCTATATATAAATATATAAAACCCTAATAAGAGTTTTTTAATGGTTAGTGCTGATGTTAATTATATACTTGTTGGTCACTGGAATTTGGTCTATTAAATTCTGTGCTTTCTGATTACTATACTATAACTATACTATAACTATAACAGACAACTAAGATTTAGTGTAGTTTGATCTGTAAATCATTAGTGTTAACAATACATAAAATTAAGGGTCTCAAACGGGGATCTAAATGATACGAGTGGACAGACATAGTGCCTTTCAGTAAATGTCTTAATTCAACTGTTATTTAACTTTGCAGTGAGTGAATAGAGACAAGGCAGTTGATTAGGAAAGGAGAGTGGGCAGTCATCAATGATATCAGTGGGCACACACACACAATGTCTAATTAATTCAGTTTCAATTCAATCACTGTTCCTCTTAAATATTTTAAACATTTTTCTTAACTGATTAACTGGAAAACTAATTTTAAAAAAAGGCAATCAGTCACCGGTTGTATGACACAATCTACCAAGTAAATAAGCGATGTGTTTCTATTACTCACACAATGATGTTGTTGATGGGGATGTGGATGAGTTTGACGAAGAAACCAATGAAACCCATGATGGCAAACCCAATCGCTGTGGCCATGGCAATCTTCTGGAATTCTGAAGGAGGGCAGAAATAAATGTCAAAATAAAGCAAAAATCAAATCATCTAGTTTAATAAAATGAACAGTCATGCTTTTTTAGATCCCATATGCCTTAGCTTGACAGTCGGTAGCTGGATTGAACTGAAGCTTAGACGCTGTAAACCAGCACAACAAAAACTGGGCCAAATGAAAAGTATGAACCTACCTTTTCTGTCGGGTTTTGTGCATCTCTTTACGAGCCTTATAGAGTCCTTGACGAACTGCCGGCTGGGCTCAACAAACTGCATTACCTGATCCATGGTGTTTAGGCTGTAGACAGCAACACAACAAAATCAGTGTTAAAGCTTGGACTGCTCTCAGTGCTGACGTTGACTTCAGCAGCCTGAGCTTTTTATGACTCCCATAACTAGATACTGGTTAATATACCGTACAGTTTCTCTATTTCCATACAATATTAATATGTGAATTAAAATATACGTGTCCTCATCAGTGAAAAGCATGTTTTGAAGTTAGTTTTCACTCATCCTGGCAAGCTAACGTTATCGCAAAAAGAGCTATGGAGGTCGACGTAATGTTAGGTTAGCTGGAAATCCAATATAACGTTATAACAAAAATACAAGTAAAAAAAAAAGTGTCATACCTGTTGGTAGGTTACATATAAGTAAACAACACAGTAAATTTGAATATAATAACACGCAGCTTACCTGTTTGTGTGGTTTAAGATGAGAAGACAGTCAGAGGACTGAGGGCCACGTCGCGTTCAGACTGCTTGTTAATAGAGAAGAGCTGACGTAGACTTAAGACGCGCATGCGTATTATGTTGTCTCTCTTTTTTTGTTTGAGCTTGAATTATTGGTCACACTGCCACCTACAGGCCAGGAGGTTTTTACACAGAGACAGGCACTTAGTTTCAGTTACAGCAATAGTAGCATGGGTAAACCAAGAGCCATACAGATATAAGATTATTATTATGAATATATAATATGTATTTTTTTTTCTATAAGGCTCTTGGTTAAGCCCATTTTATGTTAATTTTATCTAGCTTTGTTCCAACTCTTTTTACTTAGGCTGCAAATAGGAAAGCACTCAATACATGAATTGCACTCTTGTTCTACTGTATGTTTAGGTAGTTCAGTTTGGGCAGCTGAGGGATACAAATCCAGGCTCTCTGTCTTAATAACAAATTATTGTATTGTATTATGTCATTCAGTGTGTTGAAGCAAGTACAGATGCAGCTACTTAGAATTGCCAGCTGGTCCGTGACAGGTAGTTACTTATCAGCTGGAAGCCAGCTTGGGGTGGCAATATGGCTGATGAGGCCTACTGTAGTAATATTGTACTGTTTGTTTTTTTTTTTAAATAGAGTTCATTTCTGGAAACAGGACTAATGGGATTTTGTTATGAAGTTACTGTTATTTGGTGAGTGTGATAATATATCTGAATCCTAACACACACGTTGCTTTGAGAGAGCATTGGTCCTAGACTCCTTGTAGCCACTCCTCTTGCTCATGCCACATTCCTTATGTCTTAAATACTCCCTCATGTGATTTAGATTAAAATACGGTTTCTATGGCATTTTTTCTCTTGATCTTAGTTCTCCATTTTACTGATTGTATGGGTTGAAAACCTCGACGCTAACATTAATACTCATGTCCAGCAAATGACAAGTACATGTGCTACAGTCCACTGCATACTTAACACTATTTTGCATCAATTATTGGGAACTCAATCAATTAGTAAAATACCTAATAATGCTTAACAGTACTATGGTATAGGCAGGTGGATTCAAACATTACTTTTTTACATTTGTCACTTTTATTAAGAGTAAGTCATATTAAAATCCAGTCATCTATTTGGGTGGCACTGACTAAGAATTTAAGACTCTCAATTCAAGTCATTATTAATACCCTAAACATACCTAATCTCTCTTAACTCTCAAAAGGGAAATTCATCCCAGTATCACATGGTACTGCATCTGAAAAGGTCAACCCAACAGCTTGGGTAATGTTAACACTAAGTAAATACACTCATAACTCACATACGCAGTAACAAGTAACAAGCAGAATTGCAATATGTTTGTCAGTGCAACAGGTTTAATTTTTACATGATGTACATATTCCCAATTTCAGAGGCTTTGCTGATGCCTCAACATGCTGACACATTGTAACCATATAATGATTGCTATCATAATGTAGAAATATTATGGTTACAGTGTACTGAGGTAACTGCATTAACCTAGTACAACCACATCACAGAGGATTATAGGCCTAAAGTTTTCCTTCCTTAGCTAACAGGGAGTTATCTGAAACTGCAGACTGCATGATACAAGGTAGTTCAATCAAAAAGTTTAGACCAATGGCTCATGTTTTACTGATCAATAAATGTACATTCTGATATGTGTGTTTGCTCCAAAAGCAAAACAGTACCTACTTCAAATTAACTGTCATCTAAGTGCTTTAACTGTCAACCACAAAACTGTATGCCTGCCCAGATGTAGGCATTTCATTCAAACGTTTCTTTGAAAAGGGCTTTTTGCCAAAAACTATACCACTGCCACACTAGTACTTGTATGAGAAACTTTCATAAAGGTCATTTTCATCCAAAGCAAGAAGACCATGCTAGCAGCTAACAATATAAAACAGCATCTGCACTCAAGATACAAATATGACTAAACAAAGAATGCCCACACCAGTTAGTACAGTAAAAAGTACTGCTTCAACATTTCTCAAATTCTACAAAAAGTATTGAAAATAATTTGACTGTCAGTGAATGCTAACAAGCAGTATGAAATATGGGTAAAACACCATGCAATCTGATAAATACAATTTGACTAAAACAGCATTTGTTTTTGATATATTTTTTTAAATAAACAAGCTCTTGGTAGCACTATCTACTGTACTTTGAGTCATAAAATACATCTTTTTCACAACAGTAACAGCAAAAATGAATGCCTCTATAAAAGTTGTCCTTCACTGCACACATTTAATTTGCCACTATTCACTGCCAGGTGATGTCAAGCATGTTGCAGCTGATTTCCCACAGTTTCTGGGCCAAGTCATCATCCGAAGCAGCCCTTGAGCACCTTGCAGGAGTGCAGTCACTGTGTGTACAAAGGGACAGAAAAAGGCCATTACGCATTGTGTGATGCATTTGTTTGAGTGTTCAATAAGAATAAAAATAGTTGACTCTCAGCTACATACAGTCGTAATACTGAACAGCATGAAGCTGGCCCTCTAAAAGCTCTTGTATAACCAATTGCAAGTTGCTTGGAATACTGTGTACCTGAAGTACCCTCCACTCTGGTTGTCCAGGCGTGGCTCCACAGCACAATAGATGGTGGTCTGCGCTCCCTCTACCGTAGTCTTGGTGAAAATCCTGAAGATCTTCACTGCCACCTGGATACACTGGTGCTGATGCCTCCACAGGTCAGACTGCACCACCCCGGGGTGCAGTGAGAACACGCTCACACCTGTACCTGCAACAGATATACAGGCACCTCCACAGTCACTTACAAATACACTGTATACTCAAGTTAACACACGCAAACAAGTAAGATGTTACTGCCATCTGCATACTCTGCAATGATTAGCATACAATTCACACACATTACTGTGCATAATATGCTCTTTTTTTATTTTTTTAAAAAGTTGAAGTGAATAAACCATTAAACCACTGGATTGTCATATTAATGTAATTTCGTCTCCGTTCTTGGCCATTAAGCAAAAGAACAAGAGGCAACAGATAGAGATTGAAAAATTGTTCATTTCCAGTGAAAATCTGATTCATAAGTAATTACCGTACTTTCTCAGAGGGAGAAAAGACAATTAAATAAGGACGAACACTTACGCAAGCTATCCAGAGTGAAAGTAATGGTAAGTATGCACTTCATCTTTCCTAGAAAGAGTCACAAAGGCCCTTCTCTCTCCCGCTACAACAAAAAATTTCTCCCATTGGAACTTAGTCATCAAGCCAAGGCTTTCCTAAGTGAATCAAATTTAAAATCTGTAATTAAGTTTTTTTTTTTTTTTCTTTTCTTCCATCCCTTGTGACATGTATGAATTCCTTGAAAACGCTACTATCTCACCTCACCTTGTAACCGTTTGGCAAGTGAGCGTGCAAAGAGGACATTAGCCAGCTTGCTCTGTCCATAGGCTTTCATGGTATCATAACTCCTCTCGCTGTTGATGTCATCCAGCCGAAGCCCAGTCCAGGTGTGGGCCACCGATGCTACGATGACAATACGGGCAGGAGCTGAACGTTTGATGAGGTCCAGCAGCAGGTAAGTCAACAGGAAGTGACCTGAGGAAAGTCAAGAGGCACGCACTTTCACCCTATTGTCTTGCGCTACAGAAGCAAATGCCACGCCAAAATTATGAATAAGTCACTACCCCACACTGTGTTGGATTATTACACCTCAGGGGGTCCACATGCAATATGATTGGCTGAGTTAAATGACAAAGGAACTGTCTTTTGGCAGTTGATACTTTTTATATCCAAATGCATCATTTGTTGTCATTTTCTCCTCTCAAAGTTGATGGAACAAGTGTCATTCTGCCAAACAGAAACACAAAGCTTTGTACAAGCAACTCATAAAACACCCTACATAACCTGCCATCAAAAAGAAGTTTACAGAGAGCCTTGTGACAGTTGGAGCTGCTGTAGAGGTAAAAGAACCACTCTGTGAGACATCACTGACTGTGCCAACAATATCCTATCTAGACTCCTCATTCTGTTGTTGTTCTGTATAAAAATAGTACTGTCGTTGCATCACCGGTCTTTTGGCTTGTGCTGTGGTTCCGCAGTGCTGAACAGACAGCTCTTCCTATTATTGTGCACCCAAATCTTTTACATTTAACATCATGATGTAGCATTTCTACATCTTTAGTTTATGGTGTACTTGTGATTCCATGTGACGCTACAGTCACAAGTGCACAAGTGGTTGTTATTCATGGTCAACATACAGTAGCTCTTACTGTGTTGTTGATAAGAAGGTCATATCTTCGCCTTCCCTCCATACACAAACATCACAGGATGGATAACAGCCCATTGACATGTCATTCCAGCTTATGGAGCTAACTTGGCAACCCTGTCATTCCTATCTTGACTGATGCTCTGAAAGAACAACAGCTTTGCCTCAGCCTCACGGAGATCCGCATTAAAGGAAATCACCATGTGTTACAAGCAAGAAAGTTTACATAATGTCAGTAACGTTATCTGTGATCAACAACTTACTGTATATAACATTATTCCTGCTGACGTGGTGAATACAGCCTCAGCCATATCTTGACACAAACTGAAACACTGAGAAATGTTTGCAAAGACTGATTTCTGTTTAGCAGACACAGCCCTAAATGTTCACATGTGAACACTGAAGGACACAGTATTTTTGCTTTCCTCACTATTGTTCTCTATTTCCTGTTCTATTGTTGACCCAACCTATTTAAAGTATATGTATAAATGTAAAGGGTGTGTGAATGTGCAGGTATGTATTCATATGTGTTTGTGTGTGTGCGCACGCACATATGTGTGTGGGAGACTAAGTTCGAGCACAGAGTGTTCTTCTCTCTGTCAGCCTGTGACAAAAATACCACTGAGGAAAAGACTATTTGGAAGGAAGCCATGGTCCAACACAGGGAAAACACTGTCAGCTTAAAGAAAACAGTAACTCTGGTTACATTTTCCTGGCTATGTTGGTCAGCTTGGCTGTACGTGTGTTGTACGGCTTGCTAATACCACTAAATACGAAAAAGCTGTATTTGTTTAACTTCTTTTTAGGCAAATCCCTGTTATCAGTATGCAGTCGTGTTATTAAACCACTCATGGATATGACTGCCATCTGTTCTAATTCATCAATCAGATCTAGTAGTCCAAAACAACACTTTGAAGTCCCTCTATTATTCATTCCTCTGACAAACATCACAGTTAACTTCAATGCATTTTATGACCGCTTCACAGATTCTCGGAAAATGAACGTGAACGTGACATTTCAAATCAAAGTAGAGACGGCAACTTCCAGTAAGACGTACCCAAATGATTGACTCCCAACTGCATTTCAAAGCCGTCAGCAGTCTTGGAGTAGGGACACATCATGATTCCTGCATTGTTTATCAGGATATTCACTTGTTTCTCCTCTGAAAAAAACATCCCATGAAACACAAAAAGATAAAGAAGAATTAGTAATTAAAAGAAAAACTGAAAGGAACTGTGTGTGCAATAAGTGAAGATATATAATGGTTAGTTACCTTTGTTAATGAGTTCAGCAAACGCTCTGATGGACTTGGTGTCAGATAGATCCAGTTTCCTGATGACCATATTCTCATTTCCTGTGTCTTCCAAAATCTCTGTTCGTGCCTCCTCTGCCCGCTCCAGGTCCCTGCAGGCCATGACGATGCGTGCACCTAAAAACAAGGATCACAAGTTATGATAATGTCTTGTTCTCCCTTTTCCACACTACTTTCTTTCCACAGTCTGAACACGCAGGTGAAGCTAAAAGAATTGAGACTACTCTCCACCTGTCAAATTCAAGCAATAGGGTGCAGCATATTACAAATCATGTTTTAACTGCAGCTAACTGTTGTTAGCTAATAACTGGAGCCAGGTGAGCAGGCAATGGAACCCAGCTCAACATCCAAATACAGCTTTCGAGACCAATGGAGGCCAGTTTGACCTCAGGGAATACGGGACTGAGGTGATTTACATCGGCTCCAACCAGGACTCTGAGTCGCTACAGGTTCAGGCGGGGAAAGGAGAGGCCTGAAGCAGGAGAGGAGGAGGAGGGAGGTCAGGCATCAGAGAGGTAGCAGCATTGTGTAGATCCAGATTATTTTCACATATAAATCTGTGAATTAAGGATCTATTTTGACCAAACCAGAGTCACTGTTTGTGGGAACAGTGAAGAGACAAATGTTAGTTCATTTTTTGAATGTTTTAACCCTCTTAAATCTCACACATTGCACCTTTAAAATTCCCTTAAGTTTGTCAGGTGATAATAGCTATTATACTGTGCTGAATACAATCATGACAGTTATAAATTAAGGCAAATATTCTACACACAAGAAGTTTAAATCCCTCACAGTTTGAACTCCAAACTCCAAACTACAAAGGATTTGCTCATTTGCAGGCATAAAGCAGCCTACGTCAATTAAGAAGGAAGTACCTAAATGTGTCTTTGTGCTTTTGATCATCCTCTAATGTTCTCTAAACTCTCATTCAGCATCTCATTTAGCCCAACTGCTCTGCTCACACAAACACAAGACCCTCTCAACTGTGTCATTCTCATTCGCCTCTGACGCAAATTACGATGCATTCTTCTTAATGAGCCCGGAAAGGGGGTTTGAGGACACGTACACACACACTCTCTCTTTCTTTCTCACCCACAGAAACATGCAAACATGTATGCATGCCCACACAAACAACACATAGACAGACAACTTCCCCCACCACACACTCACAGAAACGCACATACACACACATAGAAAGTAGCTGCTGTGCCCAACAATTATGGAAGAGGAGAGCCATTAATCAGTTGGAGCGTAGTGTCTGCATCCCATCACAGTGTCTTTGTTTCTCCCCTGCTGTTGCCATGTGAGAAAACCCAATTGTTCCCCGCATTTCCCTGGAAGCCAAGTTCACTCAATTAAATAAAAGAGTAAACAAACAGTGAGAATGGAAGGTTATACCGAGGCAAGTTAAAGATCATCTAGCAGATGATTACACAGTGTTATGCATGCATAAATAATGACAGTATGCAAATAAGGAAAAATGAAAATAATGACAAGCCTGATCACATTCTGTAAATTCAGACTCAACAATGTGTCCAATTCCCTTTGTCAACATGGCAAATTAACATAAAAGTGAATGTTATAACCAAATAAATAAATGATTAAAAAAGTTGAGATCCAGTTTGGCTTTCCTGATACAGCACCCCAAGGAACCACCTACTGTTATGAATCCTTGCAAATCTAATCATGTTGTCATCATGTTATTACATAATCCCATTTACTGAAAGGTGATACATTTTGACAGTGAATTCTCCAGAGGCAAGGAACACAGCATTGTTATTTCCCTCTGGCAATTATGATTTCCTGTCTTTTTTCTGTATTAATGTTGATTTTGCTACAAGAAAAATCTGTTAACACATCAATGGACTCCTGGCTGCCATTTGATTAGCAAAATAAAAGCAAATATACACGTGTGACAACTGTAATTATAATAATGTGAATAACACTAATGCATTTATAAAAAAAAAAATGGAGATAGATGTCATAATGAGCATTTCAAGTGCAGACGAATGAACAATCACGTATGCAGAATTAGTTTTCATATTACTCACCCGTGTGTGTGTGTGTGTGTGTGTGTGTGTGTGTGTGTGTGTGTGTGTGTGTGTGTGTGCGTGTGTTTGCACTGCTGGGTGCACCCTCCCATCTCTCTTTGTTGCCTGTCTGGCTCCGGAGGGGAGCAGACCCTCACAATGCTCCCTCTGTCCCCTTGATGCCTCGTCTGTTTTCAATCACTGCCATTTGTCTTTCATTTGGACTAGTGAAAAGTGTTAAGAAAGATGCTTATTTTGGTTAACATAGCCTTAAATCTCTTCTCCGTCTGCCATTTGTCTTGGTCTTAGAATATGTAAGAGGTTTAGGTATGCTGAAGTTGTAAAATCACTTGATCCAGCCTGACATTAGTGGAGGTCTTAGGACGGAGGTCACAGTTGAAGATCATGCTTTATAGCTTTAAACCACCTACATAATAGAAGTGCTTAACTCCATGGAAAAGAGTGGAATGTGTCTGAAAGTTAGTAAAAAGGAAAGAAAAAAGGGAAACCGCAGGGTAGGGACACATCAATGCGACTGAGCCAGACATAGATATAAAGACAAGTGGAGACAGACAGTCAGCCCGAGCATTACCTCTTCTTGCCAGGTCCCTGGCTGTTTCTTTTCCAATACCAGTGTTGGCTCCGGTGATGATGACTGTTTTCCCATCTAACCTCTCCTCAGATGACCAGCGGTTGCAACACACACTCCTGAACACAACAAGCAAAGCATCAGTGAAGGAAAAACCCCATGAATAGGATTTCCCTTCATAACAAGTAGAGGGATACGTTTCCACTCCCCACTTCTGTTGTTGTCAATAATCTACTTTATGTATACACATTCAGTCAGAAATGGGATCCTTTGTAGAATTTCCTACAAAAGTGAAGACATTTGGAAATGTGCAAACAGAAAAACCAAACATCCCAAACATGATGACTCTTAGACTCTTAGACAGTTTTTACATTTAGGAACACATTTACTTTTTTGCTATATCCTGTACATATAATAGGTGCTCTGTAGCATATTTATATTGCCTGATTATGATTTGAAACTACCTGGCTTATTCCCTACAAGAATAACAATTAAAAGAAAATCTCTTATTCAAAGTCCCTGTAACAGATTTACAGGAGCAAAACAAAAAAACAAATTCAACAATTTTTCTCAGTTATTCTACACAACAAATCATTTACAAGCAAAACAAAAACCGAATCGACACAAACAACACATTTCTACACAAGTCTAATCTACTGCCAAATCCGGCTGCGCGGTATAGTGTAATCTCCCTAACATTTCTTAAATTCCTTCTTATTAACAGAGCCAGAACCTGTACCGTTTCTGTTTCTGTTTTTTTGTTCTTACCTGCAGTACATTCTTCCCCCAAACAGCAACAAATGTCCACCTCAGGAACCAGTGAGCCACTTTGGCAAGAAATGAAATTGCCTCCTCCAGTCCTCCCAACAGTTCATCAATGGATTTCGTGCTTGTCATCTCTTCCCCACCCCGCCGCCGCGTTTGTCATCACAATATCACGGCTCGTCCAATCAGGAGCGAGCTGACGCATAATTGATTCACAAATTCACAAGGATTGGGGGGGGCAGATCTTTCGGGGGAGACACTGTTAATATGAGCTGGGCGTCATGGGGTGCAGACAAAAAAAAAAAAAAATAGTCCGCATAAATAAAATACTTAAGTAGCATAGGGTAGTAAGGGTTCATTTTGCTGTAATGTAACAACCATGCTGGTATCATGATGATGGTGCAACATTGCTTCTTGGCCACTTGAGGTCCTCCCAAGTCAAATTTCATCAGGTTGCCAAACTATCCCTAAGAGTTTCAAAATGATCTGAACTGCCTAAAAAAAAAACACAATCTTGACACAACACTGGAGCTTTTAATTATTCAGTGACTCAAAAACGAGATCAGCAGTTAATATCAGTCATATTTATTATAAGCTGCATTTATTATCATTTCTTTCTCCAACCTATTTGCATGTCATCCTTCATAAACTTTGTTTTTACAGTAAGTATATTATGCTTGTATTTATATCCTGTTCACCTACTTACACAATTTTTCAATCCCATACTTGACACTTTCTCCATACAGTTAACCTAGCATCAGCATAATATTTGTAAGTGCTCATAACTATTGCTTCATAGTATGTGGGAGAGCCCATTTAAGTCTGAGAGCTTATCTCCAGCGGATGCCTAGTAGGTGGCAGCTCACGGCCCACAGCTTTAAGGCGGTGCCATCGTCCTGACCTGCCCAGGAGCTCTCTGCACAGGCACAGTCTCTGTTAGGAAGGGGAAGGAAAGACAGAGTAATTACCTCTTTAGGACATTCTTTAGGATTTTAGTGGCATCTAGGGGTGAAGTTGCCTATTGCAACAAACTGAATACCGCTCGCCACGTGTAGGAGAAACTACGGTGGCCCTCGTGAAAAATGTGAACAGCCAGTGTTTGGTTTTCCTGTTCTGGCAGGCTCTGTGGAAGAGGACTAATTCTAAAACCAGAACTTATTTTCAGGTGATTATACACTAATAAAAACATACCTATAAATATTATATTACATTTCTGCCAATATATCCTCCTAAATGTTTCTCACTGGACCTTTAAAGTTTTAAAATGTCTTTGTTTCTCTTTATGTAATCATTCTCTGTTGTGATTAGTAAGAATTAAGGAGGGGAATCATGACCTATATAGATTTACAGTGCATCTCACAAGTGGGGTACATTTTGTACATTCAGTATATGGACCATTAGCTAGCTGAGATTACTTTTATACATAGCTGTCACATAACTGACATATTTATACATCTGGCACCTTTCAAGAAGACTCTGGCGCGGGTGTGTACTGCTGAGGAATTTTAGGAAACCCCACCCACCTTCTGTTAATGACTAATACATTCTACACTATCAAAGAAACACTGACATCTGGTCGTTTAAATGTTTGCGGTGGGACGTCTGTTCTCACTTAAGTGGCTTGGTTTAACTAATTCGAACTGATTGATCATGAGTATCGCTGCTACTGCTATTTCAAACTGACTTGTAGTATCCCCCGGTGAGCAGCTGGTTCTCAGGAGTGACGGTGCAGTAGATGTTGGTATAGGCTCCCTCTGCTGGGGTCTTGATCAGAAAACTGAAGGCCTTGGCTATGTCCGCAAGAGGGCGCCTCATGTGCCTTGTTATTTCAGTGTTCACTATGCCAGGATCCACAGAGTAAGCCGTCACACCTAGAACTGTAGGCAAAGGGATGCATTTAGGTACAGAAAATCAACTCTCAAATGGGTTGATGTGGATTCCAACTTTTCAAAATAGGTTGGTTTTCTATCTTATAATATTCTTTGTTCAGTTTGACAGGAAGAAAAGCCTTGACAGCAACCTAACACAGGTCAAACATCAATCAGACAATCAGAATCCATGGCCTAATAATCTCTGAGGTTCATACATTCTATCCATGCATAGTTTGATACGACATGATAATATCTGAATAGAAAAAGGCAATTATCTCTATAGAAACTATGAGATTAATAGTGAGAATAACAAGTTGTGATCAGTGGAGCAATGAATAATTCTTTAACTGTATTTTCTACAAACATGTTTCTCCTTGCTCTGTTTCTTGCCCAGGGCGGTTGCGGTTGGGGCATGAGACTCTCACACTGGCAAGAAATGCTGATCGATTTTTCATACACACGGAAAGAGACAAAGAGGCACAGAAAGAGACAAACATACAGTACATGATGCATAATCTGTGTCACAGACACACACACATACACACCCTACCCTCAGTCCTTTTGGCCAGCTCTCTGGTGAAAAGGACGTTGGCCAGCTTGCTCTGTGCGTAGGCCCTGACAGGGTGGTAGTCTTTTTCACCGTTCAGGTCATCAAACTGGATCTTGCCCATGGCGTGAGCTGCCGACGAGACGTTGATGACCCGGGATGGGGCAGAGTGCTTTAGCAAGTCCAGTAACAGAAAGGTCAGGAAGAAGTGACCTGAACAGGGAAAAAGTGGTTGGAAGTAGAAGAAAAGATACAGTTTGTTAGTGAGAGAAAATAAAACACAGAAAGAGCAAAGGAAAAATTGGTAAGAAAAGCAACTTTTAAAATAAATACACAAAAGGCTTAACAGATTGGCTCACTGGTCAGTCACTAACAGATGAGAACAGACACACCAAAATGAGCTGGTTGTTCTATTGCTGCATCCTAATACAGGGGCCCATACAAAATTCAATACATTCATTTTGATCAATAAAAGGCCCCTAGATTTCTTTGACACACTCCTGCCATTAACTAAACACAGGGTCAATTTCCCCAAAACGAGTGTATTTGCACACGTTTTTAATCTCTTACCCAAGTGATTGACTCCAAACTGCATCTCATATCCATCCACTGTAATGCTGTAAGGGCAAATAGCCACACCTGCATTGTTAATCAGGTAGTGAAGAGCCTTCTCAGCTGGAAAACAAAATATACGTTACCTTCAGCACAGTCTTTATGACAATTGTATACAGTATTCTGGAGTCTATGGGTGTGTGTGTGTGTGTGTGTGAGTGTGTGTGCCACCCACTGTTGTAGATATTCTCGGCAAACAGGCATATTGATTTGGTGTCAGCCAGATCCAGTTGCCTGGCGACTACCTTGGCTCCCTTCACCTCCCGCATGATGTCACGAGCAGCTTGCTCTCCCTTTGCCATGTCTCTGCATGCCAAAATCACCCTTGCACCTACAGAGATTAATACCTCTTAATGGTGACTGTGTGTTTGCATGTACATTCATGTTAAAATTTGAACAAGGCAAGGTGGTGTCGAGCTTTCTTTTAAACACTTATCTTTGTACACTGTATGTTTTTAATCTGTATTTTATTGAAACCAGTTCATATGTTTAACAGTTTAATACCTGAACCACCTCATTATATCTCGTATTCTTGCATATTACTTTTTTATTAATAATAGGCACTCTGAGTCACACAGCAAGAAAGAATAATACAAAGAACCTGTAAGTCATCATGGTACTCATTTGACTGTCTTTAGTTCTGTTTGCTTGCCTCGACCAGCCAAGTCTTTAGCTGTCTCTTTGCCTATTCCAGTGTTGGCCCCCGTTACTATAGCTGTCTTCCCTTCTAGACACACATCTGAAGACCACTTGGGGATAATGAGAGACCTGAGGAGTTAGGTATGAAAGTATAAATGATTAGAGAATTGTTTTTCTTGACAGCAAACATGATTATGTAATATCATTTTTACTGTCAACAGAATAAAAAGAACATTGTAAGAAAACTGAAGGCAATTGAATATTGTTTGTCTAACCTTACGGTAACTGAAATACAAGGTGGGTGAGGTTTACCACCTAAGGCAAAACACTGAATGCCAGAAAACACAGTCATTGTATAAAATTAAGTTAAAAGGCTTTGAACTGACTTGGCAACTACACCTAACATTTCAGTGTCTGTCTATACTGACCTGAGGAAACAATATCCATCCATCTTTTATTCAAATCAAAGTAATTTGTGAATAAAAAACTGGCTTACATTCTGTATACTGAAATCACATTATTAAAAAATATTCTTAAAGAGACAATTCTACTTTTATCTTCTCTTTTTTTCTTGTGATGATATCCTACATGAGAGATTTCTTACCTGAATGCTTGCATTTTTGTAGTTTGTGACCTAAAGTTGCAATATCCCTTCTATAATTTGAGTGGCTCCTTATTTCACCGATGATGTCTCAAGACTCACACCGGAGAGAGGATGACAGAGAAATGAGAGCCAGAGAGGGTAAGACTGACACTCTTATTTGCCCCTATGATGACTTAGATTGGATTGGAAAGTCATAATTAGACACAAATACCCTCTTGTTAAAAGTCTGTTATTGTAACTAATCAATTAGACAGACTCTTAAACAGGGTTCCTGGCGAGCAATCACATGACAAGTTCTGATGCATAAGCCTAAGTAACAGAGAACTGTTTGTGTATTTGCATGAATTGTATAAACTATTGACTCAGCAGACTCTGAGACTCTTACACAACAAATTGTTGTGATGCAATGTACATTTTCTTTTTATCCCTTCTGTATTCTGCCTTAAGCATCACTGGTGTCTGTCAGCTGTCAGTGGTGAAGGAAATATTCAGATCTTTTTACCTGAGTAAAAGTAGCTACCGTGAAGGAAAATACATATTACATATATGAAAAACAAATGTAAAATATTTCTTTAATTGATATGTTAACCTGTAAGCAGCATTTTAAGGTCCAAGTGTTGCTTAGTGACTTTATATACTTCTTGGTAGTTTCATTTAAGCCTTTTTATGCAATTCATCATATTTGCAAGCTCCTAATATTTTCTGCATGCAAAATTGTTATCTGTGAAGTAACAAGAAACTGCGTCTGCTGAGTACCACTGGGGAAATGCACTAATCTCATAAAAGTGTCTGAAACTGAATACCTGGTTCCACAGGTGAGACGACTGTAATTTCAGAATTTGACCACTGTGGATTTTCGGGTGCTTTCCACAGGAAGGTCTCAGCTATCACCTAGCTGTAAGTAAGGCTGTTATCCTAACTGCTGATAGGGGCGTCAAAGACTGGAGAACAAATGCTGAACCCAGATCCAAAGAGGGTCTCCCTTACCCTTCTTTTTTCATGTATCATGTAAAAAAAAATGCGCGTGGTGGTAAATGCGTGGTATGTTTCTGTTAGCAGGTTTTAATGAGAGTATAGACAATCTTGTCAATTTAGGACCTGCCTTTAAAAAATTTGACCAAACAGAGCCATGCCATGTCTTGCACTACTTTAGATATACTTTAGATTTCTTGTCTTTTTGTCATCCGAACATACAGTTACCACTAGGGGGTAGAATGCAGCAACTTGCTACATATCTTCAGTAAAATGAGAGACTGTTTTCTCACACATGGAAGGTTGAAAAAAGCTGAATAATAAGCTGAAATCATTTAAATCTACAGTCAGGTTCTGTGTTGGCAGGCCAGCCAGGTCTCATGTAAACCATGTGAAAGCTAGTCATAACTTCCTGTTTTCACAAACAACCATAAAATAAGCCGAGACAAGATGCACACTTACACACACACATACACGCACACGTAAACATACTCCTGCTGACCCAAACCAGGCCTAAATGAGTGCTGCCAGCTCCTCTCATGTGGTCTCTCTGTGACGCTAGCTGGTCTGACTGCTAGATTAGTTTCTCCTTGCAGCTGCTCGCCATCCCCAGGCCTGATGAAAGGCTGCCTGTCTGTCTGTCTGTCAACACAGGGACAAAGACAGAGAGGTCTTGCCACATGTGTAATTATCATTGCTTCACAAAGATTATAGATCATCTTGAGGAGATAAATGGCTCGTTCATTGTAATTTGTCTATCCCAGAATAGGAAAGTTGACAGAGAGAAACCACAGAATGCAGGATAGCAGCCATCCCTGAAAGGATTAGATGCAAAACATATTTAATTTCAATCACAATAGTCTTTCAGTCATTCATTGCAATAGGTCTGATTGATATGTACATATTATTGAAAGGCTGCATACATATAGCGAGGTTGTAATTGAACAGGTCCCTTTTAACTCCCTTTCGCTATGCGTTTTGACTGCTGTTATTGGCTCCACTTAACAAATCCACACCATAAATCAAATGAGTGGAAGCACAAAGAGAATATTCATTCTTATTTCACAATAACATCAAGCTTCTTTTGAAATATATACAAACATTGATCACATATGCATCTTCTGAAATAATACATAAACAATCTACTTTGTGAAATTAATTAAAACTAAATATAAACAGGCTGACATTTTACTTTTCTTCATTAAGCCTTGAACATTAAAACATAATGAAACAAAACAAACCAGTAATAATAAAATAGCTTATCAAATGCATAGCATTTTTTCTTAGAAACAAACTGCACTTGTGGTGCAATAAGAAAAGAGTACAAAAGTCTACATACAGAATAAACAAGCATCGTATCAAAACTGAATGTGTCTCTTTACTGTAAAATAGCTTTTGTTAAACCCTGCAAACCAAACAAAGAGAAGAGAGAAGAAAATTCACTCGGTGAAATGCTTTAGATTCACCACCTTCAACCTTTTTTTTTTTTTTTTGACTCCACCCTGCCAGCTCTTAATGTAGCAAATTGATTGAATTTTCTATGTTACAAATATTCACTTTCATGGCATGATTTTGTGAGCGCAAACTCAATTATTTCCACATGGTGGATATTTTGTTGTGTAAGGAAACTCTTGAAATCATCCAAATGTCAAATTTAGAGTGGTTTAGAGTCTACAGACTTTAACCTGGGCTATTCAATCATGGAAGGTGGGAAATGAAAAAATGTAGTAAGTCCTACGTATCAAGACCCGGCTGCAATTTCCATACAAAAATAAAAACATGACGTTCTTTCAGCCTGAACTCCAGTTCCACATCCAATTCCCAACAAAATTTCCCATCATTGTCTGGAATGGAGGGAGTTTCCATTTGAAAAAGCCTGCAGCTTTTTACTGGAAAATGAAAAAAAGGCACTTTAGAGATGCCTGAGGCAAGATTCAGTGACTGATGTGTGAAATAGGAAATATTTCATTGCCTCATTTTAATCAAAAGCATTCCCTCCCTTGTTCTTCTGGTATGGCAGACAAATTGTGTTGGGTTTTTTTCAGTTATTTGTACATTAATTGGGAGCTAAGATACAAAAGGTGACGTAACCAACAGAAATAATCAGAAGTCATTTTTTACAACTGATGGTTATGAAGATGATCGCTGTACTGACAAATAAACAACCAATGGGCACTTTTCACTTCCCCAAAGGCCGCTCCTCCATCACTTCCTGGACTGGCAGTGTCTCGTCTTGCATGGTGCAGTGGGAAATGGAGTCCCCTTGTGATCTCAGACAGCTCTGGAAAAATGAGGCCGTCTCATTGGCCTCTTCCTGGACAGGGCTCCCAAAGGCATCGTCCTGCCCCACCCCGTCACTGTCAAGAGACGTCTGGCTGACATAGACGACAATGACATCACCGCTGAAGTTCATCACCTGACCACTGGAGATGAAGGTGGTGTTGTGGCTCCCGGACACCTGACCTGAATGGAGGGAGGGAGGAAAAGAAGAGATTGTGGGAAGTAGAAACACATTCGTCGTAGGCAAAAAAAAAAGTGGTAAAGGAGTGAGAAATCATATTTGCCTGGTACATATATTTTTAAAGTAAAATAACAACACTTTTAGCCACAGATGGGCTAGTGTGACAAAGGGTAGCCCACTTGAGTGATGACAAATGACTCAACATGTCACACTCTAACTGGTAAAGATAAATGAGAAGTGCAATGATCCTATTTGGAAATGTGTAGAAATACTTATATTCCCCCACAATATGCAAGACATATAGCGCTTCCCCTATTCATGATGTAAACGAAGAGGGGACTATATCTTGGCTAACCTCAGATGACAAATGGACAGTGGGTGTAATGACCATGCAGGATGACCACAGAAAGGCCACAGCTACATAGACCATGGCGGTCATATCCTTTCTGCCCTATTTGTTTCAGAGTGTCCACTTTTTAGCGTGAGAAACTATAGACCTCTGAAAACAAGCCATTTGTCCAGAGTTTAGGGTTTTACAGACATGGCTGAATACATGTAAAAAAAGTGCTGTTCAACTCTTTCTAACCTTTATTCTGTCTGCCTCAAAATCATTTGTTCAAGCCTCTATCTGCTGATGTCCATGTGCTTTTCCCATATGGATTTCAGCCAACCAGGTGAATTAAGAAATGAACTGTGTGTTTTTGTTTTGTAAGTCATCTTTCACCACATTAAGCCTCTGGTTCCTATTTTATCCAGCCTCCTGTCTGACTTTCCAGCAGACAGAACCAGCCAACCCTCCGTGACTCACAGCTCATGCCTCATCTATTCACACATATTTGCATGGACATGCGCATACACACACACACACACACACACACACACACACACACACACACACACACACACACACACACACACAATCACGGTAAATGTAAGCAAACAGGATGTAGCAGACACTTTTACTCCTACACACATACATATGCTGAAAAGCACACATAGCCCTATAAATTTGCGAAGGACAGACAAACATAATCACACACTCAAAGAAAGTGTGTCTCTGTGTTCCCCCCTTTTGAGAGCCTTTCCCGGAATACCAGTCTGAGAGGTCTAGTTTGAAAAAATGTCATTTCACCACAACTCTGAAAACAAAGCTCTTTGGAATCTGCTTGGGTTCTTCTGTTTATCCTTTCTTAATACCAAGCTGATTTTTCTGGATGCCCAACAACTGTAGCAATACTGACAGAGGTTTTAAACCAAAGACTAACGTTGAACTCTTGTAGAACCACTATCCTGTTCAATCTCAAAGAAAACCACAATTGTAACACAGTTCTCCTCAAAATCTTATTTTACCTGGACAGCTGCCAGTTTTTAATTCCTCAACCAATAAAATATATCTGGGTCATTATACTATTGAGGTAGCCTCAGGAGGCAGCTGCACTTGCGAGATCATGAAATCACATGAGAATCCATCTTTTCAGGCTTCAGTCTATTGCGTTATGTTAATCAATGTCCTTTGAGGAAGTACTGGCAGGTACTGGAGTGGAAGCTAGGTGTGACGCAGTGAGAAGACATGTTATTTAAAGTACAATGGTGGGTCCCATAGATGTTAGGCTAGATGCTGCTAGCATCGGTTATATCAGAACTGGAGTGTATTTCTTCACTGAAAGAAGAGCAAAGAATGAAACTGAAGTCTTTTCTTGATGGAAAACATGTTGTCGCTCTTCTTCCAACTGGCTTTGCAGAGAGTTTTTGACTACATAATATGGTTTGTTGATCTAATTGTTGAACCTCTCCTGTGAAAGACAGATGATTTATCCAATTACATGCCAAGTATTTTGGTGTCTGCCCTTTTCCAAACAGTTCCCAACAATTTCCCAGATGGTTCTATGTAACAAACAATCTTATAGTCAGGTTAAACTGTTGCAGTGGAGCTGCTGAGTGGCCAACAGATAAGACTGATGCTGCATACTGGATGGCTACGATGTTTAAACTATGTGAGGTTAAAAAAGGTGGACAGGTGACACCTCTGACCAGGGCCTGACCTTTAAATAGCATGTGCGGGAAATCTAATTACTTGTCATTCCTGCATGATGGGAAATGGTGTTCATGTGAGGCCAGCAAGCGTGTAATTAAAGTACCAAGTCATCAGTGAGAGTAAAAAAAAAAAAAAAAAAGACTTCACAAGTTTGTGTGTGTGTGTGTGTGTGTGTGTGTGTGTGTGTGTGTGTGTGTTTTTTGTTGGGTGGGCAGGGTTATAAAAGTATTACTCAAGCTGCGCACATCTTGCTTCAATTAAAGCTGTGGTCACTTTGCGCAACCCTATGGAACTCTGGGTAAACAGGAGCTTTGTAGATGGCATAGTTCACACTGACACACACACACACACACACACAACTCTATGTTGGAGTGTGCTTCTGGTGGTTCTCTAGCTCATCAAACACACATATCTTATTCCCGCTCCCTGTGTGGTCCCCCCCCCAAAATTCAGGATCCAACTATCAATACAATATATATAAAAAAAATATTTCTCGGAAACAATCGCATAAACTTCTTATTCTTATACTGAAACCAATCCTGTGTCAAAACTCGTGTTCACCTAATGATACCCCAGTTTGAGCTAACCACTGTCCAGATCAGACTGTTCTGATAATACTCCTTTTATAACTAACCATAACCACTCAGTGTTTGAGGCACAATAAACATGTTTCCAGGAGATTTTTCTCTTTGGCAGTGTGTAAAGGTCTCTGTGAGAACAATACAAGTTCAATCATGTGACAGTAAAACTTTCCATTAAAACCAACATATATTTCATTCTGTTATTCTTGGTGGCTAGTCCCACCTATTCTGCGGAAAGAGAACACTGCAATGTAGTGTATCAAATCATGTATGGCTATGACCCAGTGGCAATACAGTGGTGACTGCCTACACAAACAAAGAACACAGAATCCACCTGGCAAACACAACTGTGGTCCCACAGTCTCCGTAATGAGCCATTATCCCCATAGCACACAACCACTGTGCATTCAGTTTTCATTGACATTGTTGAGTGGTCATACCAAAAGTATCCAGAAAATATCCAGCTCTATAGCATCTTTGTATCGCCCCGAGGGAGCTGAAAATAGCTTGACTTATTGGGAATCTACACAAGTAGGAGCATGGAAAGCCCATTTCTGCCATGGAAAGAATAAGTTAATAATAAAATAAAACCAGTAATAGTAATACTGAAAATAATGAGATACGGAATCAAAATTGTGAGACTGACTTTCCAAGTCAAAATCATGCAGTAAGTCATTCTCCAGATTTTTAGAGGTCCAGTGTGTAACATTTAGATAGATCTACTGGCAGATGCAATTGAATATAATATTAATAAGCATGTTTCATTAGTGTATAATCACCTGAATATAGGAATTGTTGAATTTCCATTACCTTAGAAAGCCGTTTTTAACTACAGGGGAGAGTGGGTTCCTCCACGGAGGGCGCCATCTTGACCCACCATGTTTCTACAGAAGCCCAGATGAGACATATCAAACACTGGCACTAGATTGGTGCATTTCACGTTTCACGGCGACCATAGTTTATCCTACACCTTGTCAGTTGAATGTCAGTTCTATTCAAATGGTTTCCATTTGCAACTACACCACTAGATGCCACTAAATCCTACACACTGGTCCTTTAAGTGAAAAACAAATACGAAAATATATCACTAATATGGCTTTTTAAACTTTAAACATTCAGTCCAACTATGGCATTCATTTAAATATCGTAAGTCAAATTAAAAATGTTAAACTATGACTTTTGTCTTAAAATTAGTACTCTTGTCAATCCTCCTTTTCATTTATGTTTTTCTTTTTCTGACAGAAATGGGCTTCCATACAGAAGACTTCAAATGTTTACATTTTCACAAACCTGAAGTAAAAGTTGGTTCAGCCAGCTGACTATGGAGGCTCTCAGGTGCGCACTCCAGTCCTGACTCCAGAGAAGAGAGCTTGTTTCCTCTGCTATCCCCGCAGGAAAGTCCCTGGCCTTTCTCCAGGCTCGAGGCATCAGCGGGCTTGTCCAGGTAGAGATCTCCAACCGATGAGGAAATGATCAAGGGGCTGACCGAGGTCATCGCAGAGGTTGTACTATTTTCTGTTGAAGTGGAGTCTGTACTCGCCAGTCTGTATATTTTCTCCTGCTTTACCACTGACCTGTCCGTCAGGTGAAGTGTGAACTCTGGCCTCACCTGAGCCTGGCACAACGGCCGGCAGAGTTCAGGAAGTGGACCGGATGGAGAGATTACAGAGGAGGTGTGGAGGAGTGGAGGAGAGAGACAGAAGAGAGATGCAACACCTGTCTCACTCTTGGACAAAACCATCTTGTCTGGATTCCCATCATGCTTTTCTCCACCATTGTCTGCCCTTACACTCTCACTTTTCTCCTCTTTCCCACTCTCATCTCCATCCCTCTCTCCATCAAACCCTCCACATGAGCAGGTCCCTGGAGTCCCGGGGCTGACAGCTTGGCTACAGTCCTCATTCTCTCCCACTTCCAATGGCTCGTGGATGGGAATGACACACACACAAGAACCTGCCAAAAGAGGAGACACACTCACGACCTCCTCTTCTTCTGACACCTCCTCAGGTCCTCCAGACCCTTTGCTCTGTTCCTCCATCACTGTCTTCCCCTTGGTGCCTTCTCCCTCTGTCATTTCCCCTGTGATGGGCAGTGAGACCTTGACATCGGGAACAGAGGTGGGGAAGGTGCATGGGGTCTCATCAGCGGGACTGTGGGGTGCTTGGCAGATGAGTTTGGTCGTCTCACATGGTGTACATTTGGGGCCTCCAGGGCCTCCTCCTATTCCTCCTCCTGCTCCACTGTGGTAAAGAGGGGCCAAGGTCTCCTAGCATGACAGAAACAAAGAAAGTAGCATTGTGAAACTGATATTTTTAGAAATAAGTGGTTTCCCAAACCCTACACCATGTAGTAATAGACCTAAGTGTTAAATTTGTTTAATTTGATGATATATTTCATAAAGAAAAAAATCTAATATGTAGGTGGGATTACTTTCAATAACTTTGGTTTCTGTGTATTTCCATAGCTTTTTAATGGACATTCTATTTTACCTGTTGTATCCTAGTCCTTTTCAAATTCTGGACACAGGATCGCAGATTTACTAGAAAAAGAAACAACATATTATACCTTAATACTGAATAAAATGTAACTTCTGACTTCTGGTGAATCAGATGTTCTGCAGCAAGGCTATTAATGAAATATGTATTTTGAAGACAACTTCAATATTAATGTGACTGTGAGACCTACCAGAGAGTAATTTCAGTTTGTCCTTGTAGCAGAAAAGAAGCAGGATGAGGAGACACAGAACAGTGATGACTGACAGCACTGAAACTATAACCCAGGATGGTGCTGCACCTGCAAGAAAGAGGAGTTCAGAGTATGCTTTTCCACTCTACATTTTAATGTTGGTCATAAAGGTTGCCAAAAATACAATAATTAAGACAGTATTCTCATATTTCTCCTCGTTTTAATCCTCCAAGTAGCAGAAATGATCTGCCATATTTACTGTAAGTAAGTAAGTAAGTGGATCTTTATTCTGAGCAATTCTTACCGGAGACAAGCGGTCCACACACTACGTCAGCATGAGCGCTACCTGGCTGTAATTCACTCCTGCCGTCAGCCTTACAACTAGAAGAGAGGACAAAATCACAAAAACACAGAGTGAAGAAGAATATTTCTACATGTGGACATACTGCATGTTTTTTTTTCTTTCCCTCTACATTTTACTCGCCAACCCGCCAGCCTTTACAGTCCTGATCTGTAATGACGAATGACAGACAAAAACAAAAACAAAATTTCCTCTCTGTCACTCCATCGTCATCACCATTATCATTTCAGATCCGGCCTGCAGTGGGAGCTGGTGTCTGGTCCAGGGTTCCAGGGTAAGTGGTGTGAGTATTACTCATAACAGCTGGCTGGCGGTGAGACGGAGAACCCAAACGACCAATTTTCCCTTCACAACACTGAAAGATTCCAGGCTAAAAACTGTGTATGTGTCTGTGTGTGCATATATACACTTACTTAGTCCATGGTTTGCATTGTTCGGCACTGTTTTCAGCAGAGAAGAAGCCCTTCTTACACGTGACACAGATCTTCCTTACTTTAGACTCTGGAATTAACAACATACAATGTAGTGTAACTCTCTAATGACACACCACTGCAATTGTTTGATATGAACAAGGTGCGTTTCGTGTTAGTTTGCCTCACCAGGGTCTTCCTCGAGTCCATATCCAGCTTCACAGATGGGTATCCTCTCACAGTACTCACAGTTGATGATATGGCACTGTAAGCCAGGAACGCAGTGACACTGCTCCTCTGCCACTGGGTTGTCAGGCCTCTTCATAAAACCCTTATCTGGAGGTCAAAGGGGGCAGTTGTTTAGTGTAACTCCAAATCCTTGAGAGGAATGATAATGTGTTGCATCTAAAAGCCCACTCCACTGGCTGAATTTGTATATGTGTTGCAGTATGTGCATAGTTTAGAATTGCTGTTGTTACAGAGGATTTGATTTGATTATTCTGATAATGATGAAAACTGATGCACTTTCTTTTTCACATTTTAAGTCCACTTTTCCTGAAGAAAATCACTTCATTGAAATTATACATAGGAGCATTTTCCGTCATGATCAGAGCATTTTTCAATTTTACAAGAGAACCCCAAAATCAGTACAAAAGTAATACCATAAATACTTCGCTCTTTGCTCTCCAATGTAAGCAAACAGGGGTCGACAAAATATTTGGAAACAACAATCTCATATTTAGACTTCTGTATTGTAAAGGCATAAGTATATGTTTTAATGGTTTTTCAGGATTTTGAAGTCCAAGTCCAAGCTGCAGGTACTGACCTTGGTCACAGAACTTCTGCTGAAGACAGCGTTTGTCATCAGTCAAGCCGGGCTGATATTCATCACGATTACAGGGAACACATATAGTCTCTTGGGAATCAGTGCAGTCAGAAAACACTTTGAAGCCTAATGGAAAAAAACGAAAAGAGAAAAAGAGAGGGAGGGAGAAAGACAGATGGATTTAACAACCCGTACATAATTACAGTAACCACTAAAAACCTAATGGAAGAAGAGAAAAGGAGGAAGGAAATTGACAAAATTAGAGCCCTTTTTCTCTTTTGAAGGAATGGGTATGTCTAGTAGATCAAATGTTGCAATAAATTGTGTGTGTATATGTGTGGTCGTGAAAACATGTGTATTTCTGAGCCATTTTCAGCCCAAATGTTCCCCTTTTAAACAGCCTTCCTCTTTCAATTTATGATCTTTGTGAATGGATATCTATTTTTACTTCATGCAGCTTCCATTGAGAAAACTAAATATTCTCACGCTACTTTGTGTGTGTGTGTGTGTGTGTGTGGGGGGGGGGGGTTATTACCTGGTTCACACTTCTTGCAGCATCTGTTGTTTCTTAAGTAATGTGTTTCTTCACACTGGTGGGATTTGGAGAAAGCATTCTAAAAAAGATATCAAGACATACAATTATTGTTCTGTTACTTTGTGTAACTTTATTTTTTACGTGACAGGAAAAAACAGAAGATTACTTTTGCACACATATTTAGAGAACAAAGGTACAATGTATGTGAGAACTATCAATTTTTTTTAAAGATGATTAATTATATCATGATTTGCTTGATCAAAAACATCTATTTCCCATCAATGCTTTACAATCTTCCACAGTGAATGCCAGGCTTTTCTATGGCAACCCTTCTACAGTTCATCTTTCAGTTCCACACGTGATATTTTGAGATGGCGGTGAGTAATGAGAGGAAGAGGATGGTTAAAATTTTTCCAAGACATGCCCCGGAATTCTTTCCACACTCTCAGAAGCACCTGACCAGTTCACTGTGCGCCCTCCAAACCGGAAAAATAAACCCTAATAGTACCCAGTTATGTAAGGAGAACTACGTGGAACTAAATGCAATCACAATCCAGTTTGCTCGGAATTAATAAACACTACATATATTCTCCTGATCCCCACTGGTGAGCTGTCAAATAAAATCACAATGTTTTGGCAGGATGACCTAGTGGTCAACTTTCCGATAAAGTAAATGGTGAGATTTTGAGGCAGCAGTTTGTCTTCTGTTCTAACTTGCAAGTCTCCTGTTGTCATTAAATAGTGTAAGCAACAGCAAGGGACATGGAGGTGAACAGGGCACATTTGTCTGTGTTCAAACAATAAATGTGAACTCTAGTAAAAAGGCCACAAAGGTAAGCCATGCAGGCGCGCACACACACGTGCGCACACGCACGCACACGCACACACACACACACACACACACACACACACACACACACACACACACACACACACACACACACACACACACAGAGATTCATACTGTACACCCTCCAGCCACCCTAGGGCTGGTGAACGCCTCGCCACATTGCTGAATTAGAGAATCTGCCTGTTATGACAGAAACTATGCCAAAGCCACAGTGTCTATATATAAATGTAGAAAAATACAACCTATAGGTCTGACTGCATTCTGACCTTTGACTAACCTCATCTTTCTTCTCATTCAGCCCTTCTGCAAGCTCCTTTTCCCAGGAAATTATATACTAATTTAGTCATTCATACTGTCATTTTTTACAGTAAAGCAATGCTGGTGCTGCAGAAGTCCAGTCCAGTGAAATGTGACCAATCCAACTTCCTGCTCTATGCCTATGACTGAGTTGATAAAGCTATGATAGATATGTCACCCATTCTAAAACAGTTACATTCTTTTTATCATCTTTTATTTGTTTTGTTTTATGTAGTGTATATTGGTTCTAACAACAATGCAATACTTGAGGGACCACTGAATTATTTTTAAAACATAAAATAGAAAACGTTGCCTTTCACATCCTCTTCCCTCATTACTTCTTTCTTTCTTACACCTCCGCGTTAAACTGTCTCAGTGTCTATCCGGCCTCAGGCTGCAACAGCACAACATGAACACGGCCAAGCGTTTAATTACCTCCACACATCAGCCAGTCTTTGTTTTATAATCTAACCAGAGGGATAATGATGCACAGCTCTCATAGCTCGGACGGCAACGCTAATGAGGACCATGTGCTGCAGCAGACAGAAGTGACAGAAGTAGGAAAGGTTCCCATGCTATGAAGTTCATGTCTTTGTGTAGATAGTTAGAGATAGAAGTGGAGACACAGCTGGGCCAGAGTGCACAGGAAGCCAAAAGAATGCTGGGAATTGTATTTTTGTTACCGCCACATCTAAACATTTGGTCCTAGTTATGCGAGGCCGTATGTTTTGACACACTAAATATATATGTAAGAGGAAAAAGAGCTGATCCACCCTATATGATTATAGGTTATCATAACGGTCAAGATGGAACATCCAACCTCAAAACTAATTTTATCTTCTGTATGGATTCAAATATACACTTATGTTTGCATTTGGTGTGATTCTAAGAGAAATTGTAAAAGGTAAGACATAGGGGAGGGAAAAGGGGAAAAAGTCAGATGGTGTTGGCTGCATTAATGGAGAACAGAGACAAAAGAGGCATTAAGTTGCTCCAGAGATATTGAGCAACGGTCCCTTTTTTTTAAATCATCTTTTGCAAGAGGTTTTGTTCATCTTTTTAAAATCCTTCACCACTTGTGTGATCCTATCTAACAGGAGTGTGACACAGAGTGCATTCCATTTGCTGTCAGAATACTAGAGAATTTGCATAACGGCCACAGCAGCCGATGGCACCGTGCCAAGAAAAGCATAGTGTGACTTTTAGTGCTCCAGGGGTTTCAGCGATCCATGATAAGGTGCTGTAAAAGCATAATGCACAACAATTGAATCTTTGTACAATGTTTACACCTGCGATTATATCTTTAAGAGTCATAAAAACGAATCTTTTGAAGTGCCACCTGCAGACATCAGGATATTGACTAGTTTGAAAAAGATCTTACACTCCTGATATGTAATTTCAAAGTTTGAACCATATGAGTATCTAAACGCCTTAGTGGATAATTACTCAAGTAATAATCAAACACAGTTTGCATTGTCTTGTCTTAATAACTACTTCTGATTGTATTACTACCCAGTCAATAAATACTGGATATCAAGTGACAGGCGTTGCAGGTTTTTCCTCTGGTACATATGAGTAAAAGAAGAGTGGCTTAATACGGAATAGGAGCTGGGAACGACAGTGATGGCCAACAATCTATGAACAAAAAACTGAAAACACACAAACCATAGAAACTCAATGACGAGGGAAGAACAGATTCTACAAAGAGTTGTAAAACAAGTCCCTAAGCAAATATAAGCTGTGCTTTATGTATTTACTAGACAGAGTTTAATCCGGGTGTGTTAGAGACATACCGAAGCTCTTAAAACAATTATAATTCCTCCTCCTTTCTCCACACAAAGCTCCATTGTCAATACAAGGCAGCATACTTTATCTATCAATTGAATGTCTCTGTTGTCTGCAAAGTTAAATCAAGTTTGGATCTGTAGGCCTCAAGCGATGTTCTGTTATTGCTCAAACCGAAGTAGACATAACACTGATTACTGATGTGACGGTAGGATGGATGGATGGATGGATGGATAGATGGATGGATAGATGGATGAAATGAAGATCATTAAAGTGAAAGAGATGGTCAGATCCATGAATACATGGATGGCTAGAGAAGCTAAGCAACAACAATTACAGGAGCCATGTGGGTAGGCAAGTGAATTAATCCCTTAAAACTCAGTTTATTCATGATATATTGACTTTTAACCTCTCGACATCTTGAAGTAATCTTGCATTGCTCAATTTCACGCAGACAGTTTGAAATGAATTTGGAATGGAGTGGATGAAGTGGTTGAGGACCAAGAAAATGAAGGGGAATTCTTTCGGGATACTATGAGTCAGTAATGGCACAACCACAGTGAGAACAAACCAAAGCCAAAGACTTGCAATGTCACTTTAAAACGTAGATGAAAAATGTTTCTTCCTGTGCACACAGTAACTCTTTTTTTCGGGCATTACTTGAACAATTGTGACTTGCATTTGACAGAAAAAAAAACATCCTGCGTCTGTGCCATTAACTCTCTGAATCTCAGCATGGACAAGACACAGTGCCTTCCTCCCTAAGCAGTATCTCTGGCAACACATTTCGGTGAAGCAGAGAAGGAAAACAGGGACGAAACAGCGCCTGTTCCAGTCAAAGTCATAATGATGCTGGCTTACGGTAATACAGGAAAACAGGCAGTGATAGATCCCTGGTGCCCAGCAGTCCCACCACTACAACCACAACTTATAAACTACTCCACCTGGACAGAGTTAGCTCCTTGGACTAAACAACAACATGGACAACATGTCATGGGCCATTCACTTTTTTTTTCCTTAAATGAGATCAGCTGAGATATTATGGAGTTTTTATAATGTCAGTGATTTCTTAAGAGCTTTTGAGGTATGACAATGGTAAAATCCTTATACACAGTGAAACATAATACAATCACATTCCCCCAGTCCTAACCTTTAGGGAATAAAACAATCTTTAGTGTTAAGTGTCTACTCTTCTGAATTCCTGTAAGAGCCTTGTTTGTCCCCTTGCTCCCCACTTTGGAAACCTCTCCTCTGGCAGAGCTAATGAGGTTCCTGATGAGACATTTGGCCCGCGCCGGTCCCCTCTGGACCGGGAGAGAATGCATGTTGAGAGGAGAACAGCATCCAGCTGCCAGCAGCGTTTTTGCGGTCAGAACAGGGGAGGTGGACTCGACCCAAACACAACTGTTTCCAGTCAGCGTCCGTGCGTAAATCAACTGTACCTCCCTTCCCTTCTTTCCATCTCTGATACTATTATTACTATTACTATACTATTTACTGTTCCATATCTTGTTGTCCATCTACTCAGAAAAACAAACCATCATGACTTTCAGTGTTTTGCATTGCCACTCATTTAAATAAAATTTGACAGCGACTAAAAAGTAACGGAATGGAACACGGAACAAAAACTAATGAACAAAAAGTAATTTTGTTATCTGGGAAATAAAAACCTTCTTTTAAATACCAGAAGTGTGTTTTACCTGTGCGTAAAAGGTGACAAGGACACATGTTATCCAGCCACGGACTATCCAACTTGTAGAAAAGTTCAGTCTCATCTCTGCTGGTTAATAAAAAACTACTTCTAGATGCAAACTTTTCTCTCTCTCAGCCAAAACGACGACACTTAACACCAAGGTCCGATTCTAAATCACTTTTTCTTGCGTGCGTAACTGTGGCGGGTCCTCCACACCGTCTCACAGGGCATTCTAGCGCCTTCATTCCCGGTTAGCTGCAGCTCCCCACCTCTCTTCTCCTCTCATCTTCCTTCTGCTTTCACCTACGCGTTGTGGAGGAGGCTGCATGCAACAGCTTGTAAAAACTGACTGGCTGACTGACTGAGGGAGGGAGGGAGGAAGGGAACTCCTCCACGTTGTCATGTGTGAGGAAAAAAGTTCACCCTCCCTTCCTGGCTCTGTGCACGAATCTCTCACTGTGAATAAATGAGTATGTATGTGACAGAGTCAGTGATGTAAGACTATGATGACCCCCTTACACCGTGGAATCACAAGTGCACTGTCACAACATGTTTCTGTCAACTTTAATGCTTAGCAGCCTTCAGAATTTATTTTGAATGAGTTTATTTTGAAAGAGTATATCAAGTGGCTCTTTTCATTCGTAAATTGAGTCATGATCTCATACTAAAGATGGATTCAGATATGACCCCACACACTGGAGGCAAAGCATGTGGTCACACTTTTCATAGATCTTTCTTCCTGCACTTGCCATTCATCATGGAGGTGAGTGGGCAGCCCAGCATAGTTCCTGGAGCGTGGGTCCACGAACAGTCATGGCTATTTCTACAGAAGTCATTTACTGCCTCCAGGAAATAGTCGTTTTCTGCTCCCATGGCAGATAGAAAGAAAAATGACTGGGTGTATTTCCCTCTGAATTTGCATGGCACTCCAAACCCAGCCCACTTTGGCAAGTCATGAGAGGGATGGTTTGAGAGAGTGGAAAATATGTTCCCATCAAGGTGACAGTTATGCAAATATTAAATTGCATATGTGGGGGCCCTGAATGGCTAAAACAAGGGGCTGGTCGGTAGGGAGAGGAGAGGAGAGGTGAACAAGGAAGAAAAAGATGCAAAAAAATGAATGTTCATTCCTCAATGAGAACAATAGTGATGAAACTGGAAAAAGAGAAAAGAGACAAACATCATTTAGATATTAGTGTTAATGTGGAGCACTTGATAATTAAGTTGTCTTTATAAAACTACATGCAAATTATCCTGCATATCCAAACATTATGATAAAAAAACATGACTAATTATGACTAAAAATAAACAGCAACTGACATTCAATTGAGGCTGTAGATAGATAAACATCTTTTTAACTCACAGGGAGTTCAATAGCGGGAGAAAGAGGAAGAATAATGAGGGTTTTAAGCTGAGCCAGTGGAGGTAATGGGCTCTGTCCTCCCTCTCCCCCTCTTCCCGTAAAAACATGCTGAGAGAAGCTGTTTTGTGGTGGGGCCTCTGCAGCTTGCACAGTAGCAATTAAGAGCCAGATTGGACTCTTTTAGCAATTAGAAACCTCAGCTTGACTCTGAACGCAACCCAAATATTCACACCGAGGTCAACCCTTAACAACAAAAATTGAACTGGAAGCACAGAGAAGTGCCTGTTAGGCCCGACTTCAAACATAGAAGTTACGACGTAGCTTGTTTTGATGTATAAAAATGTAGATGCACTGCAGGCAGACACCACGCTGGTTTACAAGCATCACGCTTCATGTGACCTGGGTCAGAGCATAGACTCTGTAGCCCCGTATGCATGTGGGAATGCTTGCTTAACATCACTTAAAACAAGTCAAGAGTTCATGAAGTAGGCCAATTCCAGACAGCTCATATACACAAAAATGCGCGCGCACACACACACACACACGCACGCACGCACGCACGCACGCACGCACACACACACACACACACACACACACACACACACACACACACACACACACACACACACACACACACACACACACACACACACACACACACACACACACACACACACGGCATAAGCTGCTGAATGGTTTCCATTAATGCAACACACACTCGTTCCATAGAAGAAAAAGTAGCCACAGCCTGTTTTGGTACCATGACTTTGGAGGAAGCTTCAAGGGTTCGGCAGTCTCCCTTGAACACACTGAAAAGTACGCAGGGCTGAAAAACATGCACATGGCAGTCACATACACACAGAACAGAGTGGAATAACAACATTAAGGCTTTAGCCACCATGTTCCGGTGGTTTTAGGGTTGGATCTGCGTTGCTTCTGCTTGCTTTGGAAACAGATGTGATCTGAGTCACCCAAATCACCAATGTGAGTTAGGGCTGCCCGCTGACGCCATTCCTGCGCAAACAAAAATGTCAAGAGAATTTTCATGAACACACAAGCACACAGAGAAATACAGGTTTACGCCCCAGATGTGGGTGCAGGTACACATATTTGCATGGCGATAAAAACCCATGCTGAAAAGCCAAACGAGGGTCTTGGCAAGCAGGAGGTTGTTTTGACACAAAGAACAAAAACTATTCACTGTGAATGCAAATCATATCATGCATCTGTCTCTGCATACACATATCTACAGACACACAGGCACACCCACACAGGAGGGATGACACACACATACACACAGACAATCTGTGTGTATGTGTGTTGCCATGCCCCCTAGTTCCACCCCTGCCGTGTATCAATTATTTGTCCACCTGGTGAGTTATCAGTGGGAATGGTTGAATATTAGCCTAAATATGCAAATGCTGTTCTTTATCAAGGGGTGCTCACTCATGTAATGTTCAACCACTAAATAAGTGCAGATCTATGGGCCTGCCTGACCCATTTCTGTTTTCAACACAAATAAATGTACCGGCTTCCACTAGAGGTCAATCAGAACTGTGCAAAATCTGTCTGTTATTGACAAGATTGAAATTGCAGAATACATTTTCCGCTCCCTTTCTTAGATGGATTGTGCCTTAATTACCCTGTTAAATTCTTGCCCTGTTAAAGGATAGATAGCACGGATTGAGAGATAGTGTAATCTTGACGGCAGATCTGAGACTTTACTTGTGTATTTATTTGGGGTAAGTTGTTAGGAATGTCCCTTAAGATGGACTTTGGTTTGCTGTACCAAGCAGACAACAGACTGCATCAAAGGCTTGGACGCAAAGGGCAGGGATAACAGGAGTGTGTGTGTTTGTCTGTGAAATGACTTTGTTTTACAGCCTCCAACACCTGTCGACACTTTGAGCCATGAGCCATAATCAAAACTTGGGGTTTTCCTTCAACATGTGCATGCCGAGCGGTTGGAAAGCATGCAGAGACTAAGAGGTTGAGGCGTCCAGAAGTACATTTAAGTACACAATTGATCTCCATCTTTTATTACACCATGACACCAATTTCAAATATACATAATGAGTACCATCCTCCTCAGTTCAGTGTATGATACAGTTATTTACTGTTTCTGTTAGAGCATATTGAAAAAGAACGACAAAAAAATAGAACCAAATACCCACTTTAGAAAAAAAATAGTACAATTATCAGAGACACTGCAACACAGAGACAAGATGCAACTGACATTGAGAGAATAATTATGACCAGTGTTCTCTTCAACTACACATTGCCAAACGGATAAACAAAAAAAAATCCATTAACAGTAGTGATGTTCATTATGTATAAGACTCTGAATTAAAACAAATATACACATATATAATAAAGAACAAAATAGTAAAGTGAAGTGCAAATTTCTTTGGAAGTTGGAATAAGGTGTGTTTTTTCTTCATTAAGACATAAATAAGTTATAAAATAGAAGCTATCAAAACAAAAACCAGAGACAGACTTTGATGAAATAAAGGCAAGACAATTCTTTTTTTATAGTTTCAAGTACGCGATACTTCTGAGCCGTCCAGATACACAGCACAAGGCAATTTTAAATGGACTTTTGTTGCCTTTTCAGGACAATTATTCAAAAACAAATGTTAATGCATCTGTCCACAGATCACACAACCCTTTTCTCCATAATGGCGTTTAAAATTTGAAATAAAATCCAGCAGAGGTTTGTTTCCTAGAGCTTTGTGAAGCTCTTCTGATTCAAGAAGTACTGCACTGAAATGAAATGAAATTCTGTGATACTTTCAAGTCCCGAAACATCCAGGAAACAAGTCCCTTGTTATCACTTTGGGTGAATGTCAATACTGTTCAGTTTCTTCCTCTCTCTCTCACTCTCTCTCCCTTCTTTCTGAAATGACAATGTTAACAACACTGATTCATAAAAGCAAATCCCTAGTCCTCGACAAGGCTTTTGTCACGATTAAGGAGAAGAAAAAATGAGCAGAAGGGTAAAACCTCAGCATTAACTGCAAAAAACATTGCTGTTCACCTTTAAAGTGCATGGAGTCCTGCTGCACTGGAGATTTAAAATCAACAACTTTCAGCAAACCTCCATTGTTTGAAATCGAATAAACAATACACTTGGGTTTTCTTCTACTTTAAGCTGAACCAATGCCTTTTCCAGTAAAATGAAATGCTCCCAAAGACAGCAGGGGGATCGTCAGTTAGTTGCAGTGGTTGATCGGTCGGTGTTGCGATCACTTCTTTCTCTGGAAGACGTTGGCCAACATGGCGCCGGAGGTGGTTAGCTGACCCATCTTGCTTAAGAACTTGGTCTTTGCATCCTCACCCACCAAACTGGAGGCGATGGACATGGAGCTATGAAAAATACAAAAAGAAACAGGGTGTAAAGGTTGGATTTGGCCCCAGTTTTAGCTCTTGATTTATTAACATACATGGACTGAAAGAAAAAAATGCAGACAAAAAGCACAATCGTACGGAAAAACACCTGGACAATCTTCCACTATCTGTTTGTTGAACTCATGTCAGCCTTTACCCTACTTCTTTAGAAGGGAAATGCTGTTTGCCAACACAGCCCCTCCTGATTTTTACAGTCCAACGATTCCTCTAAGTTCCTCTTTTTAGTTAGCTAACGTTCATTCTGATAGAGTGGGGCAGTAACAACACTCTGCCAAGTTGCTGCATTGCTCAACAGAAGGACAAACATCATATCTTAACACCGACACCAACCTTAAGTCAATGGATATCAGGGAGCCCAGACCCTGACTGAGTTCTTGCAGCATAAAGGCCTCAAATTTCCTGCCAACTGTTTTAATTTACGACTCTGTGTATCAATTTACTTATTGTACATATTATTTATCTTTATGGGAAGTCCCAATTTGGTACACAATTTCATATACCTTAGGGAAATATGCATAAGCATGTGAAATGTAATACACTGAATGCCACTTCAAGAAGTCTTTCTGAGAGCTCACAGCCACCGAATATCAGAGTTTCCAGAATCTTTCATGCCAGGAAATAAAATGCTTTAAAAGATACATGCTGTGAAAATAACGATCCAAGTTATCAACTGTAGTAAAAGGAGTCGAAGAAAGACTCGACAGACCTAAATGAAAGAGGAAAAAAAAAAAATTCAGCACAAACACAGAGGTTTTAACCTCAGGAGGGTTTTGGCCGAACACACCCAAAACTGAGCATATGTGCACAAAGGGAGACACATACATACTTCTTACATCCATATAAACACGCTTCTCGTTTTAATGAGCCCCAAACACATGTTAACAAGATGGGGGAAACATTTTTTAAAAGTCACCCACAGCATGGCCGGTGTCCCAGCTCTCTGAGCGTTACCAAAACAACTCCTCTCATTTTTCTGCTCTTTCTTTCTGTGAAGATACCCACATAATGAGTGTGGTTCCAACACTCTTCCATGCACTCCTCTACCCACAGGGGAATGAACCCACAATATGGGCCCAGTCCCAACACTGTCAAGCGACCCCTATCCTCACAGTAGGGCTGCCTCTTCCCCCTTCCAAATTCTTCTTAACTACCATTTTAAAGCCATTACTTATTGCTGTCACAGCCTCTCATGCAATGAAAAACAATATTTCGCAAAATCATTTTAGGAGAAGTGTTGGTGTGAATGGGACCGGTTGTTTGTTCTCACCCTTGTGCGTCTGCCATTCCTCTATTTTCCACCTTGATTTCACACTCCTTGATCATAGAACTCAGAATAACCTGTGGAGAATATGACAAGAGACAGATAAAGCGTGTTGCCTTTACAAAAATATATTTGATGGAAAAAACGGCTGAATCTCATGATTTACTAAAAGATTTCTCTTAGGAATGCAATGCCACCTATATAATACTTTTAACTGCTGGAGTGGTAGACAATAGGTGGTGTGGGTCTCATTTTGTTACAATATGAGAAAATAAAGACCTTACATGAGTTTGTATGTTTTAGTGCATGTAAGTTCCAGTTTGGAAAATAATTCCCATCTTCCGGTACGTAGGTTTTTACAGACAGAGTGGATATGTAGAGAGGAAAAGAGTCAGCTGATCATTAGTCACCTTGGGAAATTGCTCACATGAAAATGGATCGCGTGAGATCCTGCGACACAAATAAATATTGTAGAGGTGTGTGTATGAGTGTGTCTGAGAAAGAGGTGAAGAGTCAGACAGTCTATCTTTACCAATATTGTGCGAGATCTCATGGGAGTAACGGATAGAAAGAGGCAGACAGTCTGGCCTATCAGTGCGTGATAATGTGTGTGGGATACTATGTGTATGCTAGGTTAGTGTCAGTGTTTGAATATGTGAATGAAATCCCCCCGCCTCCTCCTGCTTGCAGGAGTGTGACCGTATGTCTGTAAGTCTCCTGACCTCATGCTCAGGGGAAAGTTGCTCCATGTCAGCGCGGAGACACCTGAGGCCAGGCAAGAAGTGGTTGACCATCACCTCCTCAGAAATGACTGCACAGAAAGTTAAGGACTGGAATGGAAAGCTTGTACAGTTTAAAATAAATGCCAGTTGATCCAAAGCACCTTGCAGCACCATAAATTGGTTTATTACTATTCATACAGTGGGAATCACAATGCTAACTTTTCACTGTCTGGGTTCAGACAGCCAAACGCTGTCTTTTTTTCCCCCCTGCTGCAGTGGGGAAGATGGTACCGGATACACAAGGCCAGCACTGAGAGGTTCAGGAAGAGTTTATACCCTCAGGCCCGTTGACTGTATCTAAAGATGGACCACATGACAGCTACCCGAAAGTGAAGCCAAAACATACTGATCGCCCCCTGGTGTCTGCATGTTAGCGGACAGGACACAAACAAAAAAAAAGAACAAATCAAATAAATATTTCCCAAAGATGGTTTCTGTCATTGTAAGTAGTTCTGTTCAAGTCAGTGTTAATTTTTCTGGCTTTAGTTAGTTAGTTATTTGATTCTATAAAAAGGATGTTTGATTGACAGCTGAGCCACGCTCACAACTGAGTCGGCTGTGTGCATGGGCGGGGTTTTGATACCGCGGTGCCAACCCCAGTCACTACTGCGAAGATGTTGGCTCCAAATGACATCACTAGCACAAGATGGCAGTGCTTGTATCTGGGATAATTTGGCTTAATTTTTGTACAGTGGGAGGAAGTGAAGATGCGCCCCCCCCACAGACTTTTTTGTTCTCAATACATGCACAGAGCTAGAAACTAAAAAGCGGGTGTTTTCAAGGCCAAGCAGTTACAAATACTATTTGGATGGGGCTTCCAGGCATTACTAGATTACTTCAGAAAACAGTTGGTGACTAAAAACACTGCTTTTTAAATATTTTCCTTTCATTGTAAAAACATTCTTAAAATAACTGTGTTGCTATATGCCTCCAAAGTAGGTTGACATAAACTCACATTTTCAGTGCAACAGTACTTTGTCCTGAACTGCATGTGTTCTGCCACCTGTCATACCCAATGGAGCTACATGGGACAAGAGCGAACAAATCTATATTTTTGGAGATGGGAATGTACAATTTCAGAGCCTGTCACACTGATTACAAGAGAAAGAAGTGCAGTGGGAGGTAAAGCCTCTGAGGTTAGGGCTATACCTCCTGGATACTACTGCACTGTGAAATCACAGCCTGACAAAGAACCACAGGAATGAACCTCAGACCAGCTGTCCTATGTGTGTGTGTGTGTGTGTGTGTGTGTGTGTGTGTGTGTGTGTGTGTGTGTGTGTGTGTGTGTTGGACCTGGGTAGGGTGGGGTTGACAGAGTAGAGATAGAGTAGAGAGAAGGAAAAAACAAGAAAGTAGAAATAGTAAGAAGGGAAAGAATCACAGAAGAGAAGAATGACAGAGACAGAGCAGAGGTAAAGTAAACGTGAGCCCAATCCTGGGAACTGTTACTCGGGATTGAAACTGATGTTCAGTCCTTTCCTTCTCTCACGCTCTTTCTCCCTTTCTCATCCTTTCCTTTGCTTAACCAACCCTGTAATTACCTCTAGCCCCAAAATGGAGGCAGCTTATTTTCCCTTTCTCCTCCTGCCAAATGACAGGCAAACTCTGCCAACACACACACTGAACCACACACTCAGGCACCGGGGCCATGCTGATATGTACCACACAGTTTTACAGGCGCATTCAGGAGCACATCTAACCGATGCAGCTAACATTTGACCAGTTATTCTAACAGCCTTCCCAGTGACTCACTGTTACAACAACTAACCCTGAACGGAAGCCAACTTTGACGCAGAATTCTAGTAAATGTCTGTAAACACATACAGCACAGTAGTTGAGCACACGCAAGCATTTCTCCCCTTCAATTTCACAGGGTTATCTAACCTTTACACTTGTAAGTATAAAGCTAGAATTATGACTATAAAAAAAAAAAATCCTCCTAAAAACAAAAAAAGAAGATAAATATGTGTCCCAGCTTACACAGACCATTATATATGACCTATAAAAGGATACAGCAGCAGGAGAGGGCACTGTAGGCCTCGAACAGCTGGGTGGCGATGTCAATCCTCTTGCTCTCCACCGCCTGGCTGTTGTTAGCCAGTGCCAGCTTGTGAAGGTGTGGTAAAACAACTAGAGGAATAAAAAAAAATAAAAAATACAGACAAACAGAGCACATGAGAGTCAGAGCAAAAGAAAAAGCAAAAGAAATTAGACTACGTTTTCATGTATTTGTGTCCTTTACATACACTCGTCTCTAAAGCGTGGCTCTGCATTGGGTCCGACCCTTCCGAACGTCCTGATGATCTCCATGTGCAAAGAGTGCTGATCTTGGTACTGAGGGTCTTCCAGGAAAGATGCCAGCTGCATTTTTACACGCTCCAGCAGCTACACACGTTCACAGGAAGTATATTTATAGAAGTTGTACAATGATTTGAAATGAAATTGGTAAGACAATTTATTTAATAAATGTTTACATATTAGGCTTGTGTGTAGTTTGTTCAGTTAGTTTCCTACCTCTTTTTGGGTGACAGTCTCCATGATGGTACCAAAGGCAGGGATAGTGGATATCCTCACTGAGCTAAAAGCAGCAGGAGAGCAAGACAATGGTTTTACCATTCACTAGTCACTGTTAACTCTTTTAGGTGCTCTCCAATTTCTCCATTAGTTTGTCTTTAAGCAAGAATCTGAATGAGTCAAATATAGCCTGCAAATAGTCTTTTTGAAAATCAGATCATCAGATTGCTGGGTTTTAACGTGATGAACTGTTGCCTCACGTTATGTCAGTAGGGAGGCATCAGGGATCCTGGGGCTTCTGATTTTTCAAACGATGATACTAACAGATTCAAACAGGTTTTTTTTTTTATTACAATTGGCATATCTAGTGCCAAGTCATTCACATTTAAGGCACAAAGACCTCTGACTACTTTGGTTAACACATGTTCTAGGTTTTATCCAAATACAATGATTAAATACTAATGGCATGCTCATAACCACAGTGATGACTGATGGATTACATACCCAGAGGCTGAGATTTAAACAAATTGAACTGTCGATGCCAACTGCATGACATATCAGTGCCATCAATATTTTACTAACTGCTGTAAGTTTGGCCATATGTGTAACTGCTTTACTGATCTGGCGAGTTTACATCTGCAACTCATCAAAGATATAAAGGTATAGAAAATCAGCTATGTTTCAAAACCTTCCTAGTATCAGATTCCACTATAACTTGAAACTAACAACATTTTGCCAATAATATTTGACCTAGATCTATATTGGACAGGTCTATAATCAACGCCTGCCATTTTCAAACTACTTTATTACTTAATACACTCACTGTGTCATTCTTGAGCTAACCACTTATCTAACTAAAAGGTGGCTCATTTAATCCCGAAAACATTAAAATACAAAAACATTATAATGACATAAACATAATAATATCTGACAATAATCAATGATTATAATGCATTACGACAAGCAAGATTAATGGGGTGCTGTTAGAGTGATGTTAGATAATCATTCCACTGTCAGTAGGAGCAGAAAGACCAAAAGATACACTTGGGCCATCTTGGAATTGGAATAAAAAAACTGTTTCTCATTATGTCTATAAGTATTATTTGTTACTCTACAGTCTGTTGATCATGGACAAAGCAAGATATGTGACAGATATCATGCCAAAAACTTTAAAAAAGGTTAAAAAAAAAAACATGTTAAGCTTTTTAAATAAATATAAGTTATATCTACAAGTTGGGGACAAGTGTGTACCCATCAGCATGGCATTACAATACAGAGAATGATGAGATGAAAAGGGCTGCATTCAAACAGTGTCGCCACTCAGTTCATCATCTTATCTAATCACAAACACAAAGGCTGGATGTCCACTGGCACACCAAAAAAATGATCTTCTTGTTTGTCCCACGTGTGTATACAGCTATGAAAACTACCAATGTGTGCCACAAATCTAGGAGGTCTAGGGGAGATTTAAGTATTTGTCCAACTTAAAATGTAAAAAGAAAACTGTGGCTCCAGGTCAGTAAACCGTTACAAGGGCTTTTTTTAGCGCACATCGGAGGCTCAGCCAGACAGATTTCTAGGAAGACGCTGGTTCACACTGTAAGGATGCAGCCCGCAAAATGACAATGTTTACAGAAAGGTTTTCTTGTGTTGATTGACTCACAATTCAGGCCCACTGCACAGAGTTATAAGGGCCGGAGCCGCCCGGCGATCTACTAATGCTTCACTCATGCCTCGGAGAACCAACTGCAAACCCACCACACAGCAGGATGAGAGAGAGGGAGAGGCAGGGTGGGAGGAGACAGAGACAGAAGGAGGGAGGGAAAGATACAGGGTGGGAGGAGAGAGGTGAAAGAGAAGAGGCAAAGATAGAAGGGAAGGGATGGTGTGAAGATGAGAGAGAGGGAGAGAGAGAGAGAGAGAGAGAGAGAGAGAGAGAGAGAGAGAGAGAGAGAGAGAGAGAGTGTGACAGGATAAAACTGAGAAAGACGGGGTGAAGACAAAACCAACCACTAGCTAAATGGTCGGTCAGGAGGAGGGGTCCTGCTTAAACTGAGTGGGGTGGGGAGGAAGAGGGGAGGGTGGCAGGTTACAGATGAGCATGCTGGGATTGTGCTATTGCCGCATGCAGGCAATGAGCACGCACAAATCTGGACTGGTTAGTGTTGCAGATTGATGAGGTGACGAGAGCTGGCGTGGGTTAATGTTGCAGATTGATGATGCCAACATGCGTGTTAGTGTTAACAGTGGTTATGCTGATGAACTACCCCATGGCCCAGCCTAAACCTAAACAGGAGCAACTCCACACAACTGCTGAGAACTATGTCATATAGAGAATTCAAAGGAGAACACTAAGAATCTGAAATTGTGGAATTAAATTGATTTTGAATCAAATAAATTAGTCATCAAGGAAGATACTGTTTTGTGCTGAAGTTGCTCCTGGCAGGTACGGGCTTGTTTCGGTGTGATAGTTCTCAGACGGCAGAGAGAAGGGGGGAGAGACGCGGCGCGGTTTATTGTTGTTGTTGTTGTTCCACTTACATTTCAGGGTCGGAGGACAGTGTGATGAGAGCCGGCACCACTCTCTGAGCTACCAGCGTCTCATTCACCCCCTTCACCAGCAGCTGATCGGGTTGGACAGAGCCAGCCGTGATGTCACAGAGGTGGGCAGGGCATTGGGACAAGAGCGAGCAACACCGGCAATAGATAGAGAGAAAAGAGAAGGAAAAAAAAAAGCACAACAGAAAGGGGGAGGGAAAAAGAAAAACAAACACAAAAAGATAGGAAGAAAGTGATATACAATGACAAGAACCATAGCTGCAAGGCACGGAACGGCACTGCATGTATCAAGCAAGTGTGTGTACACACACACACAATCACACACACGCAAACAAACACACGCACATGCACACGCAGGTATGCAGAAGAAATGGCAAAGCCAACATAGCTAAACTGCACAAATACTTTTACAGTATGGTGAGCATAAAGCTGGGGGCTCTTTCCACAGACTCCAGGTCAGATGATTATTTTATTCATTTAAACTGATAAAACAGTTGACAGTAAATGTGTCTGATCTGGAATCTGCGATAGAGGACCACATTTCAACCCACAGTTCTGACAATGGTGGACGGCTAATCACTATGGAATGGTGACAGTGGGGTGTGTTGGGAAAGGGCAAGTACTTCACAAAACAAACGGGGGGACATGAATACCGCCTTCCACTCCTCCTCCACCAAGTTAAGATCAACATAGGCCCAGTTCTACTGCTATACCTAGACCCTTATCCCAACATTTGACCATTAAGTGTGCACTGATCTACACGGACAGGGATGTGTGATTTGTTATGGTTGTTTCTCAAGGTTTAGCCCAGGACTTTTGCTTTGGGAACCTGGCTTAAAAATTGTCAGCGGAATAAAATCGCACAGAAGAAAATAGGGAAACAGTCATCTCCCTTTAAAATAATAGAAGTATTATATTTCAACAAGACCTGAAATGCTAAAAAAGTAAAAAAAATATTCATGACAAAACATTTCTGATTAAATTATACTTTCCAACAACACTGAAGGGATCAGGCCTTAAATTCTTCTCATTATACTTTCAGGTTGCTGACTTTAGCCTTTCTCTGACATGCAGCAGATATTTATGTAGTCACTTCAGAGACCAGTGCACAGTCAACGGTCTGATGTCAACTCTAGTAGGGTCTCACCACACAGTTGGAACCAGGGCGCTAGAGTAGTCTTTATTCACACTCAAAAGACTAGGCATTAAATGCATGTTAAACAGCAGCAATAGCAAGCAGAGCTAGCACATGTACAGCAAATAGGTAAACATAAAAATCTATAATGTAGGATTGCACAATTGTGTATAACCGCACAAGACATTTTTGTATATGTATGCATGTATAACTTAATTGAGAACATACTGTCTATTATAAAATTAGGATGCTTTCACTTGATAATTACATCATTACAAATGTATCTTAATTACCATTTTATCTATAATTGTGCAGCCATGTTATAGTTTAGTATACACTTAAGTGTAGGTCTTACTAAAAATGTAAAAAGGAAAAATTGTGTCAACTATAAACATATTGTATGTGTGTAAATTATATGTGATTACTTCAATACGCTATCTGTGTGTGCGTGTTTTGTACCTCAAACATCCGTGCTGCAGTACACCGAACCAGTGCAGAGGTATGAACTACCCCGTACCACAGAACAGTCAGCAACAATTCATGGTACACTGGGTTGGCACTGAAGAGAGAGCATAACATAAATAATGGGTAATATTATGTCAACAGTCAACCAACAACTGAATTCCAAACAAATTAACACATGTAACAACGGCAGTGCAAATCATTTTTGGGTTATGAAAGACTACATTTACATGTCTGTGTGTGTGTGTGTGTGTGTGTGTGTGTGTGTTTGTGTGTCTCTTACCCCAGCTCTACAAAGGAGGCCTTCAGGCTGTCGAGAGGTGCATGGGACAAAGACAAAGTTGTCATAACATCCTCCAGGAAACCAACCAATAACTTGCGATCCTCCTCCTGTATGCAGAAATCATACAATGTTTATGTCAGTTCATGTAGCAATACAAATACATCCACATTGTACAAGTGTGTGCCAATTTCTACAGATCAGTTAGAGTATTTTCAGACAGCAGACATCTTGTCACTTTGGGCATAAGATAAAATGGCTCTGAACATGTTTGTTGTGTTTAAAGGTAAATCAAAATACCAGTGTTTTGCAAGTGCTGCATCATTTTGTGAACTTTAAATCAAAACAAAAACATGTGGCAGCTTGAAGTGTTTTTGAGTGGATTTTCCCTTGTGACTAAGAACAATAACCCAAAGTGTAATGTGGTTCACACTCTACATACTGTAAAACAGACGAGAGAATGGGGCCAAAAACATGTTAATCTAACTATAAACAGAATCATTGACATACTGTAGATTTATTGTGTGAGACACTAAAATGCACCACCACAAGGTATGAATCTTATAATGAATCAGCTTCAAGCGCTCTCTTCAGGCTATTCATTTATTTACTTACCTGGTTATAACAAGTCAGCACTCCAGTGGCATAGATGGGGACTGTGGCTTTGGTGAGAATATCGTTCCCTGCTGAAGCATCTGTCAGAGGAATAAAACCAAACCAAAACAGGTAGAACAAACATCAAAACTCCAAGTACAGCTATTAAAATCAAGCCATTACTTGTCTTTCATGTGGCTGAATGGCACAATAGTTTATTGATGCTTCTGCTTAGTGCAGTAATGATCTGAGATGTACATTTTCCTGTATTCACAATTGTGGGTCAAGATTTGACACTCGCACTCTATTTTTATGCTATTAAACACAATTCAACCCAATTAATCAGAGAATAAAAAAAACAACAATGTACAATCAAATGTGACAGGAGACGATGAAGTGAGGCAAAGTCTATTACCGTATTTTCCGGACTATAAGTCGCACTTTTTTTCATAGTTTGGCTGGTCCTGCAACTTCTAGTCAGGTGCAACTTATATATGAAATTTAACATGTTTTAAGGCTTAACCAAAGTACTCCAGCCACGCGACATCTCAGTGAACCGGAGCTTTAAGGCAGTCTTGCGTCGCCTGTGGGAGGAGTGGATGGTGGATGGTGAGCACAGCTTCACGGCAACCGGGAGGATGCACCATGCAACTTTCCAGCAAGTCATTGGATGGAACGACACAGCATGGACTTCAGTGACAACCGAAACTATGTGTTTAACTTGCATTTCCTGATTGAATGTCTGTTCTTGGTCTTGGATGCTGTAAAATAAATTTCTAAATAAGGTAGCCTCCCGAGTATTTGCTCTGGTGCCAGCGTTTGCCTAGACATCGCCCAAAATGCTTGATTGCATTGCATTCTCCACATTTTTAGCTAATTTTTCATGTACCACATCAGCATTTTTGTTCAGTGAATCTTTTGTAAATTGGCCGCCTTCATATCGCCCCCTCACCTTCGTCTTCACTAACATTCCCGGTAGAATTCTCAATCTTTTTGGCCTCTATGTGTCCAGTTACATAGTCTCTGTCTGTTCTTGGTCATGGATTTTGTAAAATACATTTCTAAATAAATGCGACTTATAGTCCGGTGCGACTTATATATGTTTTTTTCCTCTTCATGAGGCATTTTTTGACTGATGCGACTTATACTCCGGAGCGACTTATAGTCCGGAAAATACGGTATATTATGCAAAGCATTTGGCAACATTACCGTATCTGTAGCAATGTGTCTACAGCATACATTATATCATTGGTTTTACAAAAAAATCTACTGAAAAGAACAACTGCAATGTAAGATCACGATGACCTTAACACATACTTCTCAATACAAAACACATTTCATAAATGGCCACAATACCAAAGCTAAATCACTTGGCAGCCAACTGAGACCAAGCACCTCTTATAACTACAGAAACATGTCCGGAATAAAAAAACAAGAGGGGAACACCCATAGCTGACTCCAAATAGCTTGTTTACATCAACAGTGTCTGCGTCTGAGCTCCACCTACTAACATCCTCTTGAGAGAGCACAGAAAAACTCACAACAAATGCACATCTGTGTGTATGTGCTATATCTGCTGCACTCACCAACATTCTCTTCAGACAGTCGCAGGATCTCTTGGAACTGTGGTTTTACCTGAAAAGGTCATGAGAATATATTAAAATTATAAATATTATCATTGACATTTATTATAAAGTACTATTTTAAGTACAGTACTGGATATGTCAGATTCATTTTTGACGGATATCTTTATGAGGTCAGAGGAAGGCACAGTGGTTACAACCACTGCTCTTGGACTCACAGTGAACTTCTGATAAATACACAGTACACAGTGAATACTACTGTTAAGAATAAAGTCACTACAGCTGTGATCAGACCCTCGCTTGAGCACTTCTCAATACCTACGTGATAAACACTTAAAAGGTTACTCTACAGTTAGCAGGAAGCAAATATCTCAGATACCTTCAAATAGCATTTTGCATCATAACTAACAGGTTTAGTGTACAGTACAGTTTTCAAGACACAAAACAGTGCATCAATTCTACTCTTAGAATAATAAAGAAAATAAATATATAGTTCACTAACAAATGACACTTTTTGGAGAGCTAGGGTACAGATAAGCTGGAGCTAAAGCACACTTTCTTTCCACTGTCAGGAGAATGTTCATTTTGATGAGTCCCAGGGTTTTTTTACCTTAGTGTTGGTAAAAATCTTGCCGAAGGTGCGACAGAACCTCCAGAAGAAGCGAGAGAACTCATGTACACACGTTGATGACGTCACATTGATACGACTCACGATATCTATGAGCTGAGGAAGGCTGGAGACAGAGCAGAGTATGTTTTGGTGATACCATGCACAAAGCTGTCTTTAGACATATATGTTTTTACACATCTGCATGTGTGTGTGTGTGCGTCTGTGCATTTCTCACAGTTGGTTGACCACCCATAGCAGGCTGTCCCAGCCGGTGGTTCCTTCAAGCTCTAGCTGGTGGTCGTAGAGTAGCAGTAGGGCACTCAGCATTTCTCTGCTGCCGATGATGGTTGCAACGTCCTGAAGCGGAGAAGCTGGCCTGGGGAATCGGGTCACTGCAGGAACAAGACACGGGAACAAAATGGAAACTCAGGAAGTGTACTGCTTTAAGAAATGACTTCTTTTACTTGTGACTTCTGTGTGTGTGTGTCCGTGTGTTTAGTTGTCCTACCCTCTATTGCAGGTGTGTCTCCATCGAGTTTGGCTCTGCTTGTGAAGGGTGCGTTCTGCAGCACCACAGCAAACAGGGGAGGGATGAGAGACTGCAGGGCCGACAGGAACACGTGTAGCTTGTGTTCATCCAGACCATGTTCTCCTTGCTACAGAAAGAGGGAGGACAGCTTTCCTTACAATGATATTCTGGTACACATTAGAGAGCATGTTATACTATATTTTTTATACATTTGTTCTGTATATTCTTTTGCTTACACTTACCATAAGTAGTTTCTCTATACGTGCCAAAAGAGAAGGGATAAGAGTAGTGTGCAGGGTGCCCAGCTCCGTGGTCCAGGCAGCAAAGGCAGGAATGAAGACCTGGTGGACTGCACTGACCACCCGCTCTGATGGGTCCCCAAGTGACAGCAGCATCAGCTCAAAACCCTGAAAGATACATAGCAACATTAACCCCTAATGCTATTTTTATTAGTGCTGCAACATTATTTCACCAGTAGGAGGAAACTGACTAAAAACAATTATTAGAAACAGGAAGTAGAACATTTTATATTTAGTTCTTGCACACTGTCCTCTCACAATGCACATACCTGGGAGTACTTGTCAGGGTCATCTATGTAACCCATGATAATACCCAGACTCTTGACCACAGCCTCTCTAACCATGTCAGCCTTATCCTCAGCAAGCATCTGCTGCAACATGGACAACACCAAGGAGCTACGGATCTCCTTCTACAGAGAAAAAAACCAAGACAGACAGAGACAGAGAATAAATTAGCATTTTATTCAACTATATTCATGTAAAACCCTTTAATTCTGTATTCTGTTCTTACAGGCAGGTATGGTGCTAAGGCTCCACAAGCTTCTGCCACCAACAGTCTCCTCTCTGGATATTTGTGGTTAATCTGTAAAAGAAGAGAACAAGATTTGGAGAAAAAAGTGTCAATAGAAGTTGAAAGCAGGAGAGAAGTAGACTGGAGGGCAGCCACCGTGGAATGGAAACAACTCATGTATCATCAACATGCTGACCCTGTGGAAACCACTATTGGTCTTTCTAGTAAGATTCTCAGCCTCCAAACTGCTGGCAGCTGTTGTTGCCATAAATGTGCTGTATGAGGTGACACAGGTGGCAATGAAAACAAAACTGATATCGCATTTAAGTCAGGGACACTATGGATGTAATGATAGTCATGAACCAGAGCATGCAACACCGAACGGCATGCTCACTAAATACAAGACATAACTGAGATCTTTTATATATATAGTGTAAAATGAAATATTTTGGCATTAGAGCTTTGAGCATTTCTTGTAGAACGGAAGTCTTTTTCTTTTGTACAGTCAAATCTACATACATAAGAACCAAATTGAAAACAACAACAACAAAAATAGCTCCAGCCTTCGTATTAAAATAGAGCAGCGAAACATGCCCCATAAAATGGAAAGTGTCACAGAGGGCTTAAAGGGAAACAAAAAAACAAAAAACAAACCCAACATTAAAAACAAAATATGGGATAAAAAAAGTCAACTCAGAGGTTGGACATGTATTCGAGCGGTGTGGGAGAAGCCTTTGTATTACCACGAAAATCAGTGACAGCATATTCAATAACAAAAGCCACCTACAATGTATTTACTGTACCTGTTCCCAGCACTGAGGAAGTAGTTCAGCCTCGACACGTGTGGGACCCACGTGCCTCGCAAATGCAACACAGCCCGTCAAGATCATTTGTCTTTGGACACAGACACACACACAGAGAGAGAGAGAGAAACATATGAGAACACACTGCTGGATATAAACTCATAGTTTGATTGAAGTTGATCAACCCGCATGATAAACTATATGCATGTTGTTCTGTGCGCACACACACACACACACACACACACACAACACACACACACACACACACACACACACACAATACACACCTCTGCTCATCATCTGGTCTCTTGATTAGGTTAAAGAGGATGTGGAGGAGCTGGTCTCTCTCTTTAGGCTCTGGGTGAAGGCAGGCGGTGCACAAGATGAGTGGAATCAACTCCTGAAGGAGAGACAAGGAGAGAGAAACAGAGAGAGAAATATCATTAGTTCAGATTACTTAGCAAAAGAAGAGTGAGGTTGAAACACACAGGGACAGGACGGTCGAGTAGCAGTCAAGCAGGCCTGGATGTCTATGGAGAACGGGGAATAGGAAAGGGGGAGAAGGTGTTTATTAAAAAGAGTTTGAGAAAATAGGAAAGTCACAGGGAGAAAGAAACACAGGGGGTCACCTTGTGATAGGAGTCCATCAACACCGCTGAAAACACGCTTACCTTCAATACTTAGGTGGGGTTCTACCTTGACTCATTTGACTTTGGAGTCACACACAGACAATTAGAGCCTCGTATTGTAAAGACTTAAATAGTGCATGCATACACCCAGACACAGCTGCATATAGAGACACACACATGTATACCCTACTGCACTAGTTCCCCTACTACAACAGCTCTATCTCAGAGTTCACACAGAGTTTATGGACCTTCCAGCCAGAGGGGAGAGAGCTCAGCTGCCCTTGATACAGACCATGGCCAAATTGTGGTCAGCCCTAAATTCCCGGCACACACACCCAAATTAGAGAGTGCATACAGAGTTAAAAATATGGTTTTTTTCAAACAAACTCTGTTTTTTTCCAGGAAGATATCACATTTTCCTGCCAAGCGCTGGAAGAACGAACAAAACCCCAATGCTGGATGGACAGATGGACCTGACAGACACTTTGGTAAAGATAGGCTGTGATGAGTCACTCGCTCAATTTTGGACAAGCCCTCTGAAGTCAGTGCCATGTTGGCTATCTTTTAAAAAGCAAAATTATGGCATTTAAGGAACAGAGGGTCATTTTAAGTGGTAACATGCTGAGTTCAATGTGGGTGAAATCAGTTCAAGTGTCAAAAAGAAGCAAAATTAACTGAATTCAGCCCAATTTAACTGTCAAATTCAATAATCTTCTGCCCTGGCCTCTGAAAATACCATACATTTTCACAAGAGACACTTTTGGATACTAAATACAGGAATTCATAAACAGCACACATCGTAAAAGCCAGAACCCACAATGACCCTGTTCTATTTCTGTGTGAACTCCTGAGTTTCTGATGTGAAGACTCCTTCAGGAGGTTAAACTTCTGACGAGTCCTGGGTAAACACTGTGGGCAGGTAGAGTGGACAGCATGACGCCAGGACCCAGAGGCCAGGGTGCCTGATGCTTTACTTCAAAGAGTGGAGCTACTGCAAATTCCAGTCCAAGGGTTTCTATATGCAACAGCCTGCATCCAAATGTTGCACGTTTTTTTGCACCACATTCCACCTTAACAACTCTTATCAAATCTTTAATTTATTATACATTTCAATTTATTTCCCCAGTTTGTTGTCTGTTGGCAGATTAAAACATAATAAACATCTCTTTTGTAGCACAAGTGAATGTCCACAGTAACACTATTCTCTCCTCCAGATGCTTGCTCTTGTCAAGTTTTTTTTTTTAATCTATACTGACTTTCTATTGTTCTCATTGTTAGAGAAACCAGAGCTTGAGTACAAACACACAGCAGAATGTAAACAATATCTGTCATCCGAGTTATTCCTTAACTTCTAATCTTGTGTCTTGTAACAGTCCTGATAAAACTGTCAATGTTCTTTGTCTTGCCAGTAGTTCGTTAAAGATCACAGTTAAGCTGGCCGGCAGAAAAAGGAAGTTAATAATTATAGCATATACTTACTCTCTTAAAAGTGTTTATGCTTCTTGGATAAACTAGACACACCCTTTACTGTTATTAAAAATGTAATTTAGAAAATAGCACTGTAGCAAATGACCACAGATTAAGCCTAAAATAAGTAATGCAGAGCTATACAGAGAATGCACATCGCATCAAGCTACAGCACAACACAGTATATTGAAGAAAAACATGTTCAATGATTTACAGTGTCTGATAATACAGCCAGATGGCAAGCAGAGTTTCAATTCCTCATACCACCATTCCAAGTCAAACACTTTTTGTTGTTAAGTGGGTGTCACATTTTAACAACAACAAGGTGTGCCTCCAGGCGTGTGGGGGTTGGAAAGCTTCACGTTGCAAGATGGAAGTGTGAGCATCTGAGTGTGTGTACGCAATGTCATGGCTGGTGAATTTAACGGACATGGTACAAAGTACGCACCACTCAAAAAGTCTGTGTTCTGCTGTGTGTGTGTGTGTGTGTGTGTGTGTGTGTGTGTGTGTGTAAAATGTCTGTCTCTCCCCTCAGTTTATCTTGATTTTGCAAAGAGATTAAGTTCTCCATAAGTGTGGTGGTTTATTAAAAAAAAACATAATCATTGTGATATGCAAAGCAGACAGACCGAGAACTACTCCAACCAGACTTACCTCTTTCAAACACTCCATTTTTTGTCTTATCAACAATCTGTGTGCAAAACTCAGGCGCATAGTATACACACATGAAAACACAGACACAAATTGCATGCAAGCAGTTATGTGTAGATAGAACACCTGTGCAGGTGTCTGTATTACAGCTTGCAAGAAGGAACAGCATATTAATGCCTTATCTATTTTTTTTTTAATCTCCTTCCTTTGTTCCCCAACAGTTCTAGGAAGAACACTGGTTTAAATTTAGTTAGTCTCAAGGACGTAGAGAACAGTGGTTTTATTTAGCCATAATAATATAGCAAACAGCAAAAATATAAGCTACTTTTAAATAGGTTGCTGGAAAATGTTATATTAATAATTAAAATCAATCCAGAATCTCAAAGGCAACTAAGGCACTTAAAATGATTAGAGCTAGCCAGCAAACAAATGGGAACCAATTAGACAAGGACAGATTAAAGATACACTGGGTTTAAGAGACATACAGTACCATGACCCACCTCAGGCTAAAACTGCATACCTTAGGCCATCATTGCATGTTAGTTCATATTTTAGATAAAATCTAAATTTTATGATAATGCAAGAAAGCATACTGAAACAAAAGTTATTAGCACGTCACAGAAAACTCAGAGCTATTGCAAACAAAAAAAGGAATAATTCTGGCAAGTCAAAGCCTATGTGACAGCAGTTGTAGCCAACAGGAGCTGGGCATTAGTTACAAACTTTTTGGTCTACTGGTCAAATGAAAACCATGCAGATGAGTGCCTGAAAGACTCACCTGGCAAAGATGTGCAACCATTCTCTAGAAGAGAGGCATGCATGAGAGTGAGAGAATGAGTGAGACGAAAAGAGAAGAATAAAAATAAAACCAGTGAAAAGGACAGCAAATGTGAGTGGGGGACAAAAACAGCAGAGGAGAAATGATGATGACACTGGTGAAAACAAACATCATCAGACAAAGGGGGTGAAAATCCCAATCAATAGATAGACACAAGTCAGCTGGATATTAGCAGGTTACAAAATGTCAATGTTTAGCACTGGTAATCTCTAAATGAGCTCTTTAATCATACAACTTACTGGCAGAAGACAGAGTCAAATTTGCAAAGGACAACAAAGGTAAAGGTGCTAAGTGCAGCTTTTGTACATTAGGGTTCAAGACATTAGTATGATTATTGTAAACAAGCCACCAACTAGACAACTGCCAACTGCACACAGTGTGTAATACTACATTGCATGTTAGTTGAATTTTGGGAATGCCTTGCGGCACAAACCAAAAAGAGGGCGGTGTTCTTTCAAAGCAAACAGAACTTAATAATTCTCACAATAGCAGGTGGTGAAATGGGTGAATCAACAAAAGAAAAATCATTTTCAACATCCCCTTCAGCAAAGCTATAAAGAAAAATTCTGACTAAAGATGCAACATCTCCTTTTTTTATGAGGTTCATAAAAATGTGATATCTGGCACTAAACTGACTACATACATTTCATAAGTTATGTTATCTTGACATTATCTTAAGTATCACAATTAAATATACGGACAAATAATTATGCTGCACATTTAACTATGACACTTGTATGCTGTTTAGAATTGGTTCACTGCCCATCTACAAAGACACATATAGGATGGGAATTTGCAAGCAGAAGATGACTGTGTTCCCTGCAACTTTCCCTACATTTTCACCCTGCTTTACCCTTGCTGCTGTGTGTGTATCTATTGGACACTAAGAGGAGAAGCCTGTGATGATGACAATAATGAAAGGGATACAGGGAGGAGACGAAGATGAGCAGGAGGAGCAGCAGAAGTGGGGTTACCTCTCGTTTAGCTAGAAGTACGTTAGGGACAATGTGAGGGAGACAGCGGCCCAGCATCAACATCACACTCTCTTCGCTGTCTGCTATACGGGACACCTGGAAATGGGAGACATTATTATGGTGTATGTTATCATAAATGTACACTTTGTAAGTTTACATATTAAGAGTGTGCGTGCTGACCTCTGCCCCCAGGCGGCTGTCGGAGCACATTCTGCAGAAGGACAGCAGGGCTTGTAGGAAGGCCGGGGATAACTTTCTGCAACACCGCAAACAACAAGAGACATAAAACAGTCATTACAGTCTGGACTGTCCAGCAACTGGAGATTGCCCTGACCACTGAATGATTGAGGATTGGACTGGGCCACCCTGCAAGAGAGCTTAGAGCTGCCACTCTCCCATGTCAGTGAAGTGAAAAAAAAAAAAATAGATGGAGTTTGGCCACAGGACATTACAGCAGCACTGGCACCTGTCCAGTAGCAGATATTGCACATTAATCTGAAATTTCCAAAAGGGAAAAATATATTGTATTTCCTTGACTGGATGACTCAAAAGTTGTTGGTGCACTAAACATACTACAGCATGGGTGGTATAGTGATAAGAAATATCACTGATAACTACCTCCATCTAGTGCCTTCATTTAGTAACTACACTGAGATGGGCAGTATAGCTGTAATAGTGAGTATACTGCTTGCCATATCTAGTATCTATTTATATATTTCTGTGCAGGAAGTATATACAGAATATTGAGGATTGGAAGCATTTTGGAAAGTTTACATCTATTCATTTACACATTTCCTGTATGTCTGAATTTCCACTTACCTGTTAGGTTGATCAAACTTGACGGGAGGCCGACTCTTAAGCTTGTTGTGGGACTGTGGGTGGGGATGTGATGTGTTCTGAGTAGAAGGGGGGTCCAGTTCAGTTTCAGGCTCTGAAACCCCCCGGATGTCCAGATACTGGCCATTATCTGTAGGAGGCTGAGAGTAAGACTAGATTAGGTTAGGATTAATGTCAAATGTCTGGGCTTCTGTCAAAATACATCAGGAAACAAGCACAAAATGGAATCATTTGAATGTCTTTTAAGGGTAATTTATTTCCTTTTTTTTTTTTTAATTGCAGGACACTGGTACTACTAACACTGTATATCACTGGTACAAAACACAGACACAAGTCTCCACATTACATAATTCAAACTGACCACATACCACAGAGAGAGGAGCAGTGGAAGAAGTGGTGGTGTTGGAGGAGGAGTTAGATGTATTCTGGGAGCACAGGTCCAGAGTGGCCGGAGGTGGGGAGGAGACAGTCCTCTTCAGTGTCTGAATCTCACTGTGAGGTAGGGAAGAGCAGACGGGAGAGGACATGGTCAGAAAACACTGCATAATTCTTATTAGTGAAGAAGCGAGTCAATAAAATGAACATTTTCCATCCAAAATAAGCGGTAGAACAGTTCTGTAAAATTACTTAACAATTTTGGATTGTCATAAAGGAAATTTGTCTGAATTCCGATGGTGGAAATTAAAGATTTCACATACAAGGAAAATGACTCAGAGAAGGGTTTCCTCTGTAATTTCATGCAACAGTGGTGCTTGGGGGAAAATTTCCATACTGGTTCTACCTCATGGCCTGTTTTGGTCACAGTTTTGGTTATAATGTCGAATGAAGTGCTGAAAACATTTTTTATGGATGCTTCTCATTTCCCTCCAGCGGTAGTGGTAAATGTTCTTGTTGTAATGGCACATAACTGCTATGAATAGAAGGAACTGTTTCAGCATCATAGCATAGTAACAGTGGTCATATGATGAATAAGATAAATAGTGCAACTGTAAGCTGTGTCTCGACCTGTATTACATACTGACTGATTCACTTGTACAGCAGCACAAACCTCTGCAGTTTCTTGATCTGCTCAGCTAGGCTCTGCTTCTCATTGTTGAGGAGGCTTATCTGGTACTCCAACTCTTGGACGACTTCTGTCTGTTGCTATAGAGGGACAAAAAGAATGATACAGACATTTTATTACCTCAGCTCAAGAGCAGGTGGTCCAACAGGTAAAAATTCGAGTGACTTAGTAGCTAGTAGGGATATTTCAGACTGATTGAAAGGAGCACACTTTTCATTCAGTTCCACAGCTTTTTACTAAAACAATGTGAATGATGTGATGTGTACTCTCAAAGAGTGTAAATGCACTGTTTTCAACTAATTTCTGTCCAGTATATAACTTGCAAACAAATAAAGAGAGAGCAAAAATGACCCCTATGTGTCCCTATGATAAAAGAATACCCATCGCAACTTTAGGATAGCGACAATTTTATAATCACAAAGCCTTGGATGCAGCCAAGAGCAAAATACCTGACTGACTCACTCATTGAGGTAGAAATCCAACATAGATGTAAGGTACCACCCATGAATAACTGCACATCTATGAATTACACCCATACATGTGCACACACACACACCCACACACAAACCTGCTGTAAGAGGTCAGGCTTCTTTGGGGGATCTTGGGGGATGCAGTTTCCTGGAAGATCGCCAAAGTTCACCCCTACTGACACATCCACCGTGTCCCGAGGAGAAGGGAGGGGGGTACCACAGTTTCTGTATAGATGTAACAGGTCAGGTGGTTTTGGAATGTTGAGGCCGACATCGTCCCACAACTCAAAGTCCTGGAAACAAGTAAAAAAAACTAAATATTTAAACAATACTAATTAGTGCTGGAAGTGGGTGTGTCCTCTGTATAGATAAAGCAGGACACGGTGCAAGTTCAGAACAGGACAGCTGATCTGAGTTGTTGAATTTATTTATGGTCACATGACCCTGCCACTGTTCTTAGACCAGTGCCCTCATGCTTACAAGTCTGACAGCTCCTATTTTACCTTAGGAATAAAAAGACTTTGTATTAGGAAGCAGGCAGAAATAAATGATAAAAAAGGTTAACTCCATTCAGACATTTGTCATTCCGACTTTGAAACATGCAACAGCCAGAGAATCTTTACCTGATCATCGTTTTCGTCAGAGAAGGTGATGGATGAGAGTTTGTATTCATTTTTCAATAAATATTCATTCACAAGGAAGTTTAAGGCTCGTTTCTCCAGTTGGCGTATAGGCTCCTGAGGTAGAGAGGAAAGAGAAGCTGTGAAATAATTCACTAAAGGCCTAGCAGTGATACTACACAGGGGTTTAAAGAAACACATGTAATCTCTGAATTCATTAGAAAGGGGAAAAGGAATTCACAAATCTTTTCATTTTCAACGTTTAAAAGATTCCCCACCTGAATTTCAGGACTTGACTTGAAGTTTTTTCTCTCCTGAGAGGCCACTTCGCTCTCTGAGAAATTGAGAAGATATTAGTTGAGTTTTAAACGACGCGGAGCGTTATTCATCTAGAGGAAATCTCTTAGGGAAAAAAAGACAGAAGGTTGTAACAAAAGAGGGTTCAGGTGGAGAAGAAGTTAAAAGTACGCCACACCTGCTGCCTGAGTCAAGTTGGCGCGCAGAGCCTGAATGGTCTCCTTTGCTTTCCGTAGCTCAAACTCCAGCACTGGACAGGAAGTGACAACACACACACACAGGAAGTGCATCCAACCAAAGACAGGGAACAAACAAATAAAACAAAGATGGGCATGAAAAACTAAACAACCACACAAAAGATTGTAAGAGTCATAAAAGAAATCAACAAAAAAGGATGCATGCAGTTCATGGGTCTAAGGAACGCATGCAGCAGAGGATCATGGTAAAGCCGGCTGGATGACAAGTGTGTGTAATGCATTGAGACACATCTCAATGGTAGGATTTCCTGCCCTCGTTTTCCTCCCATTAATAGCACTGATGTGACTGGCTTAAAAAATGGGAGTCCAAAGTTACTTCCAATTTTAGCTGAGGTGAGCAAATCTAGTCAAGCCACTGAAATGTAGCCTTGTTAATCTAGGAGCTGTCTGACAAAGGATTTTTTTTTTCCCAGGCAAATGCCTTACTAACAAGTAATTAAACCATTTGGGTTCAAGCCACTCAAAGGACAGCCACTGCTCAGGTTTTTACTGCTTTTACAGTCTAGGTCATCATACTATGAACAACACAATCTAAGCTAGAAAGAGTCAAAGTATAATTTAGAACATGGTAGGTTACTATTTTAGACTTGTTTTCATAAAAATAAAAACATAATAATAGCCAAGCAAGCTATTTCTGACGTCTTATACAATCAGAAGCAGCAGACATTTGGATAGAATTGTATTGATAAAATTGATTTGTACATTGAAATTCACTGAATAAAGAAAAAGAACACACAAGATTCTTAGACACGTTAGATAAAAAAAACACACGCAAAAAGTAAGAAGCGATGGAGCAGGAAAACTATGTTGCATAGCTGTGCACTGAAAATCTGATCTGATCCTGTTGCTGTTCCTAAATCTGTCATCTAATGTCTAGGATTGTGCTTCAACAGGTATTGTAGCTTTTATAAAAAAATTTTACTTAAAGGACTTGTGCAAAAGGCAGGTAAAAAACTTTATTAATCTTTAGTAATAATTGCAGGCTACATTCCACAATGTCCTGTAAGGTTGTTGTCAATTTTCAGTTTCCACAACGTAAAAATAGCCTACTGTGTTTCTGCAAAAAGAAATGTCAGCAACACATTAGTTGGACTTTTCTGACCAAATCCACCCAGTCTGACTCCATCATCCCTAACCTTTCCAACAGATCGAGAGTGCACAGGATGCAAGCGCAACAAAATGGAAAACCAAGAACTGAATAACGGGAAGAAGATTTAAAAAAATAAAAATAAAAAAATAGCAAAAAAAGCAAAAGCTAGTCTGGATGGAGTGACTTGTCCAGTATTGTTCACTGGGGTTTGATCAACGTTAGGAGAAAGCCAGAAAACCCAGAGTCAGACAGCTGGGGGCAGGCATCTTGGCAAGAAGAACAGGTCGGGGGGGGGATGAGAGTGGGGGTGGTTGAAAGGGGAAGAGAGGAGGGGGGAGATATGCCAATTTGGCCGAGTGTGCTGCGTGTGAATAATAGTAATTTTAAAAAAAGATGCATAATTTGGAGTTGGGGAGCTTGGAACCAACATCTCTCTGCTGCATGGTTTTAACTGTGCCCTTACTATGCATTAATGTACAGCTTTTCATAAACTGGTAAAAGCCCCAAACCATGAGCTAGCTAGTTCAATGTGTATATTTTAAATGTATCACCTACTTCCTTTAAGACCTTTACAAAACAGTAATGCTTTTTCTACTCTCATAATGCAATATACACACTACATTTACTGACATTTACATTTCATAGACATGTAAACAATCCTTTTATATTATAGTAAAACACTCTAATTCTCATGCTTAGAAGTTGTGTAAAGTACAGAAGGGAAAAATATCGATATAATATAAAAAAAAAGAAAAAACATAAAGCACAAAATATGTCCATCCTGCAGTTATGGATTGGGGCTTTTCAGGACTCACTGATTAACACTTACCGACCAAATGGGTGGATGACTACAGAAAGCTGGTAATGGATAATGTTAACCACTGTACTGTGGCATAGTGTGCAGGGCTAGAAAGTAATGTTTTCATGTTGGCAATTATAAAATAGAAAGACGAAAACAGGAGGCAGATTAAGTGAACATGATGTATATGGTCCTTGCATGACAGCACTGTCCCCTCTGCATTAACGCTAAAGTAAAAGGCTTATGTGTCGTTTGTTTTCCTTTAGTTGACAGTGTCAAAAATCACACATCTGACAACCAACAAGCTAACTGTGACTGGGCAACTGCTCTTAAAACCAGCCTTTTGTGATGAGACGTCACATTGAACGGTTAATGTACTCGAATAAAACTATCTAATGGTGTGTCACGACAGAGCCACAGGGAGAAGGGGGTGAGATAGCAAACAATGCTGAGACAGGTCTCGCACCAAAAATACCACAGACTGACTCAACAGTGTGACGGCTGATGGGAGGAGGCACGGACACCTCTACCAAGTTAAAGAAAGACACATATTACACATTGGAAGTGTTGGAGCATGTTGACAAAAGATTTATGAAAATACATATTCTGTTAATTTACTTTATTTCTACCTGGCTACTAAAGCAACAAAACAGTATGATAGTGTGAACACACAATGACACTGTTGTTTAGTGTTGATTCTGACATCAAATGTGTTAAATAAAATATGCTCGCTATTTAGTAATCACCAATAAAGCAGCTCTTACAGAGCAGCGCCACTGCGACAACATCAGAATAAAGGCATATTTCACTTTTGTGTTGGATCCGACATCACTATCATGCAGCCTTTGATGCAGCTGTCAGGTGTTATTCTCTTTATTTCTATGCCACCCTCCCATTCTGTCACGGTCTATTCTCCCGATTGTTGTCCATCTTTTATTTCCCCAAGGTAAGCCGGGTCTCTTGCTTTCAGCCCTAACAGGACGGTTCATCTTACCTGCCACCCGCTCGTCCGACTCTCGGTTGCCGTCATCTGAGTAACGGGCAAAGTCCAGAGAGTCCAAGGTGCTGATGCTGCCTGCTCGATCTGAACAGAGACAGAGATGGAGACAACGGTGAGACAAGTATACAAACACATGTTAGATTAGTCCACTGTCAAGCTCAGAAATGTCACTGACAATCCACTGATCCTCCAGAAATGATGCTTTAAACGAGCTCCCCTCTGAAGGGACAGGGTCTGCTAGGCCCCCCTTTTACACCTGGTATTAACATGCGTCTTGGGTGATCCGATCACAAGTGAACAGTGGATTAAGGTGTGAATGCACTAAAGGCGGATTCGTTAAGCAGTGTGTACACCACACTGAAGGACTGCCTACTAAACTGACTCCTCCTTACTCTTGTAAGTACACAAGCAACATGCTGTCTGATTTCTATTTGGTTCACTGTAATGCAAATTAGGTGTTTGGCCTCTCTAACCTGCCAAGATGTTTCAACTGATTTCACATTGAAATAGTAATTGCAAATTCCCCAGACTCCCTTAATAAATCATGCAATTTTGAGAGTTGTTGAGTGAGGAGAAACTTAAACAAAAATGACTCCTCCAGCAAATTCTTAATCATTTGTGCATTCTTGTTAATTCGGCATTAAATTAAATACAGTAAGTTGTTTCTTTCCTTGTTAAAAACATTGTCAGGTTGTTGCAGCATTGCTGTATTGGTGGCTACTCCGTGTTTAAAGTGCATCTCATCAACCAACATTTAGCAGCCAGGTGTTTGAACACACTGATTTCACCATTTATACTTAATTTATTAAAGAAGACAACATTTTATTGAGGTTAGACATGTCAAATTTTATAAATACAGTAAACAATACAGGCTACTGCTCTGCAGGAAAGCCAGATTCCTTCAAAAAAACCATCTGATCTTTCAACTGATTTCACATTGAAATAGTAACTGCAAATTCCCCAGACTGCCTTAATAAATCATGCAATTTGGTGAGTTGTTGAGAGAGGAGAAACTACATAAATGTTGTGTTGTGTAAAAACACTGTCTACATCAAATCCTTAATTATTTATAAGTTCGACAAATGTTATACTACAAGTTATTTCTTTGTTTGTGTAAGAAACATTATTTCTGTTTGTCCCAGCGTGTTGGCTGCTACTATTGAGCCAACTAAAAACGAATTTAGTCTTTAGCAAACTGAAGCAATGTACATGTTTATTTGCAGAGCGGAGAATTGAAATCTGATCACAAGCGGTCACTCAAGACGAATGTGGAGATGCATTGTAATGCCAGGTGTAAACTGACATACTTATTCATTTGTGATTGGATCAGCCAAGACGCATGTTAATGTTAGGTATGAACAGGCTCCTACCCAACAGTAGCCCCACTGTGGTATGGATCAAGTATTTCTCTTAAGGACTCTTAACCACGCTGGAAGCATGCTGACCCTGGGCTTGAGGTAAAGGATGGTGACTAACCACTAGGCTACCCTTCTACAAAACAGATGGAAACTTTATTATATTCAGCTAAAAGCAGAGACCTTTAAAAGCCTGTGTGGGAAGGTTACACTTCAGCCAAGAAACATATGAGTCACAGAACATGGGGGAAAACAAATCAATCAAAAAATGTTAACTTTGCTCAGACCTTTACTTAATGGAAACGCCCATTTCCAAACCAACACCTCCAAAAAGCCACCGTACATCTGAGAATAGGGATGCCAAAAGTATTTTTCACTCAAACAACAGATAGAGCTGATACATAAGTATGCTTGTGCTCCTGTTTCACTGAGCTAGGCTGGCCTCGTAGCTTAGCCAATGGTGTAAGTTTTCCTCCACTGCAATACAAGCTCAAGATTGGCCTATTTGTTCTCTGATATCCAGATACAGTAGAAGGTCAAGCCAAATGTAGCGTGTAGACTAGCTTTAAAACCATAGCTTGCTTTGCTTTGCAAAGCTAAGGGAAAGTGACTTGTGTGAGTAATGAAGCTGAGAATAAAATCATTGTTGGTGCAGAAATTGATATATTATGTTGATTCAGTATACCTTGAGTAAAAAACACATTGCAGGTTGAGACCTTTGAACTTTTAGGTAGCATTGTGTTAACACTGTGTGTGAGTAATGCTTATGATTCTTTAGCTACTACAGTAGATATTAAAATGTTAATGTTGGGGTTGGTTTGCTTGATCTGTTAAATATTTAAGATTTCTGTTCAACCTTGTTTAATGTATGTGTATGTGTATGTATGTGTGTGTGTGTGTGTGTGTGTGTGTGTGTGTGTGTGTGTGTGTGTGTCACATGTTTAAATGTATGACCATGCAGCCTCACAGAGCACACTCTCAGTCCTGTGACTACAGTGAGAGTGTTTCTGCACGGGCGTGTGTTTTGTGTGTGTGTGTGTGTGTGTGTGTGTGTGTGTGTGTGTCATTGTTCTGTCATGCTGACGTGCAGCGTGAAGGCACTGCAAACTTTCCTTTCGTTTTAAAGCCTTGTGCTGTATAATGATAAATACATTTCACTGATCGTCGAGGATGTTTTCTGTAAGTGGTTGCAATATATTTGGTGAATTAGTGTGTGAGACAAAAAAAAACCCTGTAATTCCAATGTGAGGGAGCATGCACAGATGTCTTGTGTGTATGCCTAATTGCCAAAAACAAGTATTTTTTTCCTGGCTCTGACCTTTAAGCTCTGTGCCTGTGGCGTGTATTGTCTGGAGTGTGATAGATCTGACACTTCAGACTGTCACCTCTTCACTGCGCTCCTGCGGGGCAGGTTGTGCTTCACACACACACACACACACACACACACACACACACACACACACACACACACACACACACACACACACACACACACACACACACACACACACACACACACACACACACACACACACACACACACACACACACACACACACACACACACACACACACACACACACACACACACACAAATCCATGCACAGTATCTATCTAGGCTCTCGAGTACATGAGTGTTACCAACTTACATTCAAAAAGCACACTACAGATTAGTTAAATGGGCCTTAATTTGTACTCTGAACTGCTTTTCTCTCTACTCTATCGTGCAATTTAATTTTTGTTTTACAAAAACAATTTGGAGGCCAACGAGACCTTTTCATGAAAAAGCGAGACGGAAGACAAACACAATGAAGGATAGTTTTTCTGCTTTGGCAAGTATAAAAACAAAGAAGATAAATTGGAGACAGGGAGAGAAGCAAGAGTTTAGTCCCAGAACAAAGAGATAGACTTAAAAAGAGCTGATACAAATACAGACAAGGAGACAGAGAGAGGATGGATCATCAGGAGGTAGCCAACAAGCTCTTTTTAATGGGAGGGATGTTTTGGCAAGACTGTTAGCTATTTAGAGAATATAAATGGGATGAAAGAATGGGAAACAAATTACAAAGGATGCAGAGGGAGACACTCAAACCTGTATGGACATTTTTCCTCACAATATCAAAATTATGAAAATATATTCAATGAAATGTAACACTTAGTTAACCTGTGTATAAAATGAGCATATGAGAACTTATATACAGATGGACAGAACCACCTGCACACGCATACACACGCATGCCACACACACACACACACACACACACACACACACACACACACACACACACACACACACACACACACACACACACACACACACACACACACACACACACACACAGCTTAATGAAAGGCAGAGAGTTATGAACAGTCAGCCAGTCGGAGCCAGTCCAGAACTACATGAAGCTGACAGTATCATTAATCGCCTTCTCACACAATATACCAACTCCCTGCCACAGACAGAGGGGAGAATGGAGAGACATTATAAAGTGAGAAAAATTTAGAAAAAGAGAATGCATGTGAGGTTGGGCCAACTAATAAGCAGTGCTGCTAAGGAAGAGGCAGAGCTGGTATGATTGTTTCAACAGAATGACAATGACTACCTCTAAATCTTGATAAGATCAACTCTACTGGTGTTATAAATCGTTTGTGTATCGGAGGGAAATGGTGTGTGGTTGACCTGGATTGCCACTTTGTCAAAATTACAGATTTGTAACAGGATAGCACATAAATAGTGGTTACAAACCACCTAACCTAGATCTTACTATGCGAACATCCTATTTGACCCTTTTCAAATAGCAGATGGTAGGTTCCTTCAACTACAATTTAACTTTCAGATTCTTAGCCTAAGATCAAAAAGCCACTTTATGGTATCCCATATTATGTGGCAAACCACACAGACGTCTCAAATGTGGTACCTTACTGCCAACCTCGTGCATGGCAATTTATGTGACATGCTATCTTAAAAGCCCATCGCATCCTAACTAGCATGGATAACTACCTGCCTAACCAATGATGGGTGGAGAGAGACTCATTCATGCTTCCTTGCTACAAATTAGCAAAGTGGTGAGAGATGCCTTGTTGGGTCATGTGGCCTTGAGCAACAGCTGCAGTTATGATGCTGCTTGTTACGCAGTCGTTATCCATGCACATGCTCGCTGCAATCAACAGCTTACAGCAATAAGACAACAGATATTCCATCAGTATCCCTCCCTCCTCAACAACTACTCAACTCTATCTTTTGTCCTCCAAACATGAGGAAAAAGATCATTCCAGTGATCACATGAGGTCTTGGCTATCATATTATGCTGGAAAGAAAAGTGACACTGCCTTGGGCTGAATTCATCGCTTTCTCCCTCATCTATTCCCATCAGCTACTTCATTTTTTCACCATCTGCATATGGTATATTTGACTCATCAGGAACCATGGATTTAATATATTTTTACCCTCATCAACAGCTAATAAGACTGAGATTACTGTTTCTCCATGACCTTCCTGTCAAGTTTCACAACAGGGGGGTGTCAAGTCCTGCCATGCTTTTCGAAGACATCATCAAAAAACATTTATTCTGTTACCGTGCTCCAAACCTTTTGGGAGAATGTATGATAATGCAACCACCAGACTTTTGCTACTGACACAGACAGCTCACCATACAGAGAGTCAGTCTACCTAAGTATTTAATTCTACAGGGTGGGGTTTTACACTGACAGCCAAAGGTTGCATTGAATCTGACTGGCTGCCATCTGCTATCTGCTAAAGCTAGCCTCAGGCCAGTTGCCTAGACCAACACTCAAGACTGTACAACAGTCTCCTGAGACATCAGGTCATTGTCCATTGCTACTGCATCCAAATGAGGGGGAAAATGTGGTTATAAAACCACATCTTCTCTTTCTACAGCATGTATTTATATGCTGTAGTTCCTCAGCTGGACAACTGCCAAGTGTTTATACAATGAAAATTCATCATCTAGCCTGCACCAAAAAAAAAAAGTACAAATTACAATTGCAGTGCTGCTGTCATGACTGTAAATACTCTGGGAGACTCATAAACCAAAATACTGATTTGAATCCTGGAATTGGTAAGGAGCAAAGCCTCAAATGAATGACCAAAGTTACCCTGTGGCCTGCACACCTACTAAAAACTGACAGGAGCACTTCCAATTCACTCTGCCTTGATAGCATCTGAAAGCAATATTTATTTTGTTAATTTGAAACTACAGCCCAAGTAGCAAATCATATCCACTGGTGTGAATCACAACCAGAAATACTTTATTGATCCCCGGGGGAAATTAATGTTAATTTGTTAATGTGGCACTTAGATTGTGATGCAAAGAGCATCTGCTTTCAGAGACTGATAACCAAAAAACTATTTTTTTCCGTAACAGGCAAAGGGACAAAGAATTTGTAAAGATCTGTTCATTTGTGTTGAATCAGGGCACTAAGTAAGAGGTGTCGGTTTTTAAAGTCAGTTCAGTTCAGTGTTTCCTGCTTGGATGTTTCAGATTGTTCAAAAGATAAGGTGGGTGTGTAACCATCCATATGGGTCACTGACATTGTTCCTACCCTATCTCTCCTGGATGTAAGATAAATATACTTTAACAAGACAGATCCACTCACTGCAGTAGAGAACACCAAGCTGAGTCATGTTCATTAAAATAGTCATAAGGTTATTAAATAGTCTTTAAAATATATACATTTTATAATACCTGTTATCACTTTCAAGCCACCTAGGTCAAATCATCTAACAGCATACATGCTTACATAAGACTTCCAGAAGCTCAATCCTCCATGGTAAGTCAAAATATCCTCATGGTGTATTTTCTTCCTTTCTAGTCCTCTTTGAATGTAGCCAATTCACTGCTTTTAGACCAGAGGGATATGTGTGGAGCCTTATATAGGTGCCTATGTTAAGTGTGAATAGATTTGATCCACTACTCATGAAATAGGGCCACAAGAAAAGGTTTTCCATATGTTCCATATTCCCTTCAATGCTAGGCTCCCGTGCTTTGCCACAGCTGAGTTAAAGTTTATGGTAATACTACTCCTGCAGCTCTATAGCAGGCTTTATTTATTTGTGGCTTGGGTTGTCACTATGACTACCATTTGCATGGCATGTTTGTTTATGGGTCCTGACTTCTCAGCCACCATATGTCCTGCAGGTTATTCCACAAAAGAAGTATTGTATGTGGATGAGGTTGATACACTCTTGACCAGTAAACCATAGTAATAGTTTATTGATCTGTTCTGGTAGAAACAACTGGTACAAAGCAACACAAGCACTAACAGGGCCCTGTCCTCTTAAGCAAGATGATGTACCTTTAAACCCAATTCAGGATGTAAACTGCTCTCTAGCAAGACACTAAAATCCTACCAACTGTAGCCCTCTCTTCATACTCAAAATTGCTTTAATGGCATCACAATAGTTTAGTACAATATTGCAAAAAGCAGGTTAGACAAGCTTTATCTTTTTCCTCTTCTGTAGCTGATCCTGACCTCTGACCTCCCTCGGCCTAAAGGAAGGGGCATCGTGTATTTTCTTACCGGGGTCAATGACACTAGGACGATCACTGTTTGTCATAATATCTCGCATCCATCTCATCCAGCTAGAAAGTGTGGTATAGCCTAATCACATTTCTGTGGTGCTGTAGTGTGTATGTCAGCAAACACAGCTGAACTGACCCACAAAACCAGCTTGTTGGCTGCGGGCCCTGAACCGGGAGGGCAGGTGCAGCAAGCGGATACCTCATGATCGATTGGCTCCCAAATCCAGTGTTTTAAGCTAACGTTAGCTAGCTACTGGGCTAACTTTGTATAATGCACCATTATAGATATAGCTAGCTGACAGCTACGTGACTAGCACTGGGAGCATACTCACTCAGTGGTCCTCCAGGTCCGAGTACCTGGTCTTTGGCAGGCGGAGTGCCGCTCTGTCGCTCGAAGTTGCCAGGGTTGGAGAAATAATCCCGCAGCCTCGGAAGCTCTCTGCCTGCTTCCAACAGTTCGGTGTGAAACTCCAGGGCCGTGAGGATGTACTGGTCCCGTAATAGCTGAGCAGCAATAACATCCACAGATACCCGTGCCTCGGCACTGCCAGCCATAGCGGAGGTGGCCGCGACCGAGACCGAGATGCCCTCACCGCTGGGGCTCGTCCGGTTGCTAGACAGCAGGAGCGTCGGAGGCTCGGCGTCCGCAGGCGGAGAGAACAGGTTGCCTGGCGGCGGCCCTGGCGCCCCGTCACTCGGGCTTCTCTCTGTGTCAACTGTTTCATTGGGGCGCCGTTCAGCCTCTTCCTCTGAATCACTGAGATCAAACGGGTTGACCGACGCCATTTTTGCACTGTAAAGATTTTTTTTTTTTTTTTTTTAGTAATCTAGACTAGCTAAGCTAATCAGACCCGCTTCTTCCTGAATAGATATTAAGCTAGCCACGGTTTGGTAGGTGGGTTTGTCAAAGGGGGAAAGAATGCGAAGCTGTGATTGGTCAAATCAGAGGGACGTTATCCCAAAACCCGCCTCTTTCATGGGATAATGGAATATGATTGGATATTTAGGGAGACATAGAGGAAAACTGGGCAGGGCACATTTGACAGCTGATAGCCTATGCTAGCTAGCGTGTTGTTATCCAATAACCACCACCTGTGACAATAATCATTTCCAGTCAAACAGCACTGTTACACATATTGTTGGATATAAAACAAAAAGACATTTCGTTTAATTTAAATGCGTTTTGAGAGAATTTGAAAAAGGAAGCTCACTGGGAAATATTTTTTAACTACAGTACCCACAATTCAGCTGCACAGTACGCAACGTCTACGTAAAACGTCGAAGTCACAACAAGGAAGTAGATGCTTATGGTACCTGAATTTCTTGTGCTAGCTAGTTAATCTTCTTAGACAGAGGGACAGTTGGTTTTGTTAAAGGACGCACTTAAAGATTACGTTGATCTTGTTTTGTACCACAAAGCCTCAATCTGTCAGGTTCTCTGGATTTCTAATAGGCCATCTACGAAGACAAAGTGGAAGTTATATCAGATGAATAGGTAAAATGGTAGTGGATAGTTCTGCTCTCCCATTCATTCACCAATGAGACAGCGTCCCCCGTTTTTAATTCAACAGGTAAGACTGTTTGCATGACCTAAAAATATCCTGAGTCATTCTCTTGTCAACACGCGTCTGACTGCTAGTCTGCTGGCTTAATGGTAACCTTTTTATTATTTACAGTCTTTGTTGGTAATTTATCACTGAATGTGACAAACTATTAAAGTCATTATTTCTGTACATTGACTGATGGCATATGGTGGTAGAAGGATTACCCCTGCTCTTAAACACTCTTTGCATGGCACATACATTAACGTAACCAGTCTATATTACACTAAACTAATTTATTAAGTTGGGCTTTTATGCTTTTATAACTTTACATTTGTCCATATTTACCACAGTCATCTTTATTCTGTATGCATTTCTGCGTCTTCTTCTTCTCACCTCCTCTCACCTACAAAAAAATCTCCATCCCCTCCTGTTTGCTCTGCAGACCCGGCTCGGTGTTGACACTCAACATGAGGATGATCACCTTCTTCCTGGTTGGACTGATAGTCCATGTGGTCTTCTTCCTCTCTATCTTTGACATCTACTTCACCTCTCCCCTGGTCCATGGCATGACACCCCAGGCCACCCCGCTGGCACCCCCTGCCTCCAGACTGGTGTTAGTGGTGGGCGATGGTCTCAGAGCAGACAGTCTCTTCACACTCCTGCACAATGGCTCATCCAGGGCTCCATACTTGAGGTAGGGAAACTAATACAGAGTATCAGGCTTTGCTGTGGTGTGTTTGTGTGTGTATTAACTAGTCCAGTACAGAATTCACTATGTATATCTCTGCCGTGAGTTTTTGTGTGTGTTATACTGGGTATTTTTTCATGCTTGGTTCATAAGTCCTGAGTAACCTGTGTTTGTGTGTGCATGTCTGTATGTGTTTCCCAATATCAGGAATGTGATAGAGGAAAGGGGTACCTGGGGTGTGTCACACACACGCGTGCCCACTGAGTCTCGTCCCGGTCATGTTGCTCTCATCGCTGGCTTCTATGAGGATGTTAGTGCTGTTGCTAAAGGTAGGTGTTCATCTGCGCACACTAATACAGAAAAGGCTATGTGAAAATTGTTGTGTCTGTTTGTGACTGCAAGTGCACTGAGCTTCTTTTATGTGTGTTCAGGGTGGAAGGAGAATCCTGTAGAGTTTGACTCTGTGTTTAATGAGAGCAGACACACCTGGTGCTGGGGCAGCCCTGATATTCTGCCCATGTTTGCCAAAGGTACACAAGCACACACAAAAAAACAACCCAATCGGAATCACTAACCAAATCAATATCAAAGCAAAAGGTCACAGATAAATACTCTAAATTTATTTGAATATTTTTTAAAGAACATTTTTCTTCCAGGTGCCAGTGGAGACCATGTGTATACCCACACATACCCAGCAGAGGAGGAGGACTTTGCCTCCACAGATGCCTCCAGGCTGGACAGCTGGGTGTTCACTCAAGTCAAAGTATGGTAGTGGTTGATAATAACTACTGATAAAGTCATAGAAAAATGTTAAGTTTTAATAATTGTAGGAGACTTCACTGGTATTATGAGTGAGGATCTGCACATTGCTATCTTCAATAAATCAAACTATGTTTCTTTCTCTCTCTGCACTAGTCATTCTTTCAGTCAGCAAAGTCCAACTCTAGTCTAAGGGCCAGTCTGCTCGAGGATAAGAACATCTTCTTCCTGCATCTGCTGGGCATCGACACAAACGGACATGCTCACAGACCAGTGTCACAGTAAGAGACATCAGGATTTCTTGTTGTTGTTCCATTTATATGAAATTTGATCTCACGACACATAACATACAATTCAGTTAACATATTCTTCCAAAGCAGCATCCACTTCAGTAGCGCTATATGTTTATTTTGTAATTTTTTCTAGGGAGTACCTGGACAATATTGGTCTAGTAGACACTGGTATAGCTGAGCTGGTGTCTATAGTAGAAGACTTCTTTAATTATGATGGCAGAACGGCCTATGTGTTCACGTCTGATCATGGCATGACAAACTGGGGTAAGACTCTTGTTTTGCCTTTTTTACTGAAGAAAACAGAAAATCTGTTCTTCAGTATACAAATTCACTGTTTGTGTGTGTGTGTGTGTCTGTGTGTGTCTGTGTGTGTGTGTGTGTGTGTGTGTCCGTGTGTGTCTCTCCAGGTTCACACGGTGCAGGCCATCCCTCTGAGACACTCACCCCTTTAGTGGTGTGGGGAGCAGGAGTTCAGAATGCCCACAGAGTGACTGAACCCCAATCATACAATGATGGGTACCTACAAGGTGCTAAACTCATGTACTGCGCTTACAGCTGCTTACTTAAATGTCTCTCAAGCACGTTTTTTTGCTTCAGTTTAGGACCCAGCTTCTCCTATACGCACTAAAGGGAAGAATGGGATTTTGTATAAATATTTTATGTTTTAAAGATTTAATTATAATCATTAATTTAATAATTTTTTATCCTTACTGTTTATCTCAGATTGGAAACTGGAGCACCTTCGTAGAGTTGACGTCAATCAGGTAAGGCCCATGCCCACGGCACTTTTTGACCAATTATCAATTGTTTCCACTAAATGTAAAATGTAAGGAAGCAGTGAGATAACCAAACAACAGGTAGTAAAGTGAAATATTTTAAATTTTTGTATTATTTTCCGCAGGCAGACATTGCACCCCTCATGGCTTCTCTCATTGGTGTGCCCATTCCTGTTAACTCTGTTGTAAGTCAAGTTGTATGTTACTGTATTATCAGAGTTGAAAATAAATTCAATCAGTTATTTAATAGATATTATCTATCCACATGTGTTCATTATACAGCATTTTCTATGAATATCACAATGCAGTTTTATGATTTTATGCTCATCTTTGTGTGTATTTGTGTCTCTTTAGGGTGTGTTACCTCTTCTCTACCTCAACAACAGTGACCAGTTCAAGGCAGAAACCATGTACACTAATGCTATTCAAGTACTAGAGCAGTTCAAGGTATAAAATGTGCTGATCATTAGTATGTTACAAAGGACAGTAAAATAATCACTCATCATGTCATTGTTTAACTGAGTAATATGCAGTTATTCATTAGTAACAATATTATCAGTTACAATTATACTCTAAACACCATGTCGTAACCAAGTTCTGCGTTGTTTTTCTTACTGCATATGTCAAATCAGTAATTCAGTTATATAAATCTATGGTGACTAAGTGCTATATGTTTTTGTAGATGAAAATGACCCAGAAAAAGGAGACGACCTTGTCTTTTCTCTTCACCCCATATCAGTAAGTACAATTCGCTGTGTTCAAGAGTTTAAAAAAATATCATGCTGAATTCATGTAGTGTGTGCAAGACTTGTAGATATTTTGGTAAGAACGTTAACCAGGTGGCAGGTGCCATCTATTCTTGGCCTACGCAAAAAGTATATACTGTGGTTTTGTCAGAATGAACCACACTTTATTTGGTCAAACCACATTTAAGTGCAATTTCACACAGTCTGACTCACTGTTTTCCAGACTACTGACTGAGTCAAAACAAGCAGAATTCATCCACAAGGCAAGAATACTGATTCAGCTGGAGAAGTATAATGAAGCTGTGAGTATTTGAAAAAAGCTAGTCTGCAGCTTATTTTGTACAAATGAATTAAAGTCTAAATGTAGATGTATTCTTGGTGCTTAAATACAAATAAAGCTGGGGTTGATACACAGTGTTAGTTAATTATGTCATGACCAGAGTTGCAGCAAACTGGAGTATAGAGTGTTATGGATGTTGCAGTAGAAAGTTAGCTGCTGTTAAGCCTGACACCAATCAAACCAGCTAACCGTGCTAAATACATATTTACTTTTGCTAAAGCACTCCCTTTCATTCCCCACTGTCTGTCTCTCATCAGATCTCTCTGTGCCAGTCTCTCATATCCCATGCTCTGGAGGGCCTGGTCTACTACCACACCTATGACAGGTTCTTCCTGGGTTGCAGTGTGGTTCTGGGATTTGTAGGCTGGACCTCATATGTTGTCCTAGTCATACTGAAGACTCATGCTGGCCTCAACAGACATCCCAGTCTCCTCAAACAGGTCAGGGCATACACTGTAATCCCTTATTCTTTTGTTTTAAATTTTCCTTCCACTAAAACAAGTTTATGAAACTTGAAGGTCTTGTTAAGTTACATTGTTGGTATTTCTCCTGTGTGTGTGTGTGTGTGTGTGTGTGTGTGTGTGTGTGTGTGTGTGTGTGTGTGTGTGTGTGTGTGTGTGTGTGTGTGTGTGTGTGTGTGTGTGTGTGTGTGTGTGTGTGTGTGTGTGTGTGTGTGTGTGTGTGTGTGTGTGTGTGTGTGTGTGTGTGTGTGTGTGTGTGTGTGTGTGTGTGTGTGTGTGCGCGTGTGCGTGTGCGTGCAGATTCCCAGCCATACCCTCGCAAGGCTGTGTATATGTGTGACAGTGGTGATCACCATGTTCCTGCTTATCCAAAGGAGCCCTGTTACCTACTATATTTACTGCCTGCTGCCTGTCCCTGTATGGTACTCTGTTCTCAGAGAGTAAGTAACGGACACATTCGAGAAAATGTAAAATGGATCAAAACATGAAACACATCTGCACACATACATTATAATCTAATCAAACAAATATGTATAGTTTCTTCTCAGAGAGTGGTGGCGAAAACATCACACACAGACACAGGATGTCATCAAATATGAAAACACATCAATGAATATAGCAGTTTTTAATTGGATGTAATTTACCTCAAACATACTTCTTGCATGTCTAGCCCAGCTGCAGTGAGGTGTTAATTAGATCCTTTGAAGTGGTGTTGTATCCATTCATGTTTCTCCTCTATAAATGGATAAAAGGACAGTATTTGCAGTTGTATTTCTTTTCTCCCCTTTGGTCGCAGGAAAAATAATCTCATTAATTATCAATTTTAGGTCTGGGACTCTAACAGATTTGATTCGCTCAGCACCCTCTCTGCCACTGTGGAAATGTCTTGGCTATTTTGTGCTGGTGGCGTTTGGGATCGAACTATTGGTAGGTGTCATAAATGTCTTCTAATGTACAGTAAGAGGCAGATTTTTGCTTCGGTACACTGATACAGCATTACTTTAGCTGACCTCCACATACATTACATATTATAAATTGGTCACAATGTATAGGGATGACAGTTTACCTTTGCTGCTCCCAGGTGGTGAGTTTCTTCCATCGCGCCATGCTGACTGTGGGCCTGGCTGTCCTCTCTGTCTGGCCCTTTCTGTCGGGACTTTTTGGCAAGGCCAAGGTAACCATGTCAAAGATCATTGCTCCTGCGGTCACAGTACACCAGGATATTTGACTATGGTATTTGAATACTTTTCCACACCTGAAAAGGTTATAGAAAATGATGTGACTCCAGAAAGTTTGGAAATACAAGCTGAAGAAAACACAGTAGCAAATTTCCTGATCACAGAACTCTGACTCACTTATGGATTTTTAAAAACCAAACGGACAAATCAGTAATTTATCAAGGATGTTTCATAACCTCAATCAATAGATAATTAAATATTAATACTCAAATAGATAGATAAGAAATATATATATAGAATATTTTCTGTCCTTTTAAGTATTCTGATAAATAAATAAATAATTAAACCTATTTTATTCTTGTTAGAGATTTATTCCATAAATCAGTTTTACTATATGATTTTTATATATATATAATCATTAATAGTACACCTAAAACCATTCATAGTTTTTGCTTTGTTATCATTAGTTCAATTATCAGTCCACATACAGTATCTAAATATATGAACTCATCGTCTTTGTCCCTGTTTAGTTCCGTTCACTGAGCTGGTTTCTGGGCTGTCTGTGTTTGGCTGCTTTCCCCCTGATGCCAGTTGTGGGTAGAGAGCCTATCATACATCTGGTGTGAGTGCTTCCTCTATTTGCTTACATTTATCAGAAAGTTTACCACACTGCTGCACTGTGGGAAAAGTCATAAGTCAAACAGTTATGCGGAAATATTTTCTCTCTATACTAAGGAAATCGTGGTGAAATTTGTTTGGTAGAAATCATTTAGGGATGGGCAATACTGTTGGAATCAATATCACAATATGAATACAAGTATTTTTTTACTATATCAACATATGTATCAAAATGTGGCCAATCACATGTACATAACATCAAGAATGAACCGTGTTCATAGTTTTTTCAACACATTAGAAAAAAAGATCATGCGTGCAAATCAAAAACTTCAATAACCTATTTTGTCAGCTTTTGAACCATCTTATATTCATGTTTGTTTTCTTAGTACCTGCGCAGGTATACTCACTCTCTTCACTTCAGCCTGTTACCTCTGGTCATCACGACACAGAGCGCCACTGCGTCTCAGTGACAGACAGCAGTTTGTCACCCAGGTAACTGCAGTACATGTCATGTTGTGTGTTTTTGTTTGTGTCACTGAGATCTCTAAAAATAGATTCTGACCTGTCCAACTGAACAGATGATCCATGTGGCCGTGTGTGCATACGTGCCATACCTCACACACTCCAGCCTACAGCAGAAACAGGGACTGCCACTTCTTAATCAGATCATCAGCTGGACCACATTAGGTAGGTGGGAGTGCGTGAGCAATCACTACAATATGTCATTTATTTCACATTTTGAAATATTGGTTAGGTATGTAAGATATAAATAAAATTATTTCAGTCCTGTTTATATCCCATCACATGACCTTACTGAGTAAAAAGTTAAATGTCACATCCTGTACTATATGCCCTTCTAGCTCTACGACCCAGCACACTTCTACTTTCTCTTCTCTTTTCTCAGCATCTTCTATGATAGTTCCATTGTTGAGCTCTACACGTCTTTTCCACCGACTTCTCAGCATTTTCCTCTCTCTCACAGCCACATATCTGCTGCTCAGCACTGGGTAAGATAAGATATACACGCACACATCATACAGCTGCACTAAAAAAAAAAACAAACAGTAAAATGCCTTGTATAGAGTTCCATCACCAAATTTCTTATGTGTGTCTTTTGTCCCCACCCAGGTCAGAGGCCTTGTTCCCCCCTGTGTTATCTTGGTTGATGTTTGTGTGGATCAACATAGAACAGGAAGCTATGCTCGCTCAGGGTGTCTCTGGCAGACAAGAGGTAATTCCATTAAGTGTTATGTTTGTAGAGCAGCATAAACTACATGACAAAATGAGATGCAAATTTCAATACAAAATGTGTCTATTTATTGTACTGTAGGTTTGTATCAAATTTAGATCACATCTACTTCTATTTTGTACATGAACTGGCTTCTCTAAGCAAGAACAGTCTATTTGATTTTATATAAATATATATTACGGAGCCTCTACTTGTTGGGTGTTAAAATGTATCTACTGTTCACTCCTTTATTGACATTGTTTTTACCAAACCACCAAGTAAATCCCTACTCATGATAACATACTGTAATCTGTGGAGTAGGTTTACATAAAGCAGCCCTACATAATGTACATACAGTCTCAGTACTCATTATCGTGTGTTTGGGTGTGTCTGGGCATGTCTTTGAAATGGTGAATGCACATGTGTGTGGGCATGCTTTTGTGTGTGTTTTTTCTTCCAGCTGTCCACTATTGATTTCTCCGCTAACATCGACATCACCAAGATCCGACAGCTGAAGCTGGATGATATCAGAAGGTCTTACTTTTTTGTATCCGCATGAGAGTATTTGCAATTGTGGCATTGGCTGAAACACACAGAGAAAAAAAAACAGAACCTAAAACCTGGCACCAGTTTATTTGGAAGTAGTGCTTATGTCTCAGTGGAGTCAACAGGGGTTGTTCAGGCCAAATTATATCTAGTTAAATTATGATTTTACAAGTTTAAGATAAAAATGTTTGAAGTGTACAATTACACATAATGAACATTTCTTCAAGTCTTTCCTTGACTATATATTTTCTTCAGGTGTTTTTTATAATAACCGCTTTCTTCGGCACAGGGAACATAGCTTCCATTAACAGGTATGTATATCTTTGTATTTATTTATGTATATACTTCCTATACTTGTACAGTGGGTACGGAAAGTATTCAGACCCCTTTAAATTTTTCACTCTTTGTTTCATTGCGGCCATTTGCTAAAATCAAAAAAGTTCATTTTATTTCTCATTAATGAACACTCAGCACCCCATCTTGACAGAAAAAAACAGAAATGTAGAAATTTTTGCAAATTTATTAAAAAAGAAAAACTGAAATATCACATGGTCATAAGTATTCAGACCCTTTGCTCAGTATTGAGTAGAAGCACCCTTTTGAGCTACTACAGCCATGAGTCTTCTTGGGAATGATGCAACAAGTTTTTCACACCTGGATTTGGGGATCCTCTGCCATTCTTCCTTGCAGATCCTTTCCAGTTCTGGTAGGTTGGATGGTGAACGTTGGTGGACAGCCATTTTCAGATCTCTCCAGAGATGCTCAATTGGGTTTAGGTCAGGGCTCTGGCTGGGCCAGTCAAGAATGGTCACAGAGTTTTCCGAAGCCACTCCTTTGTTATTTTAGCTGTGTGCTTAGGGTTATTGTCTTGTTGGAAGGTGAACCTTCGGCCCAGTCTGAGGTCCTGAGCACTCTGGAAGAGGTTTTCTTCCAGGATATCTCTGTACTTGGCCGCATTCATCTTTCCTTCAATTGCAACCAGTCATCCTGTCCCTGCAGCTGAAAAACATCCCCATAGCCTGATGCTGCCACCACCATGTTTCACTGTTGGGATTGTATTGGGCAGGTGATGAGCAGTGCCTGGTTTTCTCCACACATACCGCTTAGAATTAATCTTGGTCTCATCAGACCAGATAATCTTATTTCTCATAGTCTGGGAGTCCTTCATGTGTTTTTTGGCAAACTCTATGCAGGCTTTCATGATTTATGTCTTGCACTGAGGAGAGGCTTCCGTCGGGCCACTCTGTCATAAAGCCCCGACTGGTGCAGGGCTGCAGTGATAGTTGACTCTGTGGAACTTTCTCCCATCTCCCTACTGCATCTCTGGAGCTCAGCCACAGTGATCTTTGGGTTTTTCTTTACCTCTCTCACCAAGGCTCTTCTCCCACGATTGCTCAGTTTGGCTGGACGGCCAGGTCTCCTTGGGCAGTTCCTTCGACCTCATGATTCTCATTTGCTCTGACATGCACTGTGAGCTGTAAGGTCTTATATAGACAGGTGTGTGCCTTTCCTAATCAAGTCCAATCAGTTTAATTAAACACAGCTAGACTCCAATGAAGGAGCAGGACCATCTCAAGGAGGATCAGAAGAAATGGACAGCATGTGAGTTAAATATGAGTGTCACAGCAAAGGGTCTGAATACTTATGACCATGTGATATTTCAGTTTTTCTTTTTTAATAAATTTGCAAAAAATTCTACATTTCTGTTTTTTTCTGTCAAGATGGGGTGCTGAGTGTACATTAATGCGAAATAAAATGAACTTTTTTGATTTTAGCAAATGGCTGCAATGAAACAAAGAGTGAAAATTTTAAAGGGGTCTGAATACTTTCCGTACCCACTGTATGTGTGTGTGTAAATGGCAGAAAGCTATGTTTGTGGGGGTTGGGGTTTGTGGCCGCGCCTGGTTCAGCCTGAGTGATGTCAATGTCCGTTATGAATGTCATTAATAATGTGTGCTTTTTTTAGATATATTAGCACTGTATCATTTGAATACAGGCAGGAAATCAGAGTAAAAACGCTAGTAAAGACAGACAAGTGAGAAATACTGTGCATTATTTGCTTTGTTTAGTTTCTTATGTAGTGTATGCCTTTGGACTTCATGTGAGGTTGTTTACATTGCACTTCATGCACTCTGCTCCGAATGATTAAAGAGTCTGTTAATTTTCTGGTCATCTGTAGTCACTTCCTCCACCTGGTTTCCCTTTTCTCTAGTTTTGACCCAGCATCTGTTTATTGCTTCCTCACTGTCTTCAACCCCTTCATCATGGGTGGACTGATGATGTGGAAGGTACCATATTTTAAACACTTATACAACTTATGGTATTCACTGTGTATCTGTGTATTTCCCTTGCCGAGCTTTCTTTCAGCTCATAATTAAGTTCCAAAAAAAAGGGCAAGTCTTGTCGTATCTTAACTTCCTGCAGCAGTGACCTTTCAACCTGTTGGCCTTTTTAATGACCTGTTTAGTATAAATTCAATGCATGTATCACTACACAATCGTTATTTGTAATGGACAGAAAAAATGTTAGCAGTATCATTCACAATTAATTATAATTCTCCTTTGTTCTCCTAGGTTATCATTCCGTTCATAATTGTAATGTGTACATTTGAGACCATCCAAGTTGCAACGCAGCTCTCATCAAGAAGGTAACACCTCGTTGCACTGTTTATAATAACATGCTAGAGCAAAGGCACTATAGGATCAGTTCAGTTTCCAGCCTTTATCATTCACCTCATCTTCTCTGTTTACGGTGGGGCTGATGTACGGTACGTCAGTACATGTAAGCCACGCCGGCGTCTGCTCGTGTTGCCACCTCTGTGATTGCTTCACAGACACCTGCCAACAGAAGAATGCATTTCATCTTCACACTATACAGTTTTAAATTTGATACAGCCTTTTGCTTTTTAGACTTTAGACTGTGATGCATTGCATTCCAAGAGCCTGACACATGAATTAAATATGTGTTGTGGATGTTTTAATATGCTTCTAACACCTTTCTCCCTCACTTCTTTTGTCTGCTATTCTTCTTTTCCAGTTTGTTCCTCATTGTCCTGGTCATCTCCGACTTGATGGCTCTGGTAAGGCATTTGGTTCTGGTTGAATGTTGGGTTCTCTGTTACATAGACTGGATGTGAACCTCATACAATATTTTAACTCACTCTTCCTCTCTTCAGCACTTTTTCTTCCTGGTGCAGGACTATGGCAGCTGGCTGGACATAGGCACAAGGTAAGTTAACTGGGAAATACATGGTTTCTAAGTATTTCATTAGTTAATTACTAATTAGTAAGTTGAGTCTTATTTATACACACACTGCCCCTCTTTCCTTTTTAAAAGTATCTGTGATGCACACACTTACACGTAACCATGTTGAACTTTTTCTTTGTGTCTTTCAGCATTAGCCATTATGTGATAGTGATGTCAATGACCATCTTCCTAATGTTGCTCAGTGTGGTCACACATATCTTCACCACACAAAGACTCATCCTGTGGAGGAGACCCAAGATGCACTTCCCCTAAAGAGACATGTGTTTGTGTGTCCATGTGCACACACAGGTTTAACCAAATATTTAGTATTTATTTGACTTTTAGATACTTTTCATATAGTGTTTGCCTTAATAAACAAGAGTTTATTTACATAAGATATGGGATTTTTTTTAGGACTCAACTAATTATGTAGTGCTGTGCAAAACTCTCTCTCACACCAATTGGATACATTTTTTTTGGAGTGTTGGAAATCCCCTCTTATATGTCCTTATAAGCCAGAACTGCTTGAAGAATGTACCACATGACTACCTGTGAAAATGACAGTTAACTACAGAGAATTTCATCAGGTCTACATACTCAGTAGACAAGTTCTTCTTAGTACTTGCTGTCCTCCTTCTTCTTAATGTTAAGTGTCACAGTGTGATTTTAAGTGATAAACACTGACAACTGCTAAATGGTTTAAATAGGATATTTTCAGAGTGGTAAAGACTTTTGCACAGTACTGTTTGCACTGCATTTTTTTGTACACCCTGTCTCTGTTTCAGTGGCATTGTTTTTGCATGAATCATTGATGAACTGACAAAGGCTACTTGAATATTTGACCATGAATTATGTCTGTGCCAAGGGTGCTGATTTATGAGCCACCAAAGAATGATAACTTGATGACTCTTTAAGTATATTTCCTGTAAAGCTGCCTAAAATGTATACTTGTATACGTATAAGGAAAAGGGATGTTATTTGAATTTATTGTGACTATGTACTAATAAAACAAAAGGAGTGGGATGGAAACAGGGACTTGTGTGTTGTACCACTGCAACCATTAACAAAATGAAACCAGATGCCAGCGTAGTTGTGCTTTGTGTTTGAACAGCAAGTTAACCATAGCCATGACCTCAAAGTAGAAAAAGCTCTTTGCCCCCAGTAGAGTTTGAGTACCCAATGGCCAGCATTTGGCTTGTGGTTGCATTTGGAATCTAAAAATGTAGCGATGTGCTGCTATGGTTATTATATTTTCTCTGATGAAACAGAACAAAATTAAAAAAAAAAAAACTTATGATGTGTGACATTTTTTGTCTCTGCAGATCAACCCATAGAACATTTCTATGCGTAATAAAAGTAGGCTAAACTTATATGTATTCTCAAACTCAATACACCTGTGTCACCTTGCTTTGTGGGGGTGATTACACTTCCCTGTGTTGGGAAATGCAGTGAGCTGTAGTGTGTGTGTGTGTGTGTGAATAAATAATCAGTCCATAATTATTCAGCTCCATTGCAGACTTCAGGCGCCTGCAATGTCACCCCCGCTGATAGCCGGAGTTGCAGTGTTAGACCTTGCTGAGATGCTCATGTCAACATCACAGCTAGCATTACCACATCCTCTCTCACTTCTCTTTTGAATTAGCCAATACTTTGTCAAGATGGTCTTAAGTATAGAACTAACTATGGGCTGCCTACTTTTGTGGATCAGTATCTTGATGCAAGGTTTTAAGAGTAGAATTTAAGTAAGGTTGGCATCTGAAGTGTGTCTAGCAACTCAACATGAAACAGCAAAAATGAAATCTTCAGAATATTATTTATTTCTGTTTAACATAAATATAGTTTTTTTGTGGAAACTAAGTCAATATGTATTTGTCTCATTATTGTACTGTTGTGCAAAGGGCAAAGTAAGATTTCCATTGTATGGCATAAACCACTGTGTTTCTTCTGTGCATATGACATTAAACCTCTTGCATCTTGAATCTTGAAATGATAATTACTGTTTGTTAAACTGATTAAGATGTATGCTTGCAGGGAATACACACCAACTGAGGTTAGCTGAATGAGATCAAAACAACTCACATGACAAGAGATGGAAAAAATAGTTAAATTAACCTGGTTAAGATAAAAAAGTGAAACTTCTTAGTTGGATTTCAAACTAGAATGCAGAAGAAGTTGCAGTGCATCTGCATTCAATGTGAGTTGATGCTGTGATGATAATGTTCAACCTAAATATGACACTTATTCTGCTTGAACAGTAGCCCTATACCAAGAATCTGTTTCTGGAACACAGGCAGATTTGCTTCAAGATGCTGTTTAGTCCTCTGTTAATATAATAAACAAAAGCCTAAAGGTGTACTACAGGATTCATTCTGTATATGTGCACTCAAGCAAACTTCTCTTTAACTCCACTTTCCTCTCTTCCCCTAATCAACGGCTCAGTAAGACATCTACGGTATGTCCCGTACCTCAAATTCAAAATAAAAGGTTTGACGGAGAAGGAGGAAGCAACCAGCTCTGTGGTTGTGCTACCATGTGTGTGTAATAACCTCCTGTTTCTGACAGAGCACAAACAAACACACACACACACACACACACACACTAGCGACTTAAACAGTATGCAAAACTGGACGTGGTTTCTGACAAGACAACACACCCTGAAACAGTTCACTTACATAACCTTAACTCCGATATAAGGTTGGCACGCATTACACTTGAACACATATACAGCATATACGCACATGCGACCGGGCGCACACACACGCACACACACACACACACGCACATTGTTTTCTCAGACAGAGCTTTTCCTACGCGCGAACAGTTTTTTGCTGGATATAATGTAATGAGGATATACGCATCCTTTAATATCACATTGTCACCCACAAGAGCACTCGGCAGCCAGTTCCTCTCAGAACCAAAAGGTACGTAAATCTACTGGTAAACTCTGGTGTTGACTTGCTCATTTATAATGTAGTTTCAATTGCAGCTGTTGTTCTCTTGGTAACAATTAAGCTTAAACTGTGAGCAATAGCTTTACTTTCTAAACTTCATATTTAAATGTTGTAATGTTTCATTGTAGTTTTTTTTAGTTCTGTTTCCTGTTAAACCGATTATATGTAAATTTGTAACCACTTGGAGATATGCAAGACGTGTGCATGTCAGACTAAATGTTTAAACTGTAGTTAGTGTCTAGATCTGTAGACAAATATGAGAGACATAATGTCAGTAAATCAGTAAAAGTATGTAAATATAATGTGGGGTTGGGTCTTTTCCTTATTTCTGTTTCTGTTTTTAAAAAGTGATGTCAGTTTTAAATATATCACAAATTGAAAAAAAAGGGGCTTTACAGTCTGTACAACCTATGACAGCCTCTATGACCCCCCACCAAACAAAACCTCCCCCAAAACCGTTTAATAATGAAAGAAATTGAAAGAATAATACGCCCTTTTCTGATCTATCCCTCCATCACTATTTCTAATTCTTCAACTAACTCAGTCCATTTCTCCCCTGTTCTCTCTCTTGTATCTGATGTGCATTCCTTCCTCTCTGTCTTCTTTATTTAAGATGTCGGACATCAGCTCCTCCTCAACAAATACTGATACCGATAAGTACAACACAGTCCTCCTTTCCATCTACTCTGTGGTTCTGTTCAGCGGGACCATGAGCCTCAGCCTGATGATGCGCATCATGAAGTCCAGCTCAACATCCATCACTTCCATCGCTGTACTCAACCTCATCTTCACCCACTTCGTCTTCCTTCTCACCGTGCCCTTCAGGATCTACTATTATGCGACAAGTAACTGGAACCTGGGCTTCGGGTGGTGTAAAGTGGTCAGCAGCATGATCCACATCCACATGTACATGTCTTTTATCTTCTATGTAATCATCCTCATCACGCGCCTGATGATGTTCTACCACAAACCTGAGCAGGAGGCCTCCTTCCAGAGGATTCATGCATTCATTATCAGTGCTGTGGTGTGGATAGTTGTGCTTGTTGTGTTCCCTTGCATTATCTATTATTCCTACGGCAATACAATTAATAGCTTGGGCGAAAATAATAGCACAAACAATAGCATGACTAAATGCTTCCAGTTTGGCAAAAACATACAAGACAAGTCCATTGCTATAGTGTTTAACTACATCATAAGCACAGTGATCATAGTGGTGGCCATCGTGCTGACAGCCCTCCAAGCCAATGTCCTGAGGGTTTTATACAGGAAGCATCACCAGGGATGCACCTCTCAGCAAGACTTCGGGGCTCAGCTGAAGAGTCTGTGCTTTGCCCTCATCATGGTGATCTGCTTCATTCCCTACCACTTGTTCCGGCTGCATTACTTAGACCACATAGAAGACCTGCAGAGTACCAATGAGGTGTTCCTGAGTTTGACCACTTTTAACTGTTTGGACATGCTCACGTTCTTGGGGAGGAGAACTTGTTACATGTGCTTCCCCAGAAAGCCTATTTGAAAACTGTTAATATGATGAGTGTGAGGGGGTCAAGAGACTTAATTTGCTTCATTTTGTAACTTCATTTTACTGTTATTCATTGCCTTGTCAAAGTTTTTAATAAGAAAATTGCTTATGTGCATCTCCATAAAAATGGACAAAAGAACGTAACAAATATTCAAAATTAGCAATTATTAAAATCAATTTGACATAAAAACACCCCAAAAAAGGATTGTTGAAACATTATATATCGCAGGAGCTACAATACAATTTAAAAAGAAAGAGTGTGATGGGTCAGCCATATTTTTCTGTTCCTTGTGTTTTAAGCATGTAAAGAGGGTTAAGAATGAAGGCATCAGTTATCTATCAAAGATGCTATAAGAACAATCATGTCCTACTGTCTCCTCTCATGCACAGTATAGTTGCATTACCATCAACTGTGTAGATGTGAATGTTTGCTTCTACAGTCACACAGAATGTTTTTGACTTGGACAAAAAAATTAAGCATCCAATGTTTTTTGATGGTGGCTGTAGTGGTGGTGTTGGGCGGATGTACTATGCTTTGCTTAGTTATTTGTACCTCTGTTGCGTCATCTCCATTTTTTTTTATGTGAACGTGTTACTTTTAAGAACTGAACCTTGGATGTTAGAGTTATGTGGTATGTGTCTTAAGGAGCAGGCTACTGATGCACCCCTTAAATTGTGTTGCTACTGACAGAATCTGACAGGAGTGGAAAGTCCTTTGCTTTTGACTGAAAATGAATGAACTCTTGCCACCTGCTGGTCTTTCTATATACTACAGGCTTCAAGCTTAAAATTTGTAAAGCTAGATTATGCCATTGATTGTTAGGTTCTCTCATTTTTCATTCCCGATGTGACTTCATGTGAACGACATGTGAGTGTAAATAAACATATTTCACTATATTTGCTAACACTTAAACCCTGTGTACATAGCTGTAGTGTTCACCTCCACGGCTGAGAAGAGAAATAAATGTCTAAAATCGTTACTTTTTCACCATTATTTTGTGAAACATTACCTCAAACCTCCTGGATCTCTTACCTTCTGCCCTCAGAGGTGGTGTTAGAGGCCCTGCCTGACATACACACTTGCACACAAACACACACACCTGGTGATCCTTTTCCTTTTGGTTTTTATGGCGCTGGGTTACTGTTTAACATCCCCACCCTACTTTTAGTTTGTTTAGTAAATCGATCTAATGACAGGGCTATGGTGGCGCCATCCAATGTGTCGCTCCATGAATTATAGGCTGCTCAGCTCTCCAACCTTCCCTTTTAATGTTGTCGAACACCTTTAGCATTTTCCCATTCTTAGTGTCACTTAGACTAATGTTTCACTGAGCTGGCTGCTCACTACCGGAGTACAACAGTGCACCTGGATAAATGCACATCCTAGACGGAAACAGAAACACAGGTAAGTCCAACTCTTGTAAAGTATATTGTCCCTGAAATGCAAACTATCCACATTGCCTGTGAGAATTATAATGTATGCTTTTGTGGAGGTAGTAATGCTTACCTTTAGCAGTTTCTCAAGGAAGTGTGATAACATGTTCTGCTAAATCACGTGATTTTGTATTTTTGTGGTAATATGGCGCCAATCCTCATTTACACACACTTCAATTGCTGCTGTATGTCCTGTTACCAGAGCTGCTGTACTTTTGAATTGTAGAATATGCATATGCAGTATGTGGCTGTCCAAGCCTGCTAGAATATCTGTTTCATTTTGTCCAGTATATTTAATGACAGTGTTCTCACTTCTCTATCTGCAGACAGCGTTTTGTGAAAACAGATAAGATAGACTCACTTTGTCACGAATGCTGTGCAGTAAAGATCATGTGATAACCTGTTTCATCTGTACAAGTACGTAATCTGTAGCAAGAGCATATTGCAAAGCCGGAAGATGGTAATACAGTCACATTGTGCTTTTCTCCTCTTAAAGTGATTGTATTTAGCTGCAGTTGGAAACTGACATCCCCCAGGTATCTAATTATTTGACAAAAACTCAAGCCAAACCACAGGGTGGATACAATGATAAGTAAACCTACTTCTGTAGAGGTTGCAATGGAGAAGAGTTGTCAGATTAGTTGTTGATTTTTGAGGCTGCTGTGTGTGTTGTTGTATTGGACTGCCCTAAATTCTGCAGGTGTTTGGGTTCAGCCTGTATAAACTGAATATTATTGACCAAACCAGCCTTCAGACTTTTCACTTGGTGGTGATATTAACAGGAAGAACAGAAGAGTGTGACACTCATTTAACACCCTCAGGGACCTTAGGTTCACAAGAAAGATGTTGTGACATTTTGTGAAATGAACAAACATGTCACTGAAGTGTTGTTGACTAGTTACATTATCACAAATCCAGTTTCAAAGCATAACATGGCATGAATAAAAAGCAAATATTCAGTTTTCTTTCTTCCTTCAGAAGAGTTTTAAGAGTGAATAATATATAACTGAACTTTTTTTGTCTTTTTTGTTTTATTATTTCCCAGGTATCAGGAAGTAGTGGTTTACTAGAGTCAGTTGGCTGGCTGATCATCGTCTGCGACTATTAAAACCTCTAAGCTAAACAGAGGCGACAGTATTATGGCCAGTTCACACAGAGATGGCCTCTTTGCACTGGGTTTTATGGCGTCAAAGAGCTTTTGGTTGCTGGGTGGATGCAAGGTTTCTGAGTTACGTCCTGCTTGGTTTTCAGCTGAAGAAGTCATACTGGCTTTTATTACATTAAGTATTTCAATGAATGTGTAATTCATATGTTTTTATCTAGTATTTTATTTTCAGTTTGCACCAAAGCATAGCTGAATAATGTTTCAACGATTAAGGCATCATTACACTAATAAATACTTGAATTCCTAGGCTTGTTGTCCTTGCACTTAACAGTCAAGGGTGAGGGTAAAGAGAGCCTTGAATAAAATAATTTCCAATCTTCAATGAATACTGGATTTTATCTGTGTGTAAAGCGCGACGAGTCTTGTTTTCTGTGTGTATGCTTAAGCTATTTCTACAACACGAAAGCCTCTTGGATAACTACCCACTTATTTGCAGTATATTTGCAGAATGTAAGAATAGGAGGAGTAAAGTGTACACTCATTCAGTCAGTCCTTTTGTGTGTTTGGTGATTGTGAATGTGATTGTAAAGAGTAAATTCTTCCTCACTCCCCACAAACCTGATGAGTCAGGAGGCCTGACCTCACCCCCTGGTTAAAATGTAATCTCTGTCTCTCTGTCTCTCTCTCTCTCTCTCTCTCTCTCTCTCGCTCTCTCCCAGAGACAGGGGTCTCTGTCTCTCAACCCCTGCATTTCAGCCATTAATTAATATGTCTGTTATTACCCTGTGACCGGATACTAATTGCTCCTTCTCTTCATGCCCAATAAACAATCTGTGATAATGTGCATTCTGATGTACTGTGCCTATACTGACAATATATTACACCTTTAGTGGCTCATATGTACTGTAGGTGCTTTTCTGACCTCTCATAGGGCATCAAATCTCCTATAATGCAGCCTCTTATCATTTACAGCCTTGCCTAACACAATGCCCCACACTGATTACCTTTAAGCTACACAAAGATTTAGTGCAATGAAATCCTCAATGAGAAATGGGTGGGTTGGGACATTATAACTGGTTTATGGTAGTTAATCAGAGTGTGTTTACCACATTCCTGCCCTGAAAGAGGAGACAACTTGCTGACAACTGTCTAACTTGTATTTTTTATTTTTACTTTTGATGTCCCCTGCCTCTCCTGACATGCATTACTCAGGAAATTTGCATTGTGTTTTTCTCCTCTGATGCACTACAATAAGAGAGCTAAGTGTGCTAAGTGTGAGAACTGTAAAAACGTGTTAATGCTGCTACTCAGGCAGTTTCCTGTCTCCCCCTACTTATACACAGCAGACCGGCTCATCAGGGTGTGTCAAGTGTATCACCATGTCTAAAAATCTCGGTTTTACAATCAAACTCACAACAAATGATTTCCGAATCACGCCCTGGGCAGTTTAAATATTCCATTAATAAACCGAAAATACAAGTAAAAACAGTGAAGTTTCAACGGCAGTGGGGTCAGTGAGGTTAATGTAATTTGAGATATTTACAGGACTGTATATTGTCAGTTAATTTATAAATGCGTAGAATACGTTTTATCAACAGAGGGTTGGATGTAAACTTAAGGAGTGTGTATGTAGAAGAGTTAATAGAAGTTATCTGTATTTTCCACTTCACTTTGTGTCTTTATAGATTATATCTGCTGAGGTGGTTGTGCTTTTACTCCACTATTGATTAGATAAGGAAGCCTGGGAAGGACATACATACACACACACCCACACACACATTCATAAATGTATGTGCCTGTAAGAAAAAAACAAACCTTGTTGTGCATGCAGATATACACACAGAAGCTCACCAGCATGCACATAAAGCGAATGTTGTCCTCGAAAATCTGAGGAAATCTGTCTCTTGGTTAAAAAGAAGAGGTAGGGGAAAAAGAGGCAGAGGGGGAGAAGGGAAATATCTCCTTCACCACTATCTATCCATCCCTGTGATAAGTGCGAAGGAGAAGGACAGATAAGTAATGTGCAATAAGGTGAGAAGTTTCACCACAGCTCCTCCCCTCTCCTTGTTCCTGGCCCAATCAGATGAGATTATAAATCATTTATGCCAGGGATCTCCCTTGTCATGTCTGTAAGAATTAGATGAAGTAGAGACCAGCAGATAGGGAAAAACAGAAAGAGTAAACTGGGAGGAAAAGAGAAGAACGTGTGAGGAGGGCCGAGTTGAAACAGGAATGAAGTGTCCTCCTGCTCCTCAGAGTAAGTCTCTGTTAGACATGGAAGTAGCCAACTATTGTGAAGGCCTGGATCCCTCATACAGCACATTGGGCTTTGAGAATGCAGAGGTACTCTATGGAGGAGGAGGTAAGTGCGTGTGGATGTAGCCACTTACACACACATGCAAACACACAGAGAGAGAAACCCATGTATAAACAAATAAGGGATGCACATACAAATATTAATTGAAGCACAAAACATGGGTTTTTCAGTATGCAAGACAAGATAAAACAGATACATATACACACTCCATCTCTCTACAAGCACTGATAAATACATGGACTGATAAGCAGCCTAATCACACCTTTAAAAAAAACATGCACAATGGCTTAATATGAACAGAGAAATGAGAGCAGCCTTGTACTGTGTATCTGATAAATCTGTAGCCTTGTGAGTAACATGATCTGCATCTGTTAATATTGGTTTGCAATAGGTCATCTACCACAGCACTTGGTGAGGGGTGTGTTAGTCTGTAAGGCTAGAAATATACTGATGAAGTGAAGTGAGACTAGCTGTAGGCAAATGAGTTGCTATTTGAAGAAGAGGAAATTGGGTTACTTTATACATAGCATGCACTGTATGCGTAAATGAAGTGGTGGGGAAACTCATGACATTTTAATGTTGGCCAATGGTGCATGTATCCACTTGTCTATAAACACTGATTGTGGGGAAATGAGTGCTACTTGCCTGTTGCTTGCATATCGATATGTACGTGGAGATCTGTGGATGTGAAGGAAAGAAAAAGGGTGGGTCGGGGTTGTAAAAACATGAAATCAGAATGTTAATAAAAGTGTTTAGGCAAGAATTGCAGGTATGTGTCGTAAAGACCTTTTTTTATTGAAGAGCAAGCACGCAGCTCAGTGATACACTGACGTCACCTCAGCATGTGGAAAGAGAGTTAGTCGAACATTGACTCATCTTGCCTTGGAGATGCCTGGTGTGGGACTGAAAGAGAGGGGGCTTTGACTGGACAATAAATATGCATATGATGATGATGATGATGATTGTGGTTTTGATCAACAATGCTGCTGCTGCTGCTGCTGCTGCTGATTATGATATAATGTTGATGACAAAGAGGAGATAAAAATAAAGATTTCAGCAGTAATGTTTAAATAACTAGTGGTTGAAGTGCCATCTATTCTTTTGCCTTATTTATGTTTTGACTTTGCCACACTATTTTGTGTGGTTTAATGTGTCTGGATTGCATTTGTGTCTATGCCAATGTAAGTAATACACAGATGCATAAGCTTGTATCTGTGCACTCATGTGCATATGCATGCATATTTACCTGTGTGAGTGCTGTTGTGTGTTTCAGACAACATGCCAACCGAGTCGAGCCTGCCCGGTCCAGACGGGGTCAGCAGTAACTGTGCCATCTGTGGAGACAAAGCCACAGGGAAACACTATGGAGCCTCCAGCTGTGACGGCTGTAAAGGCTTCTTCAGACGCTCCATACGCAAGAGCCATGTCTACACCTGCAGGTACAGATAGAACATACTGTGTGAGCACACATAAAAGCACAGCACCCTTACAATTATTCCACACTCACATTATGTATAACACAACCAGTATAAACATGCATGAGTGTGCACATTTTATGATCATGTGCAGATATCTAAATAGAGCTCTTAAAGTTTTGATCGTGTGTTGGCAATTCACATTAACTTATGTTTTGTTGCAGTACACTGTGTCGTCACATCACGCTCTGTAAAGCTTATATCATTGTATGTTTGTATGCAGGTTCAGCAGACAGTGCATTGTGGATAAAGATAAGAGGAACCAGTGTCGTTTCTGCAGACTTAACAAATGCTTCAGGGCTGGCATGAAAAAAGAAGGTAATGAAACCTCCCTTCTACCCCCTGGACATGAGAGAAAACAGAGAGCACTAAATAGTTAATGTTTTCTTCCATTTTGAAACTCAACTAAAAGAGAGTCTTTTGGTGGATTTTGTACAGACAACCTGATTTTCACTGCATATCATCAGTAGTGTATGTACACATGTTTTATGTTTCATTGTTCCCACAGAGACAAGGTATAGACTTAAAACTAGTAGCACTGAAGGAAAGGAAAGACTGTCCTCAGAGAATCTGAAAGCTGCTTCAAGATGGTTGAAATTGGCTCAGCCATAAAATAAGTGATTACTTAGTGTGTGTGTGTGTGTGTGAGTGTGTGTGTGTGTGTGTGTGTGTGTGTGTGTGTGTGTGTGTGTGTGTGTGTGTGTGTGTTGTATTTATGAGGGGTATAACCTTGGCACAAAGTTTTATGACACCTAATCATGTGTTATTCAAACATGTTGTCCTGGATTGCAACTGGTTAACGTTTGACTCCTCTTGCTGATGCCAGCCTGTATGGCTATTTTCCTAAATATTAACTGCCCTAGTGTCTGCTGTCATTGTTTGCATTCAGGGTTTCTTTTCTACCCCAACCCTCAACACTTGTGACAACCAACACATTCTTGAAAACTATAAACCAGGAAAGAATAGACATATTCCCATTTGAAAGTTATTGGAGTTTTAGTAAATTAAAGGAAGTGCTATATCTTCCCTGTTCTTTATTGCTCTTTCCATTTTGCACACACACAGTAACTTGACCTGTCTGTTATACTTTAGCGGTACAGAACGAGAGAGATCGGATCAGCTCCCGAAGAAATATCCCTGACTCCCAAGACTTGCCACCTATCACTATTTTGGCTCAAGCAGAATCATTGTCCCAACAGGTGACAATTTTCCATGTGAATTTCCTATTTCCTACTGATGTATGGTTGTATGTACCTGATATGAGCTGATAACAAAGGCACAAGATTTTAACCCAGTAAACTCTTATTTTCGGTTTCCCTCCAGATCACTGTTCCACTTGGAATAGCAGACATATCAGAGCAGAAGTCAGCTACTACTGGGGATGTCTGTGATTCTATGAGACAACAGTTATTGGTGTTGGTGGAATGGGCCAAATATATTCCTGCCTTTGGAGAACTGCCACTGGATGACCAGGTAACAGGGCTGTGATGCTTGATGGGTAATCTGTAATTATTCTAAGGCTGTCATTCTGATGCAAATTCGTATATCATGTTTGATAGAAGATTTTAAAATGCTGTCTTTATTGGTTGTGTTTAGCTTGTGTGAGTGTGCTGCTGCTCTAAAAAGGCCTTATTCTGTCAAAGCACTTTCACTTTGGATAGAATAAAGATCCTCTTTAATCAGCAAAATGCACTTGCAGGTGAGAGAAGATTTGGAGCAGTGATTAAAGTGTTACTACAGTGTGGCTCTTGTGTGATGTATGTAAGGGCAAAAGGTGATGCATTGTTGCATTGTTTGTGTTCTTTGTTTAACTCTGTCTCTCACTGTGTGTGTGTGTTTGTCTCCAGGTGAGCTTGCTCAGGGCTCATGCAGGTGAACACCTCTTGCTCGGGGTTGCCAAAAGGTCAATGTCATTCAAGGACTTCCTGCTTTTAGGTACAAACTGACCACTAGAACGGCATCTTATTCATATGTGGTGTAATAATGTGGTTCAGCACTGAAGTGTGAAGACTGATCAAATGTTGTGTTAGCTGAGAATGATTAACTAAAGCTTTCTGTTTCTTTGTGACTTCAAAAGTGTCCCTTGTAAACAGCATTACTCATTAGTAGGGATTGTATCAACATCATACTGTATGCAGATCTGTCAACTGCATACACCAAAGCACACACACACATATTTTGCATTTCTATACTTCAGGGCATTCCACACACACCTACGCCATAACCTTGAAGGTAAACCTTAAATAGGCCTGACAAAACTCTACAATCCAACTTATCTTTCTCTCAAGGTTAAAAGTATAAAGTATTCCCTCTACCCTTCACCAGCACTCCATCCCATACATACACAGCCACTCCCTGTCAATTTGTCTCAACGAAACCACTGACCAAAACTCTCTCTGTCTGCAGGTAATGGCTGTGTGATCCACAGGAACAGTCCTGAACCTGAGATCTGTCGGGTAGCTAACCGAGTGCTGGACGAGCTGGTCCAGCCCTTCCAGGATATTCAAATAGACGACAATGAGTATGCAGCACTCAAGGCCATTGTCTTCTTTGATCCAGGTAATAAAAAAGCAATGTTTGGTACTTTTAGCCATCAGAAGTTTTTTCACCAACTATTCTCTCAATATGTAATTGAATGTATTTATATGTATAATGTATTCATAGAGAACCAGATCGATACTGATGAAGGTTACAGAAACTACCTGAGCAAGATGAGAATAAGATTGTGGAAATTGTCATTAGTAATAACCTTGGCACCGTCAATCATGTGTTACAATGTGCTGACTGGGGTTGCTATTGTGTAATCGAGGATCATAAAAGCTAAATAAATAAATACATTGTACAAGTAGGTAATGTATTAACAATTCAAGAAAAAAAAGAGAGCATTAAAGCCAGAAAAACAGATTGGAAAAGACTGAAAATACATTTTGCCGTTTCTGTCCAGATCCCTCTTTTCCCAACCAATCCCATCCATCTGGTTACATTTCCCCTCAAAGTTAGGTCCCAATCCCTCCATTGCTTTTTTATGTCTCCTTGGCCTAGTGTGACCACAATCCCTGCCCCCATCTTGTGTTACCTGCCCCCCTTTTCTCTCCCCTTCACTAAATCCCCTCATTTTGCCTTCATGCCCCAGTTTGACCATAATCATTCCATCAATTCCACTCATATCCTCAATTCCATCCCTGATCTTTCTGTTTTTTTTCCTCACCCTCCTGTCCTTCAATCCCTTTCTCCACCCCTCCCCCTTACTCCATCCACCCCTTCCACGCTTTGCTTCCCACTCTGCAGATGCAAAGTCTTTGCGGGACCCATCAAAGATCAAAACCATGCGTCTGCAGGTAGGTCAAGCATTTGACTTTGTAGCTTATAGCAGAGTCTTTTCTCTATTATAGTTTATTTCCAATAAACAGTGTTAAGGACGAGCATCTAAGGCTTGATTTTTTTTTTCAAAACAGCCTTATTAGCACTGTGTATTATACATGACATTTTATTTAGCATTTTCAAACATTTGTACAAAATATCTGTTAACTTACAAGGATAATCGCAGTTTGCTTACACTGATGGAGTCTTGGCCTCGTGTGTGTGCAGGTCCAGATGAGTCTGGAAGACTACATTAATGACCGTCAGTACGACTCCAGGGGTCGTTTTGGAGAGCTGTTACTTCTGCTGCCCACCCTGCAGAGCATCACCTGGCAGATGATCGAACAGCTTCAGTTCATTAAGCTCTGTGGCCTCGCCAAGATAGACAACCTGCTGCAGGAGATGCTGCTGGGAGGTGAGACGGAGCCTGTGTCTGTGCTTGTAAACCTGACGACAGAAAAATAGGGTGACCTTCAGCAAGACCACCAAATGCTCCAGTGGAGCTCCTGTATGAAGCAATGTAAAACAACAAAACATCAGCAAAGTTTTCCTGGAGATGAACAATTGGTAAAAAAGTTAGGGATTTTGCAGAAAGATGCTATAACTCCATATATATATTAGGCAAAGCCAAAATAGACAACTTGCTACATGAGATGCCGCCAAGTGCAAACAAATCTAAATGCGTATAAATAAGGAAGTCCGTAGTTAAAGGTAGAATGCATAAAACATATTCTAAGCAGGGCCATGACAGACAACTCAAGCACAAAATGAGGCATGGAAATAAGTCATCCCCAAAAATGTCTTCCAACTCCTGAATATGACAACCTGACTTAGAAGTACTGTGTACAGAAAGAGCAGTGTGTTTTATTTTTCAGCATCCTGTAGGAATGTGGAACTAACAAAAGAACTGCTTTTCAAATATTGGTGACATGATATTATATTTAGTAATGTGAATGTGCAACTTTTAAGATACAGTATGGGCTACTTAACAGTTTGAAACCAAAAAACAAGCTAACAAAACCGTTGTTGTAACAGTTAAGAAAATTAAATTACACGATGTCTCTCTACATACAAAGAAATTAAGGGTTATTTGCATTTTTGACACATTAGATTGTGAGTCAAGTTATGAAGGCTTGACTCAATTACTATAAAACATGCTCACATATAAATACACTTTTGAAGGCACGGACTGAAAAACAAATCTGCATACATTTGTAAAACTCGACTCACTCAATTAATTAAAATCTCCAAAACAGAGATTTATTCGAGCACTATTGAAAAAACTTATGCAAAGTGAACTACCCATTCCTTTTTTTGGTCTAATGAGGGCTTGTTAGGTGAAATGCCACCATGGGCGAAACGAAATCTGTGTTTTGGAGGATTTCATTAAGTGTGTGAGCCCTTAAATGTCACCTGATTAAATAACATATTTCTAGTTGAGATGCAGAAAAACATCTGCTGTAACTGTATAACAACAACTTGCTGTCAGTTGGTTACAACTCCGGCACTAGTGCATAGTTAATGAGTTAATGGTTAATGAGCTGCTGTGTTATGTGTTCAGGCCTTACATCAGAGCCCACACACCTGCACCACCCAGCGCACACCCAGCTGGCCCAGGACCCTCTGACTGGACACACACTGGTCATCAGCACCATGCCTGTCACTCACACTCCGCTGATAGGTAAGAGCCATATGCTCTCGACAACTGTGAGACATAAATACGTATAAACACACGAACCCCTCTCAGAAACCCTCTGACACACACACACACACACACAAACACACACACACACACACACATACACATACACACAAATACACACAAATATCAAATTGAAGTAGATGCACAATTTGTACTGTGTGCCAGATGTGTTTCCATTAACTTTGCTGAAACTAATAAATAAGCATCCTGAATATGAATAGAATCCATTAAAGTATAACATTTTCAAGAATTGATGAGCATGGACCATATTGTATGCTTTCATTTAAAAATAAAAAATGCATTTGGCAATATTACACCACCTAATGGCCACAGAACATTTATGGGAACTGTATCTATAAAGCAGCAGCTGTAGATGTAACATTTCCTGTGGACCACTGTGGATACATTTTAAAGACCACATCTATATATAACATTGAATATAACTTTTTTCCACACAAAACATTTTAATTTGCAGAAGGAAAAAAGTAAAATGTCCCTCTCCCTGTCTTCCCGCAGCCTCTCCAGACACTCCCATCCCATCGCCCCCTCAAGGTCCTGCCCCAGAGAAGTACAAACACTTTCCCCAGCCGCTTTGTCCTCCAGCCAGTCCCTCGCCTTCCGCACAGAACGATTCCTGACTTCTCCCTGCACTCTGTCAAAGGAGCTGGCACAGGATCAGTTTCCTTGTCCCCTAAATATCATCCCAGTCATGTTATAAAAATTATGAAAGCGAACCCTGTTCAGTGTCTGTGGTTAGACTTCACCCTGCTTCTTCCCCTTGTGACTCCCGGTGGGGTTGCAATAACTAAAATATAATTAAAGCTGCTATGTGCAGCACTTTTGAACTCCAGTATGTAACTTCAAATTCAGTGAACTAATGACACAGCAAACTAGGACTTAACAAAACATGCTGTGCATTTTTGTGGTCAGCTAAAACAAATATACTGGTTTTCAACTCAGGCACTAGCTCGGAGACATGATGCCAATTCAAATGTAAAACAAGATATTAGTCTTTTATTTTTTTGTAAAATAATATTAAACCTTTGTATTGTTTTGAATTATCCATTTCATTGACTAATCTCTTGCTTGAATGAGCATACTATGCACAAAATGCCCTCCGTCCTTATGTACAGTCTATCACATATCAAATGGTGAGTTCTGTGTGTGCAAATGTACAAAATACCACCTAATCATAACTTGCAGAGTTGACAGTATGAATTGGAAAAACTCATGGCTTGTCAACAAATTACAGGCTTGTCAACAAATTACAGCTGTAGAAATAAAATGTGTAATTTGTTCATAAAGTAAGCATCATCACACCTGTAAACTGACCTGAGATTAGTTATTGTGTTCTAAAGAACTTCAGAAATATTGTTGCGGATTTTCAGGATTTAGATTTTTTTACTTGAGGGTCAAGTGTGTAACATTTAGGAGGATCTATTATGTTTTCATTCCCATTTGTTAAATTAGCTGCAATCTGCGACTTCACCACTAGATGTCACTAAATCCTACATAGTGGTCCTTAATATACATGTATTCAGCATGTAAAACATAATGTAATGGGGTACAATAGTTTGTGACCAAGATCAACATGATAATAATAATACTATTTAAATATATCTTGTAAATGTATCATGTTAAATGCAAAAAGGAATGTGGATAAATTGTAATATTTTAATAACTTACTGGGTACAGTTAGTTAGATGACAGCTAATATTTGGATCATCATTTTTAAATTGTTTTGCTTTATCCAACTTCTAAAATCAACTGTGTATTTTTTATTTTGGTTTGTGTTGATATTGTGTACATTTCCAAATTTTTTAACAGTGATACTGATTAAAATACTGTTCTGAATATATTTGGAGAATTTTATTTGGAATTATTTGATTGTGGATTAATTAAAAATGCATAACAAACATACAGTGAGCAACTCACAAAAGTCACAGTGTGGTATAGCGCACTACCACCCTCTTGCTGTCTTGAGAGGAAATGCAACAAAGTACCAAATGTAAATGAACTACTTATTGTACTATATGATGTATATGTATCAGTACATTGTGTGAAATAAGTAGCCATTTATTCATTCATTCATTTTTTAAAGAGAAAGGTGTGAGATGGAAAAAGAGAAATTTCTTTCCAATCAAACATTTATCTGTGGCCACAACAAATCATTTCAGTGCATATTGCTAGAAAAATGGAAATTGACATTTTTTTCATATTTGATCCTGAAAAGAAAACAATATGGACAGACAGATGATGATAAATTGACAGAATGTATTTCAATATGGTTCCCCCACATACAAGAGTATGGTTTGTCCATTACTTCCTTCATGAAAGTCATCATGCTCCCCCACTGTTCCATACAGTTTGTATCCAAAGCTTTATTGGCAAGCTATTGGGATTGAACTGCCGGATGATGATGCTGCTCATCTAAAATCTAACTAGTTTCCACCCCCGTCCGTCTGAGAAAACACACTTTGAGGCAAACCTTAAAGCCAAACCGGAATGTGAAATGATAATTTGAGTTGAAACTGAGCTGTACTGGGGCCAACTGTACTTTTAAATCTGTTATTTTGTTTATGTCCATCCACACACAATCATTTTTTTGGGGTTTATGTGTATGTGTGAGTGTTTGTGTGCAGTGGATGAGACCAGGGGATAAAGCTAAGAGCTCTTATTCTCTGTATATTGTTGTGTGACTCAGAGAAAACACTCAGGTTATTTACGGCAGAGGAGATGATGCTGTCTAGAATCAACATGGCCAAATCCTCCTATCAACTCCATAATGGACACGCTACCTGGCTTAGGTCAAAACAACACCACCCACAATGGGAGGATGTGTGTATGCATATATACTGTATGTGTGTGTACGCTCCTACCTGCAATTTATTTATAATCTGTGCAGGTGCATGTATGTACACTTCTGTAGATGTGTTTTTGGGAGTGTGTGCATGTGTGTGTACCCAGCGAGCTTTAATCAAAGGCCTATAGTGAGGAGATGTGGGGGCCCTGTCTCTTTCTTTTTCCTCAGATAAAACTGTGCGTTAGCATGCCAGTCACATATCTCATCTGAGACGCACCGCTCTCCTCCCCACACCTCGCTTCTGCCCACACTGACAGCACCCTATTACACACCAGTATGACGCTCGCTCCACCTGAGGAGGATGACGAGGGGGAGAAATAGAGGGATGAAGACGGAAAAGAGGGATGGAGGAAAAAAGGATGGACAGGAATATGATTTTTTTTCCTTTTTTCTTTAGCTGCATCTTAGTTTGACTTGTTAATTAACGGTGTCATTTTCAAAATGATCCTATTTTTTCCCAGGCTAGGTGGTGATTTTTTGTTTGTTTGCATAGTGCACTTTTCTCACACACTTTCTTTTACATTTGAAATTGGTGCAAAAGATTTAAAGGTATATAGGAAATAAAATCTCAGCATATCAAGATGCTTTTACTTGTTATGAAACACTTCTAAACAATAATTTACTCTCAGCTAACCTGCTAAATGAAAATACACTGATGATAAAATGTATTTACTTCTTGAAGTAAGTGTACTAATATTACTGAGTTATCAGGGTATGGGTTAATTTCCTTTCTGTATATATTTATTTCATCATTTTAGAAACTGTTTAAAATTTGCAAAATGGTTTGAAGAAAGTTATTTCCCCTTTTCTGGTCATCACATAACTGATCCATCCAATCACCCCTCCATCCACCCGTCATTCCATCTATCCTCTTTCTCTTGTAGCCACTAGATGGCAGTACAAGTCTGTGGTTTCACAATAAACAAATTGCCCTTTAATGGCTGTTATCAATGTACTTTGCCCTTCCTCTGTCATTCTATGTCAAAATAATGAAAAATGGAAAAACAATTAAATGTAATTCTAAAAAATACTGAATCACAATTTGATGCCGTGAGCATCACTTACTTGGTTGTAGCATTTAAGATGGCACAGTTTATATATATCTCAATCATTTTATTTCAAACCTTGTCAACAAAAGTGAGAAACATACTGTTTTTGAAGTCTTATAACATGGCTATTTGCTACTGCAGTTTTATACCTATTAAATATGTGAAATTAAGACTATTTAAACAAACATGTTTTTAATGAGAGTGTGTTTGAGAGAGTGAGCATTTTTAAAAATCTTGCTTTACACTGCTGTTTGAATAGATTTTTGTCTCAAAACAGGCATAAAGTATTGCAAAGTCACACCCTGCAGGGGAGTATTGGTACAGTCTGAAATGAATGGCATGTGTCAGCGATCCCAGATTAGAGCCGGAGATTGCAGACTATCATTCCTCACCAGTGCATTTACCCATAATTCCCCTCTGTCTCCAACATATCCGATGATTCCTCCTCCAGGAGACAAGGTGAGGCTGTACGAATCTCTGCCTCCAATTCTGGAATGAATTTAAAACCTCTCCTGAGTGATTTTCTGTGTCTCTGTCCTGCGACTGTGTGTGCGTGTGTGTGCCGCATGCATGCGTGTGGTTTCTGATTATACCACAGCATGGGTAAAGGGAAGAAAAATACAGTGACAGCTTCATTTCCAAAGCTGAGTTCACATAAATGAGGGATTAAAGCAAGCAAGCAAGAGGGTTAAGGCTTGCCTTGGCCTTCAATGACAGCTTTCCCTCCTTAAAATCACTCTCTTCCTCTCTGTTTGTCCCTTTATGTCTCACCCCTCTCTCTGTCTCCATCTTTATTTTTGGTCTCACATTTTATTCTCTCATTCCGTGTTTAGGTTATCTGTTTTGTTGTACTACCGCTTATTTTGCCTGCAAAGATAATACACACACACATAAAAATTTTAAAACGCATACTGTACTGTTGGCTATACACACACACAGACACACACACAGTGATTTACACAATTGCAGGGAGCTGGGGTGTAGTCTACATCATGATGATGGGGACCAGGTTAGGGCAATGAAACTAGGGGTTAGGGCCAGGGTAGGGTGTGTGTGTTGATGTGTGTGTGTGTGTGTGTGTGTGTGTGTGTGTGTGTGTGTGTGTGTGTGTGTGTGTGTGTGTGTGTTGGGGTACATTAGGGAAATGAAAAGGGGTGGACCACTGATGGCTTTTGAGATGCAGACTTGTTAGAATAAAGGAATATAAAAAAGACAGGGGACAGAGGAGATGACAGGGTGGATGATAAGATGAGTAGTGCAGTAATGAAAACGGTCCTCTGTACCCCGAGATTACATGGGGAATGAGATTGGAGAGAGAGGGGAGAGAGAGAGAGAGAGAGAGAGAGAGAGAGAGAGAGAGAGAGAGAGAGAGAGAGAGAGAGAGAGAGGAAAAGGAGAAGGGGGCATGCTGTAGAGGGGGAAATTGGGGAAATTGGTGAGCAGGGAGTGAAAGAATGGAGAAAGATGTACACTCATTTATGATGAACCACGGTGAGAGTCAGCTGGAACATACATGGGACTGGTGTGAAAGGGAAAAATGGAGGAGAAGAAGAAGAAGAAGAGAAGAGAAGAAGAAGATAGGAGGTATTACAACTGAGGAAGAGGCAGCCCCACTCTGAATGATAAGTGTCTCACGCGCGGCGGGTTATGGGAAGTTCACACAAACAAATGACTCCCATTTGCCAGAGGCGAGGGACACAATTGAGAAAGAAGGGGCGAGAGAGAAAAGGAGGAGAGGAGAAGAGAAGGGAGAAGAAGGAGGGAGAGGACTAAATACTAGAGCCACGATTTCCGATAACTCCATCTGCATTGAGGAAATACTTACCTTTTTACCCCTCTGATGTTTTCACAGGGTTGCAGCGTAAACTAAAGCACCTTCAATCCAAAGGATATTAGGAACCCTGTAGTGAAGTGCAGTAAAAGTCTGTGCTTGGTACCTTAAATTACAGTGCGCCTATGGACCTTGGTCAATAACACTAAATGTATTGCAAATTGTAGCGTGTAGGTGGGCTATGTTTTGCACCATAAGAGGTGATATCACACAGTAATAAGGGTGCATGAATGCTGCCCTTATTTATTCACTAAGCAGCATGGAATCAAAGTTAAGTATAGCTAGATATACCTCTCTTTGAAAACCCCCTCACTATAGCTCTGTCTCACCATGAGACGTTCAAGCAGAGTCTGCAGGTTTCCATTCTTACCAAAGAAGCAGCAGATTTTGCGTCTTACTTGATTTTCTAGTTAAAGGTGTGTTTTTCTCTTAAATTAGATGTTTTAGTGTTTAGTTCAAACACCAACCTCCATAATCAAAGGAACCCCCTTGCTTAAGATCACTGAACAGCAGATCCAAAAGCTTCAATTTGATGAGATAGGATACCCTGGCTATTGATGGAGTCAAACCCATGACCTTCAGTTTATGTGTCATTTCTTACATTTTTCTTACACATTTTTAGTAAATCCACAGGAGACTACAGCCTAGGGGTGTCGTCAAAGGGGGGCCCAGGGGGGGCCATGGCCACCCTGACAAATACGCTGGCCTCCCCCCTGATGAAATTTTTACCACAGGATGGCACAAGATGAAAAGTGACAGTTACCAAAGGATATTACTAAAACCCAAAAGTGTTAACCTCATGGTTGTGCTAGAGAACAAGTGAGTGAATGACCAAAGTCAGTGAGAATCATCCACTGTGAAACATGAATTTCATAGCAATCCATCTATTAATAGTTAAGATATTTCAGTTTGGACCAAAGTGGTGACCCAAAGGACCAACTGACATTGCAGTCCATAGAGCCACGCTGCTAGCACGGCAAAATATGACTAGCTTTGTGGGAATTAAAAAAAAATTTCATTAGGCCACGGACAAAGTTTGATTAGTGGTATTTGACGTAGTAGCCTATTCCTGCAGACACAAAGATGTTTCCAGTAAGTAAAATCACGCATGATGA